AATGTACTTGGTTTGGGCGTAGACATGGTAGAGGACGGACTGGGAATTGTGACTGTGACAACTGCTTCGTTTCATCTTTTCGCCCACTTTTACAACTTTAAATTTCAAGCAGGGTCACAGTACAGGTGCCCCCTGTACAACGTACGGTAGCTGTCCATCTACAGGTAACATATGTTTCACACAGTATAAATCACACCTGAAGTAGTTTTTGGTTGCTTGCAAAGTACCGTTGTGTCCAAGTGCTTGAGTAGAACCATAAATGCAGGTCATGGGTGGCAGTATTTGAATTTCTTTGCGGGCGAATAAGATGGCACTTGGTGCTCTTAATAAAATTGTACGGATCACCTTACAATCCACTGGAGAGCTGGTACGACATCAGTTACTGAACTGTTCGGGTATCACATCATGTTTAAGTCAAGTCAAGAGTACGTACATGTACATATGATAAAAAGATGCAACATTGCATGGAGAAAATGAGGGTGTACCGGTATATAAAAATCGTTTTGAAATTGGAGGATTTAGGACTGTTATAGCTCCCGGTAGTACATGTACATGTATGCTTCTAACGTTGTACTGGTCCATAAGTTAGCTGCAGCCAAGAAAATCAGTGTTATCAAGTTTTAAGGAAAACACAACCAACAGGAGCTGAGAAGAAAGATCACATATCCGGTACATACATACATGTACATGTATAAACAACAAGCAAGCCAAGCTCAGATCCCCAAAATTGAATATTTATAATCTTATTACTTACTTACATGTATTAATGACTGAACTGCTAACAAGGAGATAGAATAATCCTCAATGTGAGACTGACTGCTAGCCTAGAGATGCCCAACTGGTGTCCTTGAGCTGGACACTCATCTGCAATTCTTTTTTTCTGATAGCAGAGCCATTAGGATCCAGAGGTGATTGGAGGAACCAGGACAGTGACATGAGTGATGTACAATGTACATACACGTACAATGTACATGTACACTGTGACACCATCTAGGGTCAAGACACTTCAGCCTCATTCATCACACCCCTGTGCATGTGTGTCTCATTTACATTACCAAACATGCCAAATAATAAAGGGTAATGTAACCACATATATGTACACGTATGTAGAAGTATACACACTGCAGTTTGTGATGGGAAAAATCAAACATGGAGAGTAACTATACAGGTTTTTAAAAAAAAAGGGAATCCATGTACTGTCGGGACAGCTCTTGCTGTGTCAGGCTGCATGTCCATACACACTCCTTGCATTTCCTTGGTATTTCATGTACTGTAGGTTTAGAATGCATACACATGCACATGCCCACTGCCCTGACTGATTTGGTTCAGAGCTTACATTGAAATTTTAGTACGTAATATACTCCAGCACACCGAACTAAGACCGGCTCACAAGAATGACGAGGTGAGACTGACTGAAATCGTTCCTAATCCACACCCAAGGTAGAAGGGACTTTAGGGTTGGAGACGGGGGGGGAGGGGGCTAAACAGCCTCTCAGGGCAATCCATCTGACACGGCCCGATGCAAATGATGGGACAGAAAGGTTCCACTCCACAGAATTCACACGGAGAGAAACTGACGAATGTCCTTGCCGCTCGGAGAGTATTGCTCCTGTTATGCAGCACAGTGGGACATGCCAGAGTTGGACAAATTATGCGGCATCATTTCTGGGTAAACATTGGGGGAAGAGAAACTGTCCACATTTTGAGGTAATACTCAGTCGCATCATGATAGCCACAATACAAGGCGCCAACCCGAGCGGCAAATTTCAGTGTTTGAGATTTAAACCGTCTGTACTGATTTTTGTCTCTTAATTACGGTGCAACCCACCATAGATATATTATTTTTTTGTATTTTTTTTTTAACTGAACGAGTGCAGATTTTATGTACTTCTTCTTGTGTTGCAAACTAAAAGTCGAGACACTACTCAGTCACACATGTACTGCATGTGTGTGTACGCATACCAAAAATAGTCGATGTACATGCATTATGGGGAAATTTTCAGAAACCCTTACTGAACGTTGACCAACAACCCTCACCCTGGGTCTAATGTTCCCAAATATGTCAAAGAGCAAGTTGCACTCTGCACGCTGGAATGGTAATGGCATGCAAATCAAGCCAAGTATCCATGGCAACCGCTGCATCCGAGAGCAGTGAACACTGTAGCATGATGTGATTTTCGCCCCCGCAAGGGTAATGGACCTACGCAGAGCTGCCATTGCATTTAGTGTTTGCACTGAAAGTGGCAAATATTACCGCATAATCATCTCTCTACTGCACTCATTAAAAAGGAAGATTAATCCATATCAGGCCATCTGTGGACACAGGGATCAATTTATAGAGTCCTTTACATCCACGAGTGACAAAATGGCACTTTGTACATCATATGTGTTACTCTTACACAACATACAACGTAAAATACGGTACTCTAGGTAAATGCATATGTAGCCCAAAGCAGGGCGTTTGTCCATAAATTTTATATTTTTGCTTAATCTTTTGTCCCGATTAGCATGCCTTTTGATGAAAACAAAGCTGTTGTTTACACTAAATGCAGGAAAATCCCCTGAAGAAGTGACTCAATTCAGGTGAATCGTCCCCCAACCCTTATCTATCATGTCCATCCGTCTTAGCCTGTGTCTCACTCCATTCCCTTCCATTACTATCACTGTGTGTTCTCACTGTTCTGATGGATACCCTTCCGTATGTACATGTACAGATATAGAGCCAGCATGCAGCGCAATATGGCCATGGACAACACTGACGACACGCACTCCGGCACACAAGCCTCCCCTGACCACAATTCAATAATGCAAATCACCAGTGATTGTAATGACGTCAGTGATTTGCTCAGAGAATTCATTTCGCACGACACCGGCCATCATCATGCGTTTGATGAATGGAACAGTAGGCCAGCTTAATTATGCAAAGGTCCTTTTTTTTAAAGCTTTATTTTAGATTTTTTGAGTGACACATTTCAATTACTTGACACATGATTGATTTTTCATGGAACCTTATCTAAAGAGCCTTAATTTTAGCAGGCTTGACCAAAGACGGGAGCTATAATTGGCAACCCGGTAACACTGAAGCAAAAACAACATTGATGCAGTTACTTTTAGAGTCGCTAGCACTGACCATGACAGGTTGATTATGTGAGGAAACAATGTTAAATTATACTGCCACCATTAGTGGGCTGGAGCAAAACAGTCTGAGACAGTAACCATCAAACAATGTTCAGAAATGAATAGATAAGTGCCTAGAGCAACTCAGTTTCAAAACTAACACTATTTCATGTGGCTCTTGTAAACGTCAGGCAAAAAGGAATGTGTACCATACATGTGCACCCACAGATGTCCTCATACCGTACATGTATGCACCATACAGTGTACATGTACGTACGCTTACTCAGGTAAACATGCATCCCATCCAATTTCTAGACTTTTCACTGACTCTCATTTAGCGCTTGAACTGCACAGTGGTACCATCTGTTGGGTTTGTTGTGATCAGAGGAAGTTAGTTATTTCTCGGATTTTTCTATTCCTTTGCAATTCTGGAGGGGGGGTGTGATAGTAAAATATTTCCATTGGTTTCACTTTTACAATTGGCCTTAACAAAAAGCTATGTATGCCATCGGCTGAGCCATGTTTAAATGTGTTCATTGTTCCATGCTTAATGTCTTCGTTGTACAGCGCATTTGAACATATCTATATGAAATTTGCACTTTATAAATGAATAAATTATTATTATTATTATTAACATTTTATTTGTGTTCTTACATACTGTAGGCCTACACGCATGATTGGTCAATCAAGCAACCAGGCGGTCGTGAAGATCAGCTTATGGCACCCAATATAAAAGTGTTGATTTCAATTAATAAATATGTGTGCATGTATTCTCTTTAAATGAAAACTAATGGCAGGCTGCAACGGGGAATAGTTTGAGGACTTGGCAAGAAAGTGTTGCTTATCTCTGAAGCAACCACTATTTGCTAAATTGTTTTTTTAAATCAGAGAATGATTTTTTTTAAATCAGGATGCACATGCACTTTACTGTTTCTCTCAGTTTAATTAGGAAAATAATACAATATTACAATCGCCCCTCATCTGCTATTGTTTATGACTCCTTGACATTGCCATATTTTTGTGATATTAATTATTACTGGCTGAACAACAAGCAGTTTCAGTTCATGTGGGTTTTTTTTTAGCCAAATACGCTGGGAAAGAATTCCATATGCAGAAACACTCAGCACCCTCAGACCCTGTGCTTAAACCCTACGAGCACTGGTCCGAAAAATTCTAAGGCCGTGAGAATGAACATCCCGGATTTTGAAAACCCATGAGGCTTTTTTTCATTATTCATTAGTTGGTGTGCATACTGCACATCGATAGCGAGTACATGTCCACGCAAAGAGAACAACCTGGAAAGTAGACAAGCTCTCAGTCGGTCTTGCATCACGCCATTTGTGCACGGGTGCACTACGAACTTCCGATTTACTTTGCATCCAATTTTTAACCATTCCCAATGGGAAAAAACAACTTTTTCTGAAATATTAACTTTTTGGAAAATAATACCGGCAGTGGATGGAAAACCGGGATATTCATTCTCATGGGGCTAAGTGTTTTGTAAGCGAGTAGGCCTACTAGTTTCACTGCTAAAGTGGACGTTTTCAGGTTTTGAGTTGCTTTCATACATGTAATTTCAGCTTCTTTTCCTACCTAGTACCTCCACACATTGGCCACTGCAACAACAAATTTATGGTGTCGGTATATGGTACATGGAATTCTTTCCATGTTAATGACCATCACACCAGCCTGACAGTGATAATGGATGGTTTATAAATACAGAACTGTCACTGAATTTACCATTTTTACATGTAACTAAAGCATTACGAGAGCGAGAACGCTACGTGCCGTACGACTACGAGGCCAATACGGAGTAGGCCTCCGTACCACCGTGCAATACGTATGACGTACAACGTCCATACACAGAAATGCCAAAAACTCACCCAGTTTTCCAGATGGTTGGGTCAAAGAAGGAAAAGGGCTGGCCAAGAGAATGGCCAGAAGAAAGAGGGACATATCCATCTTGTCAGGAGGACGTCACGCCATCTTTAAGTAGGAATTTCGCCCTTATCCTGAGATCAAAATTGTACGAACCGAGCGAAGCCTGTGACAGTTCTGTGTACAAATTGCATGCAAAGCGCGCGCGAGGGGTGCAGGAACGACCAGGTGACGACCGAGAATCATGTACAAAATAGCTGGTGTCGCTACGTAATTCGCGCCTACAAAGACACTAAGTTCCGAGTACCAGCGAGTGGGCTCAAAAAAACAAACACCTGTTTTATTATGCCATTGCTGTTCTCGGGTTTGGGGTATCAGGCAATTAATTTGTTCGCATTTTTACGCTTGCTGGGTCGGCACTAGCGAAATTGAGCAAAATTGAAAATTTGAAATGAACTATGAAGACTGTTGTTTCTGCGATATTTTTATTATCTCTTTTTTGACTGCCACTCTGTTCTGTTGTCAATAGAGGGCGCTTGGAATATGAACACGTGCCACGCACCCGTCCTGCACCAGCGGTGCCAATCAGCGAACGTACATTGGAACGACCTTGAGAAAAGTTCAGCGATTATAAGAGTTGATTGTCTTTGCGTTTAAAGCCAGATTTTCCCACGGGAAAATAAAAGCTTCAAATTCTGTTTTAATTGCGTTCTGGGTCCTAATTAATTGTGTTTTGATACACGACAAGGATGAATCCAGCGTCATTACCTTAGTACATTGAAGGGTTTTTCGAGAAAAAGTAATTTCCAATCCTTAGCAAACTTACCGTGCTGTAGAAATACTGTATTCCAAAAACACTGTCAAAGGTTTTACGTTTCAGAGTCCACACGGGCAAATAAGGGTTGTCATTTTGGGGGCTTATGAGACACTAAATACACATTTTGTCGACGGAGGTGCATCGGTGGGAATGAGAAACTTGTATCAGTTACTCTTGACTGAAGCAAAAATTTAATTTCAAGGGTAGGGCAACTTTTGGCAATCTCTAGACAGGTTTCGATTGAGCTAGAAGCAGAGAGCTACGAGGGAAGGGACAGAGCAGTCATCACTTGAGCAGTGGCGTAGCTAGGATTTTACTAGGGGGCACGAGCATCTTATGGGCACCAGCGTTGAGTGGTGTAGGTTTCTGGGGAAAGCATTTGTTAGCCCTGTTATGTTCAATATCCATTCATCCATTTTTTTATTGGGGGCACTGAGGAATTGGGGGGGGGGGCACATGCCTCCACCCATGGCTATGCCCCTGGTCATTAGCCCCTTTTATTTGATCAGCAGGGTCCTCTTTAAGCTACCGTAGCTTACCTCAGTCACCTATATTTGCAACATCCTTTAACTTTCACTTCAACAGTGTGAAATTACAACAAATAGCAACAATGTTTTTTTCTATCAAGTTTATGACATTTCCCAATCTTCATTTCCACTCCAATTTTGCAATAAAATCTGCCTAAACAGATGACGATGACGAAGCTGGGTCACGTAATCTTGTGACAGAAGGTAATGCATGAAATTCAAACCTGGAAACCATAAAAACTTATAACAGAAAAAAGGAACAAGACTAGTGACCGAATGTATTTCCATATATCAAAGTTCCAGAACTCAAATGCCTGTCTGCCACATCTAAAGATGTGAATGTGCAAACTGTCATTAGAGCAAACTTTTACCATTTTGATAATTTTTTTCTAACTCAGCTCATGCTGAATGTTTGGAAATTGAAACAGGACTCAATCAATTAATTAATTTAGCTCTACACATAGTGTAATCAAAACAAAATTACTCTTATGGCCTTTTTGTAATATTTTGCAGTTTTATGATGTTCTATTAAAATAAATGGAAACAAAACTGGAATTGGTCTTTGCGGTTAACAAACCTTTTTCAAAATATCAGAAACTCGATCAGATTAGGCCTTGGCTACTGAATGAAAAAATGTTTTTACAGCAATTTGACGGATGTGAAAAAGTTCAGCTTTTTATTTTGGTGAAAATGAAGACATTTGAAATATGTGGATATTTTATTTTGCTAACAGTTGTGCCAAAGAGGTTCAGGAAAATGCAACTTAAAACTGGTTCGGTGATTGGTTTCTGATTCTGTTAGATATGATTCTTTTGACTTATTTCTGTTAATAAGAAGTTCCCCACAAAACATATATACAACTTTAAAAACAAAGTGCCTCAGATGATTTGGTTTAGCCCTTGACAATGTGGCAAGATCTGTGCAAAAAGTGTAATATCTTGTTTCTGCTCAAAGCCGGCAAGTTCAAAGTCACTGCAGTGTGATGCCGTGGCCATGGCAACAAGGATCACTGCTTGGAACTAGCAGTTGTGGGATTCTGAAGGATATGAAAAGCTTCCCTGACAAAGATGACCAAGGCATTAGGGTTAAGTTTTGAAAAGACAGTGTCGCTACGTCCTGTGGGCACTGGCGACACTTGTTGGGAAGATCCATTCATCGCGGCTCTGGTGGTGTTACCGCTCTTGCGGTGGTCCCGTGTTTCCTTGCTTCCTCCGCCGGATCGTCTCCACCAGCTCCTTGTACCTCAGGATGCACTCCTCCTGAAAAGACGGCAACGGGAGCAGAATTGAAACATCATGAAGATGGCAATGCTGGATCTGCAATGACTGAGGGCACTGTTCAAGAGCATAATAATGGTGTGGGCTGGGATTAAGAGCAGGGTTCTAGCCGCGGTGGGCGGCACCACCCGGTAATGCAAATTTCCGCCCGGCACTCAGGGTTGAAATTGGCTGTGCCACCCAGCACAGATTTTCCAAAAATTGAACTGAAATATTACTGATAATTTAAATGTACCAATTCGATCGTATTTCAAGCATCAGAAAGCATCAAGAACTGTGCTCACTATGCTTTGTAATCCAAAAATTTACCCGGCACTAAAATGGTCCTAGCTAGAATACTGTTCAAGAGATGACCATGTTTCGACCACTGGACTTTCCTGGTACTCAGGATATTCAGTCTGGAGTATTACCATATTTGAACGGCCTACTACGTCACAAATCTCGCACAATCTGACCAATCACAAGGCTTGTTCAAGCAGCCTGCAATGGATAGTATGGTTGTTTCCATGTTACGGGGTGCTTTTCTTAACGTTGCAGCATATGGAACAAAAACACTCGGGAAAAATTTCAGTTGCAAAAGTTTGATTGGCTGTGCAAAAAAACACTGACTATACATGTCGACATAAACTAGAAGTTCTATAACATGTTGGTACCTATGGGTTTTGAAATTCATCATTACAAACTTGACATATTTAAATCTGAATTTGGACAAAAATTGCTGTATCAGTAGGGAGAGGTTACTATTCCCCTCCCCCCTCATCATTAAATGGTTGATGCTCGACTTACCCTACTTTGATGGGTACCCAGCACTACAAGTGCTGGGCTGTCACCCACCATACCTTATGGCTAAACGTACATTGGATGTGGTTTGCCTGTGGCAGTGGTGAAAAATTTTTTTAACAACGTACAAAGTGAAAAATGACGCTTCCCCCACTTAAATGTAACAACTGCATTTTCAATGTCACAGGACCATCAAGTGCACAGAGCTAATGACAGCATGTATGAACCACAGAGGGCGCTTTGTGAGCTGGTAATTACAGTATACGGAATACGTGTAATTTTCCACTGGTTTGTATGCATGATTCATTCGGCAGCCTTTGAGACTCGATGCACGCATGCCAGCCTGGTTTTGCCTGCAACAGCTTAGCAGTTCAGGAGTTGAGTGATTTGCAGTCTGTTAAATTCTAGATGGGGAGAAGAGGGGGGCGGGGACTAGTCCTGTAGAGGGCGCTTTTATTTTGACCATGAAATTGGGCCTCCTGGAGGGCGCTGTTCACCTTTGTCTTTCCAGGGACTGCCTCGGCGATCTTCTCCCATCGCTCTGCCACTCCCTTGCCGTAGACCGTCAGGGCTTTCTCCAAGATCTTCTGCTGTCTCTGGCTCCAGCTCCCTGCCCCGCCTCCCGAAAGGATCGCATCCTGCTCCTTCTCTTTGCTCTCCCGCTCCATCTCGTCCGATTGATGGCAGTCCAGGTTGCGGTCTGACGCCTGCGAGATCAGCAACGTTCTCTCGGCTGTCTTAAGCGGTTTGGCAGTTTTTCGTTTCCTTTGGTTTTCTTTCTGGCTGTCGTCCGGGTCGGCCGTTGTGCAGTCGGAGGATGCAATTGTGATCTCGTCGTTGGGGAATGTCTTCCCCGTTTTGCTGGTCACCGCATGCTCCACGGCACCAGTAATACCTTGAACAAATCAAAAGGCCAACTGAACTAAATTGAACAGGTGCAATCGTTACATGTTACAGATGATTTCACTAAAAGAAAATGGAAAATATTCATAAAAAAGTCCTTCTGAGGTACACAGGATAAATATCGTTTTCCCTTTAAAATTGGAACTATGTGTAAGAAAGCACAGAACGGTTACAACAATACAGGAATACATGTCACTGTTACAGTGACAGCGGCAGCAGTGGATCTCTTCATGAACTATTGAGGGCGCTACAGAGGGCTCCCTCTGAGAACCACTTGAGGGCACATGACAAAACCTGTGCTCTCACCATGATGCATTTGCATCACGGCAAGGAGCAGTTCTGTGAGCCACTAGCCTGTTACCTTGGGCAGACGTTTCCACGTTGACTATGTACCCTCCGGATTTGATTTGTTTTGCCTTCTTGGTGACCTTTGGACAGGAGAAAAAAAAGAAAGCATGAATGTGTCGGTGATTTTACAGCCTACGAAATGGCCAACATCCTAAACTGGTGCTGTGTATAAGTGTTTGAGCAGAAAGTCAGACTTGTCCAATACTGGTTTTGCCTTATTGGTAACCTTCGACAGGAAAAAACGAAAGCATGATTGCTTTGGCATTTCTGTAGCCGACGAACTGGCTAATATTTGAGAGAGGCACGCTGAGCTTGAGTGGACAGTCAAACGTGTCCAATAGTCACTCCACCTTCTTGGCAACCTTTAGGCAGGAGCACAGTGAGCATGAATGTGTCGGTGATTCTAGAGCCAAAGATTCTTGTGCAGAACCTGGTTTTGCAGTGAGAAGAGTTTACCAAGACCTGGGCCTGGGGAATGAAGTCTTACACAACAGCGAGTACACTGGTCCATCAGAACAAAGAGTCACTGATTGAAACTGGTCATCAAAGACCAGCAGAATACAGCGACAAACACCGCAATCGCCTTCCACCACGTTCACGCTAACCTCATCAACGGGCCTTGAGATCTCCTCAGCTATTTTGTCCCACCTGGCTGACGTTCCCCCGGGATACCTGGTCATGGCACGGATGAGTCTGGTCACCTCATCTTGGGTCCAGTCGCCAGACTAAAATAAATCACAACCAACTACAAATCAACAGCAGTCCTTCACGTTGACCCTTCCACAAAGTGAAGTCACTGCCATTTCAAAAACACGAAAGGGCTCTAAATATGGTTACTTGTATAGAATACAGAAGTGTGACGTTATTTGAAATAGGAAGTGTTGTGCAAACGAACAGAGTACGTGCGTATGTCGGTTCAGTGCTGGTGCTTGCTCCGATACCCTATAAACACATAATTGTGCGAGTGACGTGTTCACTATGGTACTCTATAACATATTCAAGCCCACTGTAAATGCATATACTGTCTTTACATCAACTGGCTGAGGCTAGGAATGACACACGTCTGTGGGAAATGGCTGTGGCCACTAGGAGGTGGCTCCCATAGGTGTATGTGCTACATCTAGCCCCAGCTTCATCATTTGGACACAGCCTGATTATGAGGGGAATAGGAAATATGAGCTGAAATACGCAGGTTATCTAATCTTACAGCGATGTAGGTATCTTATGCTGGTAACCCTCACATATCCTCTACAATCTCCTTGGGAATCTGGATGGATCTGAGCAGATAGGTTGATAAGAATTGCCACCGATACCTTTGTGTTTGAAGTTCTTTCATTATCTTGTGCCATCCCTTGTGGGGTGTATGTTACTGGTTCCGCAGTGCTCGGTGCGTATTCGTACATCGTCGGTTCAACTTTCCACCTCTTTTTCACCTTCTCTTTGACTCCGCCCCCATCTTCCTCCACCCCCTCTTCCTTCTCCTGAGTGGCTAGCTCCGCCTCCAGTCTCCGCCTCTCCCGCCATATCTCCAGTTCCAGCTTGGCCTGCTTAAGCGCGGAGGGGGCGGAGACTGCCACAGTTAGGAGGAGTCGGCAGAGCTTGCAAGGGAGGGCATCAGCCAGCTGGGGTTTGGCTGGGCGGAGGGGGTCGTCCGGGGCCAGGTCTTGGAGGACGTCGTCGTCAGTTTCTGATGGGTTGGCCGCCTGCCGAGCTGCCTTCTTGGCCTTCTTATCTTTTTTCTTCTTTGGAATAATTGATTCCTGAGAAACGACAATAATCAATTCCACTATTCTGTAACTTTATCCAAAAAGTAAGTTGAGATTTTTTTTTACCACTCCAGTTCAACCATGAGGTGTTGTTTACTGCACAAGTCACTCACTCATTCATCACGTGACTGAAGTCATTGGGGTACGATGACGGAGGACAGAACAGTCAAGGGTCTGACTTTCACAAGTGACAGTCATCAAACGCACTCTAATCAATCTGGAACCAGCCCACTAACATGGCTGGTCATATCTCCAGCTATCAACAGCTGCGCGTATTACGCCCCACAGCACAGGATTGGGAGGATTTGTGATGATGTCTGACTAAAATTCACCAAGCAACGACTCTAAAAGAGCAAACCAATTGGGGATACATGTAGGTGGGCAATCAGAACCTATCGGTTTAAGGTTTCTTGAATCATATGAAGGCCTCATGCATCTACTAGAAATCAGTGTTTAAAATGAAAAAAGGATGTATACAGAAGAGTTCTTTTCAGAAAGAAATACCAATTATGGCCATGGAATGCAGAATGATCAACGTATCAACTGAGAGACAGACAACGGCACGCTGCAAGTGTGCCCTGGCTTAGGCTTAGGACCTTGCAGAATGAGTACAACCACTTTTTGACTGAATGTGCACAACCCAGAGCCTGCTAAGCACAGAAAACTAGTTGCTTGGCCAAAATCAGGACACCAGCCAAAATGTCACATACTGTACACTGCTTGTCACCGGTTCACACCCAGTTTCTTTTTGCTTTTTAAAAATTTTGCACAGCACCTGAATTTGCGGGACAATTTCTGCTTAGCAGTGCGTCAGATTGGGTCCTGAGCTTGTTGAAAAGATGGAGTGGGTACTAAAAGTGTGGGCGTAAGTGGGCTAGGTGTCGTCTTTACCAGTTCAAGGAGTCTTTCCCAGTAGATGGACCACAGGACAATGTAGTGTCCCACTGTCATGATGATGAACAGCAGGACAGCCAACTCCAGCAGGCCCATCTTGCGGACGCGGCGGTAGTAGAAGACAGGCTCACGCCAGTTGGGAAGCCCATGCTCAAGGATCTGGTCATACCTTGGGGAAAATGAAAGCAGCAACGAAACAGTCAACTACAAAACTCTGCTGGAACTTAGCCAGCATGTGCTCAGTGGTTTCCAGAAGTCTGTGGGAAAGAATTCACGAGCTTGCTCCAGACGGACGGTGGACTTGAACCCAAGATCTCCTGTTTACTGCCACAGATATCGGAAACTACTTGACTAACAAGCTTGTTGGGTCAGCTGGTTGATTCAAATCCAAACTAGAAGCTCTATTGCCATTCAATAACTGTTTAAAGTGATCTTGTCTGGGGAAGAAAATACCCTTTTTCATTTTGAAGTGCATCATTTGGATCGGGGCACTGGTATTCCTAGTTTGTTAGTGGCTGGACTGAACCAGTCCCAAGTTAGTGTATGCAGGCATCTGGGCACGTCCCATAGTCTACCGCAATTCACTGCAAGTCAAACTTGCAAATTATTCAATTTAGGTACTGCTTAATGAGAAAGACTTCATCACGAGTCAGTTTACAGTTTGTTACATGTATCTTACCTCTCCCGCATATCTGGATCTCTGAGGACCTCTGCCACTGAAACTAACTGCATCAAAGAAGGTGAGATGTAGGTGCAATGTTATTTTCAAAGTATCACTTGTCCGAGTTTAGTTTCACTCTTCAAAACCAGATCACACTGCAGAGGTTGATTTCAAAGCTGAATTTAAGGCCCAAGACTTTGCAGATGCCTAATCAAGCATGCTTAAGTTAGCATCATTTTTTCATTTGTTCTTTGGCCTCACCTGTCGAAACTTCTCCCCTGCGCCTTTGTCCTTGTTCTTGTCTGGATGCCCAAGACTTTGCAGATGACATTCCAGGAAATGGTATAAAGTTGACTGAGCCTAATTAAGCAGGCTTAAGTTAGCATCATTTTTTCATATGTTATTGGGCCTCACCTGTCGGAACTTCTCCTCAGCCCCATCGTCCTTGTTCTTGTCTGGATGTAGGAGAAGTGATTGCTTCCTGTAGGCTTTGCGTATCTCAGCCGCACTGGCTGTCTGAAACATGCAAAGGGACACAATCAATTTATATTTTTGCTTCAAATTCAGTCACCTTTCATAAATGTCATCACTTCTTGGACTACCAATGCTCCTGTCGAAAAGAATTCCACGTAGTAATGACGTCACTAATTTTTCAAGAAGTTAAAATATTAAGGTGTTCACTAGAAGAGTACTTCAATTTTTCAGACTAGTATCACAGGGTTTCAGCACAGGGTGTGAAGTGATGTCCGTATATGGAACTCTCCCTCTTTCCATCAGGGGGAATTACACGTATGCACTACCCTAACTGTTGATCGTTATGGCTTGTCTGTGCAGTTCAAGCACATGAACACGTACGCGCACCAAGGTTCAGCACAGCCTAGAGGTTGAAGACTTACTTTTTCAATACCGAGAACATCATAGAAATTCAGTTGTACTTCTTCCACCAAATCAAAAAGCTCGAAGTCCGCGCTGTCCCATGCGTTTCCATTTGACACAAAACAAAGCAGTACAAAAGAAAGCGTAACAAACAAAACTTGGAAATTCGGAAAGAGACGGACACGTCGTCTGCTCTGCGACATCTTGACACCAATCATCTGTCTGACATTATGCTGGTGTACGATCAACTCTCTGTAATATTTGCGTGCAGTGTGCACGGGTACCAGCATTTTCCGGGTCCAATAATTCGACATAGCGCCCTCAAAGTCATAGCTAAATTTCTCCATTTCCTTTAAAAAGTACATGACAGTCGGGCATAAATTCTGTACATACGAGAAAGAGAAATATGATCCCCGGGGATGATTACTCTCTGCATGTCAAAAAGCCTGCCACTTAAAAATATTGTTCAAAATGATATGAACATTTCTGTAAATAAAGTCAAACTGCTGCGCAAGGGAATCATAGAAAACCACGACAAGCAAATTACATCGTACATTGTATATTAAAGGGAAAAGCACTTGCGATAAAAGGAATGAACTTGACAACAATTTGTACACAGGTTTTCTGAGGCAGATTCAGTGGCGTATCCAGCGGGGGCATATTAGTTATTAAATATTAGCACCAAACCCTAAGAAAACAGCACCATTCGATTTTTTCTCCCCCAGCATCGTGTTGAATTAGCCCGACGCCGCTCACATTCGTTTTTGATCTCCCCCACACACACACCAAAAGCTGGATACGCTGCTGGGCAGATTCGAAGTCTTTTTAAAGCCCAGAAAGCCTGAGAGGCAATGCAGGCTCTGGGATTGTGCAGATCTTCAGGATCAAGTTATCATGCTATTTAGGTGGATCAGGCTATTTGTTAGGAAACTTTTAACAGTGAGGCCGGACAAGCAGCAAGTTGACTGGGCCACGTATGTGCTCCCGGCGGAAATTCTTAGTTGCTCCTCCCCGTTAGTAGTGAAATAGTGCAAATGTTCACAACTTATACACAAGCCACAATTTTGCAAAGGGCCTTTACTAGTGGCATAAATTTGTGCCAGGAACAGGGGGGGGGGGGGAATTTGGGAGATGACTTGACCGTCAAAGGAAATTTGAAAGGGAGGGGGAGAGCGACTGACCATAGTTTTTTTTTATGACACTGGGGTTGATGTTCATGGTACAGGTGTACATCTGCCATAAACTACAGTATTACACTCCCGGCCTGCGCCGTCAAAACGGCATGTTCTCTCCCTTTTGAGAGTTACTGAATCATACATATGAGTTGTTGGGAAAGCCGCTCATCACTATCATCCGCCCTTTGTTTTCTCACCACGAAAAGTACGGGGGATGATATGATTCACGGTAGCCCATCTCCCTAGGATTTACGCCCATGGCCGTCGCTATATTATTTACAGGAAGGCAGGATGTATCGATGATGTTAATGCTTGTCACTTAATTCTGGGGACAACTTCATTATCTGAGTCGAATGAACTGTCGCAATTGCAATACAGTTATAATTGTGTATCCAAATGGAAAGCTACGTAGATTTTAACACTAAATAATATAGTATCGAGACGTTATTATATCTCTTACATACGCCTACCGTTGTACTAAATTTCAACCTGTCCCCTCCCGCTTCTAAGCTGAGAAATTGAAACTTGAGTCCCTCGGACATGACTTTTGTGTGAGAAACAAGGTCAACTTGAACTAAGCCGCACCAGAGTGAATGTTATTGTCTTAGTGTGGTAGATGTGCATGTACATGTACATGTATGTGCTGCAATGGAAGGGCCCAGTGTTGATGTCAACAAGAGGACTGGACCAAAACAGGGGCGGAGCCTACGAAAGCCATGTACAGTGTACATGTACATTGGGGCCATGCATACCATAATACTTGTATGGGTATTCGTCCGTACAGAACTAGGCCATATATAGCCAACCATGTGCCACCTTTGTCGCTCTATGGTGTGACTCTCATCATAGAGGAGGGTCTATTCCTTCCTCCGTATGATCACATATAGGGGCACTCTCCTGGTACCTAACCCTAGACCCCACTGAACTCCATTCAGGAGCTCCCAAGGTCGACTTCACCTGATAGATGTTATATTTCCTTGTCACGGATAGTTGACCTACTTTCGTTACCGTAACCATGCCGTAGCCATACTGAGTCAGGCTATGTATGGACTTCAGTATCCAAACGCACTAGATAAATGGTGAACATGTGCACATGTACATGTACATTCCCATACTGTACATGTACTGTACATTGCAAGTGTACATGTACACATGTACATGTACACCCACGCGGGCTTAGGTACATGTACATGTACATGTACGGTATTTGTTTCGTGTACACGGAGACTGCCGTTATACGTGTACATGTACATGCATGAAAACCGAAAGTACGTTGTCTGTTTTGTTTTAGCCAACAAATTCACATTAAAGGAAAAAAGTAACGATTCCGTTTCAAGCCCAGAACATGTCATATATCGCCATTTTCAACTGCGCAGCATTCTACAGTATGATGCTGCATGAGATATTGACCATGATGATTCGTGAAATATGCCGTTTTATAACCCGAGCAATTTACACCCCCAAACGAAGCTTGTCGGCTGGAATCGAGCAAAGCTAGCATGAAACTAGATCGGGGTTTATCGTGATTGAAGGATGATATCGAATTTCCTGAAGATTTTGTCTAGTTTAAGTCGTAACTAGCTATATCAGCATTAGCTGGCTTACGACGTTAGGAATAGTGGCTTAAGAAAGTGATCCGGAAGCATTGTTAAAATTCGTGTTCAACATTGCAATTATGTGGCAGGTAGACCTGCCCGGATTTGTGCTGCAAAATTATGGCAAATCCAACAGTGAATGAAAGAACTACAGTGCAGAGGAAACCGACGTGCACGTAGCATCGAGGTGCACGAAAATTAAAAAAACCCCTTTGGTTTTCTTCGCAGCGTTCATGGCGGTTCGCAGTTGAGGCGAGCCGCTCCGTGTGTGTGGTTTATTTACTCGGTTTTTTAACTGCTGCATGGGTGGAAATGAGGGGCTGTGTGTTAACGCGCAAGATGGCGGTCGGCGGGTACGGGACGGACAGTGAACTGTGGAGAACTGATAACGAGATACGGGAGGGAATGAAGCTTACAAAACCTGCCTTGGGAACAGTGCACACTGGACTGAATGCTGAGCAGCAGTGTGGCACAGTGGTGGATTGTGTCACAGGACACGGTCAGACTCGGACTGAGAAATTGCATGGGGGTTCGGGGATCGCTGGTGGAGCGAGCTCAGACGCTGAGTTAACGACAATGGCAAGACGGCCTGAGTCCGCGGCTCACCTGCTTGGTTCGCCGTGTGCTGCGGCCGATCGACAGCCCCAAGTCCCGGTACCTCTGTCCCACCCACCCGCGCTCCAACCCGTGGCATTCGTCAACGGTTTCCAGAAGCGTCTTGGAGTCTACAAGTCCAAGATTGTTTGTCACCTGCAAGACAACCATGTGGCCAGCGAGGACAGCGAAAGTGACATTTCCAGTTTGGAGATTGACTCCAATCTCTCCGATTCTTCGGTTTTGTCCAACCCTGCCTCATCCAAGTCCTCGTTTCTTCCCCCCATTGATGAAAATAACTTGGACGGCAATTCTGCTTCGGCAGGAGATGGCGCGTACTCAAATTTTACACTTTCAGATCGCGAGGACTCAGAATTTGATTTGGCACAGGAGAGTGCAGGACATTTACCATTTCTTGGTGAAGTCACTGACGATGACAGTTCGCCAAAGCAAACCGATTTTGGTCTGGGAAGCATCGGCCAAGACGAACACACGACAGTAAATTCAAGCTTGACCGGAACCCGTCCGAGTCCTGAACGGATATCACCGAGCACTGCCACCGCGGAGAAGCCTCCTGACACCCAGCCCCTCGTCTTGAAGATACGGCGCAGGACGTGGGCAAACAGCGAGACAACCGCGGGTGACATCAAGAGGCCTAGGTCGGACGGCCGAGGGAGATTTAAGTCGGCCTCAGAATCGCTGGATTGCCACCAAACTGTGAAAGTCGAATGGCAGAGTGTTGTAGGAACCCACTCGCCGGAAACTGAAAAAGAAGATATTGTGGCAATGGAGCAGATACGAACTGAGAGTTCGTCTCTGAGCGAGAGCACTGTGGATCAACCGAAAAGAAAACACCGACGCCATCACCACAAGTCGAGCAAACCCAAAACAAGCCGTCACGATTGCGTCCTACACCGCAACGGTTCTCATCTAAAGGACCGGGAACATTCCCATTCACGCCACTCCAGCAAAAGCCACCGGAAGAAATGCAAGAGGAACGCTTCCAAAAATCGCCACTTGAGGTCCGAAAGCGACTATAGCCACACGGAGAAAACGCTTCAGCTGCCCAGCGATCCTCAGAAAGCGGTGCGGGTTCTCGAGAAGGCCCTGGAGTCCATCAACGCACAGATCAAAAGGCTGAAGAGAGAGACGGAATTGGACGAGAAGCGGACGAACAAACCCAAGTCGCGTCGAGGCCGTAAGAAGAAGGGGTCCAAGAAGGACAGGAAGCGACTCAATGGAGAGACCAAGAGGAGGCAAAAGAAGGACTTTCCCACGTCCCAAGCCCTGCCCACCGTGTCACACTTCAAATTGAGCGATCTTTTCCCTGTCGTTCCGTCTCTCATCGTGCGCAACAACGATCTCCACCCCGCCTACAGATCCTCGGTCGACCCGGGCCAGCCACCGGTGGCAGGCCACCCGATCTGGCGATGGAGAATCGGCCAACCACCCCTACCTCGAACGTGACCAACCGACACCATCTCGAACGGAAAACGTTATCACCATCACAGCCGAGAAAATTTATTGGTTCACCCATTCACCCAAAACAGACTCCTGAATCCCACACTCCTAAGAAATTTGATACTATCAAGTAAAGCATACAACTTTTTATTTCACCACACCATCTCTCCATAATACTGCAAAATCCAGGATGTGTAAACCAGTTGCCATGATTTGGACACTTATCATGAGTACATGTATATGTTTTCACATCGAACGTATTCCTTGCATTCCATTTTTTGTCTTTAATGGAGTATGACCATAGACTCTGTACTTTGTACGTCATGCCGCCGAAGCCATATATATTAACGTGCGATTGGGCGTTTTTGTAAACGGGCTCACATATTGAGGTAAAATTGATTTCAGAAAACGAAACGACAGCAGTGAAGGTCGAAATGTAGCCCTTTTGGTGTTATTATAATCTGCCTTACACGCACCGTTTAGTGTTACAATGTACGTGTCTGTCTGCATGCACTCACCGTGGCCTATGCGTATTCGACAACGCCGCTCACCGCCATCTTTTTACTCGACTCGACTCAAGGACTTTCATTTGCGAGTCTAAATGATATAGAAAATTCCATTGAGCGATACAATGCTAATCGGTATTATTGAGTTTTACCATGTTATCATGTAGCTGTTTATTCTTAATTCGTTATTTCTTGCCAGAGTAGCGGTTATACAATGTTGTCTCCAGTGCTAAATAGTCATACCGTAGTGTTCACAATGTTTTCCCGTGTACTGCAAGTACATGTAGGCCTACAGTGCAGCCTTTATCTCACCGTTTTCTCACTGCAGTCCACTGTGACATAAACCGAAGAGGCCATAAGATGATTGCCTTACGTTTTCGAAGGCTAACCAAAATTGTATTTTCCCCCGCGTTATTAGAACTTGAATGGATCGACATTGCGAGCCGAGTTAATGTGCTTTGGCATGTGAAAACGTTCGTGATTTTTTTTTGTTGGGAGGGACAGCATATAGTGGTATCAAAAGATTCGGGCCAAATTTCCCCGTGACCTTTATAACAAACCTGCCAACCACTCAGATACCCTCAGTAAACTTGCTTTTGCAAGAACGTTACTACATACAACTCGAAAATTATATCTCAGTAAAAAATATCTGGCGGAGAAAGGGGACTTCGAGAACCAGCAAGTGGCCTACTTGCCCAGCATAGATAACTTCGAAGCTCTGACATTTTCCCTTGCGCAGATAACGAATATTTTCAAGACGGCAGAACATTTTGCAGGGAAAAAAACAGTCGGTCACTCGTCCCGTTATGTTATGAGTATAATGTAATGGTTGAAGTACGCGTGTGTATCATGTAATGTCTGTATACTGTGTTTTGCTTGTTAGATTCTGTGATCGAAACATGGACCTTGTGAGTGTTACACGTTTATGACGGGATTCCTAATTGTTTTTGCCGACGTTGTCGTCCACAACATGCCTAGTTCTTTTCTACGTGGTGCCAAATTTTGGGTACACGGAGGGTTCTGGTTGTTGAAATGTACATTATACATTTTTGAGCATTCATAATGGAGTTTCCCCAGGAACCAGAAAGCAATAGGCTCTTTGTGCAAGGAAAATCGTGCGAATTCTTCTGTTGTCGAACATGATAAGAACAACGAAAACAAGTCACCTTGTCAAATAATTACGCTGTTAGTTTAACCGAAGGCACGGTACCACTGTGGAAAACAATTACGGAAAACAAGTCACACAGATTTCAATTACGTATGCAGTAACTATGGTAACGGATTATGGGGATTCTCTTGGAAACTTTGCATGTCTGAAGCATTGGTTTTTTTTTCTTGTTAGATGCCATGTATTGACTAAACATATATTTTCGCAGGTTGTTTACCGCTGTTCACGTGTTTTGCAAAAGTTACCTTTAAGAAGTCATACCTACAGAGAAAATATATTTGTACTAAAAAGGTTTCGATTAAAATGTCGTTATTATAAAATGTGTCTCGTAAAATCAGCTGTTTTCCCTTTACCATTAAAATAAGTCCTTGATGACTTTGAGATACAGAAAACCCTAGAAAAACAACCCAACTGTAATCTGTGATTCACTCCTCAACTGTTGATGTGAACAGATTTATTATTTTTTCGAAAGGTACCGGATAACGACTGTTTAGTCCTACTACCATTGTTTTTTTGTTAGAAGGTTGGCGTCATGATGACATCATCTGAATATCCATTGACGGTTCCAACGATTTGCTTGTTGGTCTTTTGGGGGATTTTGTGTGTTTGTATTTCAACAATGTGGGAAGGATTGATGGATATTGCACGAGAGGCAAAATGCTCACACTGGGTCTCATGAAGACCCTCCCCCAGAGACGTGAGGGAATTTCGGGTCAAACTTTTAGATAGGGGGTGACTGGGGGGGGAGGAAGGAGAATTCTGATATCTTGCCTTTGCACTGAGTCGTGGCAAATGAAATGTTGAGTTCCTCTCCCATCCACTATCTGTCCTGATAAAGTTAGCGCTCTCCAATTAAATCGCAATTATTTCTCCAGTGCGTGACGGAAACCTAAAACCAGGCCAAAAGGCCATATGAACATACAGTGGCTCAAATGTCTACATTCTGTATTCAGACTGGCAGCCTGCTGCACTTTGCCACGGGAGTAGCAGGTATAAACGCTCATATAACAATTAAAAGAAAAACTACAGTTTGTTTATAATCGTGTGACAATGTTTTATTACTTGTGGTAGCAAATCCAATTAGGCTATGGTTTTATATGCACTGTTTATATCCCATGCCAACAAGCCAAAAGTCCATGAGACAGTTGAAATTCGATACGATGTCGACACTGGACGACACTATATGCATATGGGTCATTCTAGAAATTTTGGGGTCCAATGCTTTCCCGTCCCTGCCTGTTACGTCTGGCATAGGATATTTAATGTTAAGAACTCGTTCTTTGATTTCCAAGACTGCATAAGTACTGCAAATTACCTGCCAAATAAATAAAAAGTTTGAAAGCAATTTCAGTGATACATCCCTCGTCAAACATGTCACATGGTGTACTTGTCAGAGGTAACAGGGACGGAAAAATGTCAAACTTTGGACCCCAAATTTATAGAACGACAATATGGATGATGCACTGCGGCCAGGGGTAGTCAAGTATGGGGCTGGCCATTTTGGGCGCGCGTCGGTTTTGTTCGACTCGTCCCACGATCCTTTGCATAAGTGTCGTTTCCGCACGCAATTTTGTGCCGAACTTGGCTGGAGCCGTCATGCGCCATCCAGTACCGGAGGTCCTTTGTCAGGCGTGTAGAATTTGATGGAGAGAATGCTGATGCAGGTACTAAGTTAGTTCAGTGGGTATTGGCCAAAAATATGGGTACGAGACATGCAAAACGGCTACCCCTTGACATGTTGGAATGATTCCAAATGCTAGGCAACATATATACAGGAACGGTGATGACTGCTGAAAAACGAGGCGATGATTCTAGGCGGATCGGAACGCATTCACTGAAGCTTCATTGTCATGGGAATGTGTGTTATAATGCTCTTTAAAGAAAATTACGATGCCAACGTTCAACGCCAGTTGAAATAAGGAAAAAGTGAAATTTCTGAAGCAATCGGGTATCCAATTATCCCAGGGAAAAGAAAGTGTCTACATGGTAAAAGTGGATCCAGAACAACGTTTTCGGTGTCCAAAAATTGGAAATTAGTTTCCATTGCCTTTCTGAGGGGTTAGGCTAGATTTATGTGCGTGTGTGTGTGTTTTTTTACAAGCTTTTGGAAGGATGGAATAGACTCCACAAATCACCTTTCCCTCATTATTTTCAATAAAAGTGTTTGCCTTCCTTTTCGGAGGGGATGGCGCCGTGAACCCCCCCTCCCCCCCCATCCGCCCATGTGCTCTCGAAACCTGCACCAGAAGGGGATGTATTCTTCAGCTCAAAACTCGTCGAACCGCTCGTGAACTTAAAAAAGACAAATGAGAACATTGACGGTGTAATGTTTTGCGTCCAAAATTGCCCCGGTGTCTCCATTCCCCCACATGCACAAACCTTGGGGGGGGGGGGTCGACAGGAGTCCCAGCGTCAGTGGGTGCAACATTGTCGTCCTTGGCAAAGTGCCAACAAGGCCTATATTCACTGGCCTTCAAGTGAGCGCGGCTCAAATGCCCCATCTTCAGCGGGGGCAAAAGATGAACATAACTGCAAAGTTAAGCTTTTGTGGCGGGACCTTGAAGCGAACTTGAAGAGGGGTTTTCAGAGAATGACACCTTTATTCACCCTCAGGTCATCGATTTATAATTGGAGCGGGCTTTGCGTTTCGTCTAAAAAGTTTGGGGTAGCCTATGGATGGATATGCCGGGACGCACAGTTTGCTAGCTGTTTGAGGTGGAATAGGAGTGGGAATGGGCGTGGTCATTTGCACATAAGGCCTACACTCATACATGTACATATCGCCCCAATTCCCGACCTTTATTTCTTTAGCTACCGCTTAAGGCCCGAAGGCCTATTAACAAACCGTCCTGTCTAAATTGATTCTCTTAGCTTTTATCAGAAATCATATGTTAATTATTTGTGAAAATGAAAATATCTGCTGTTTATCGCCAAAACCTGCCACTCGCTCGATTTAATAAACACTTTATCTGCTAAGCCGGGGCCTTACGCCGGGGTAGGTCTGTCGATTATCAGTTCACAGCATGTCATTCTCATCAATCACGTTACCCCCCATAGCTACCGGAATGCACCTGTCACCATCAAAATCACCCCCCCCCATCAACATCACACATCACCATCACGACCTGAGGTGGTGATATTATAGGCACGATTACCACATGATCATTATCATTATACCGTAACATTCATTCATTCTACACAAGATGATGTTACGTGCGCTTGCTAGCGCTTACATCCGGTGCAAAGTTCTTTGACCTCACTAGCATTTTACCCATAATGCATTTTCTTCAGGTCAATGCGCACACTCAGTGACCTGGCGCTCGGACAAAATAAAAATCCTGCCCTCGAATCAATGGACGATTTACGGGAAGGCGACCCATTTTGGGGCCGTAAAACCTCCTTTTCTCCCACTCGCTGGTGAGAATTCTGCGTTTGATAGGTTTTCCAATATGAAGGAGATGATTGGGGGATGCTGTGTTTGCGGGGATGAACGCGGCTGGACAGAAAATCCCTTGGTTTATTGCGACGGGCAAGTTTGCAATGTGGCCGTTCATCAAGGTAAATTGCAAAATGTATTCAATTTAAAATCCGTCCTTGCCGCGCCGGTGGACTTTACGCGCCATTATTCATTGACATTCAAATAGCATGACCAGTTAAACTTCTTAATTGATTTAATGGATTGTGACTAATGTCAGTTGTTACATTGAGATCACTTTTAGAAAAATAGACTTGGGTTTTTCCACTCATTTCCCCCAAGAATCCAGTCCTCACCTCGGCCGTATCGGCTCATGAAAGCAGATTCTTTCAGTTTCACAGCCATGACAACTGAAGGTTTAGTTTCCTAAAAGTGGGACTTGGAAGAGGAATAGTCATGAATCGATGAGCTGTGATTGGGTACCTTGTTATTTGCAAATATGTCCTAATGGTCAGCTGGTGTGACATTGTCATGACTGTTGTGTTTGTGGACAGACAGTAACATAAACTTGTTACTATGTGAGTGTGAGTTGTCTGATGTGTCTGTTTCTCTCGATCAGTATTTGTCTCTAAGTTAAAAGACATAGGCCTGCATTCAGCAACTGGATTCTGTACCTGTTAAACATATTAAAGTCCTGACTGTGTGCTTGTCGTTTAGAAACACTAACATTGCTGAATTTTATTCAATATTGAATTTTTAATATACACTCATGACTATTTTTTAAAGCAAACATTCAAAAATAAATTTTTATCATGTAGGCCCTATATCTTTCATAAATTGCAAACAGACACAAAAACAAAACAGATAAATAACCATTGAGAAATTCCCAGAAAGAGTGTTCAGTATTGTTAGTGTGGAACATGGGAAAAAAAACTTCTTGTAATTTGTTAATATCTATTTCACTCATTTGTTCAGATTTTTTGTCTGCCATGATCCCCACCATAACATTAAAATTGAACTCAACTTGAACAATAAAACTGTCAGGGTTCAAACCAGTTTAAAGGGCTGCAGGACAAACTCCACAACACACATCATACCACAACACACATCATACCACAACACATATCATACAGCACCATTTTGTGTTCAGAAGATAAAGCCAGTCGTCTCTGATGCATGAGAAACCTGATTTTTCAGTCACCACTTAACGGACATGCCTGGTTCCTTCTTGTAGCTTGTTATGGCATAGTGACAGTCCCCACTGGACCCTGGTATTGCCGCAAATGTGAATCGCAGGAGAGATCAGCTAGAGTGGTAAGAGTTAAGGAGAGACTGTTTCACCTCGACTCTGCTTCAGCAGTTGTGTACAAAGTCTGTGGGGACTCAAGAAAATTTTTGAAGTATTTTCTGACAAATATGGATATTTTTCTCAGTCCCAGATTCAGATCGTTTCATCAATTTTTGCAATGACTTACCTGTCTTGAGAAGATATGGGATGGAAAGAGTGGAAGCAGGATTCAACACTCTTTCCAAAATTTTCCTCCGAAGGGATCTTATGCGTTAAAAACAGTTGGTTTCCAGATGCTTGGGGGGTGGTATGGTAAGGTTAATTAAGCTTATTGAGCACACTGTACATGGAAGCAGTTTATTGACTGTGTGAAGCCTCAAACTGCACTCTGTTTGCTTTGCAGCGTTGTGAGCTGTGTCCACAGCGAGAAGGTGCATTGAAAAGGACTGACAGTGGAAGTAAGTTATCATTCCAGTTCACGGTGCATGCATGGTGGACATTTTGTACCAGTCACAATCGATATTCAAAGCTCCAGCAAGAGTTGTACATTTTTTGATTGTAGGTTTACATAATTTTTTTTGTAAGTTTGAAAATGAATAAGGAACTGTGTCATCTCAGATGTGAGGAGTAAAACTTGGGTTCGAAAGTTTGTTTTGATAGACGAAAGTCTCAGGCTGTCGCAGGCTTCTCTGCCACGTGTGCCTGTAGCTCTCTCTGCTAATGGACTGACTTAGTGGGACTTTGGCGGTTTCGTGGATGTGTACTGAGGAGGGAATTCTTTTGTAAAAGAACTACAAAGTTAGAAATGCTCATCTTATAAATACTTTGAACAAGGACGGATCCAGAAACAACCTTTTATGGCCTCTCTTGTGGGTGACGCTACACTTCAGGGCTTTTTACACATTTTTGGAAGGGAAATGATGACATAAAATTACCTTGTATTTAAAAAAAAATTGGGGGGGGGGATCCTTTTGGGGGAAGCTTGGTGTGCACTGACCCCCTTCAGATCTGCCCCTGACCCTTAGCATTCTGCCTTGAAGACGGCTAGTTCTTTGCGTGTTTCTACTCCCAACTATTCACCCTTGATCATGCAAGCTAACCTAGGAACAGCCAGTTCTACCTAGGAAAATATCACACACTGTCTTTTACATGTAGTTACTGCAGCAGTAACATATCTTGTTCAAAATGGAGCATTCCCAAAAGTAACAGGAAGTTTTCCGGAAGTTTGACGCACACCTCCAGTCTGTTCATTCTCTTGAGTGTACATGTCTCGTTTTGAAACTAGATTGGGCACACGTGGTCTGCGCGCTTTACATCCCTGAAGTCGACTTTGGAAATGTGACGACTATGGAACCTATCCTCTTGTCGTCGGTACCTGATGAGCGATACAACAAGGTAAAGGGTAACCACTGCATCTATCCCCCAAAATACCTTGAAAATTTCTGTAACCCAGTTACACTGGACTTCCCAGTTCCAGATCTTACAGAACCTTCTGTAGGATTTTGTAGGATTGTGGAAGGGTAGAGCCGAACCGCTTTCAGTCGATGCAGGGGTTCATGCTATGGGAAGATATCTTTAAAAAAAATCAAAATGTTGGCACTGGCACTTTTCAACTGGAGTGGATCTTTCCAAAAGAGTTTTTTTTTCTGTAGCAGCGTCAACTTTGTTTTTCATGGTGCACCATTGTGTTTTTCTTTAGACGTGCTGTTTGTGTATGACGAAAGGACGAGAAAGTAAGGCCGCTGTTGGCGCTTGTATGACCTGCAATAAGAACGGCTGTCGCCAGTCATTTCACGTCACTTGGTGAGTTCCAAGTCCTGTTTAGAATTTGGAATAAGAAGTGGGAAGACTTGTTCTCTCCAGTTACTCTTTGCTATCAGTGAGATTAATGTTGGGCTTTTCACTGAAGGGGACACTTGTGCAAAGATTTCATGATGCTCATTTAGTAATAAGAATTGGATGCTATGTCACATGGATAGTCATTTCTAATCGCTGCTTGCTTTGTTAATCCACATGGGTATATTTTTTGGAGGTGAGGGTGTTGGTGTGTTTGTTTGTTTGTTTGTTTGTTAATCCTAAGCATCCCAAATCAAAATCCTCCAGGCGATTTTGGTGGATTGAGGCTGCATGGCAAAAAATGCATTGCTGATTGCAAAGGATGCATTGTCTCAAGGTTGTAGGTAAGACCTTGTGTTGTTCATGTTCATCCATGCGTAAATTCACGCCCACATTGTATGTGAAATCCCCCATACTGATCCAGGATACCATTCACACTGCCTCAACATGATGAGAGGAATTGGTAGAGGGTTTTGGAGAAGTAAAGCAGTTGGCACTCTTCCGCTCAACATTTTCGAGAAGTATTGGAAGATTTTGGAGGATTGAGGCAGTACCCAATTTTCTTCATGGGGGCAGTTGAAGGATTTTGAGGGATTGAGGGTGCATCCTCTGAAAAGGGCCCAGGCGGTTAGGGTTAATGTGTGAGGGTGTTTGGTTGGTTTGTTTTTTGTTTGACGTATGCTTTGGGCACTTCTTTCTTGCAGTGCCCAGCAAGACGGATTGCTATGTGAGGAAGCTGGATCCTACAATGATAACGTCAAATACACGGGTTACTGCTCATATCATTACACCAAGTTGGTAAGAAAAAGAATTTCTAGGCCAGATTCGAAAATGGAATTTTTCAGTTTGTGTTTAAAATCTGTTGAAAGGGAGAAGTGGCATGTGGAGCGCAGGAAATGTCCTGTGCGATGAAGAAATTTGAAATGTGTAGCTTGTCTTGGTGCTGTTTTCCCTCCCAGAATAAAAACAAGGATATCAAGACAATACCTCCCTTCAAACCCCTTGGAAGTGCTTACAGCACCCCCGAAAAGCCTGCAGACAGGACCTCTGCAGATAGGACTGACAGGACAGATAAAACAGACAAGTCAGACAAGTTGAGACTGGAGAAGGCCAACAAAGTCAAGCCGGAGAGGAAGAACAGGTTTTGCATCGCTGAGGCCAGTGCCGCCCTGCTGGCTCAGCAGGAAAGCGCTGCGGAGGCTCGGGCAGCAGAGGCTAAAGCAGCAGAGGCTCGTCTCACGGAAGCATATGCCGCTGAGTCCAAGTCAGCAACAGTGGCTTCCAGCTCTCCAAGCGGTGGAGGTGGGAAGCAGGACGATCCGTCTGGGAAGTTCACCAACGCTAATTTCACTGAGACGGTGATTGGCCCAACAGGGACACCCCCATCTGCCTCAGCAGGAGCAGAGGATCCGTCGTCAGGTGACAGCTCCTTGATTCTGAAATTCACCCGGAACACAGTGACTCAGCCCGGTCACAGAGGCCGGAAGAGCAACTCTCAGAAGTCAGACGGCCCTGGATCTGCCGACGGTCAGTCAACCTCAACATCGTCCAAATTAGGTGGATCAGAGTTCAGTGTCAGCTACTCGGAACGTGTCTCCTCCCCAAACCAGGCAGTGGAGGATTCCAACTCAAGCCTGAAACCAACCAAATCAAAAAAGGGCAGTTCTAAGTCCAACCCTGCTACTCCGACTCCCACGACCCCTATGGTCGTGACAGAGACGGTAATGGTCAAAGACCTCCCGCCCGAGAAATCTCGAGGTACACCCACGGTCGACGTCGAGACGGTCCTATCCCCTACCCGGAGTGGACCTGGAAAGGCAACTTCTTACACAGACGCCTACGAGGAATTCATGGCCAAGTACAAATCGGACCAGGAGGATTTGCCTGGCAAGAGGAAAGAGAAAGAGGAGGAGGTCTCCCCGGATCCCCCGACCCCAACCCCAACCCCAACCCTGACGTTCCCTTCTGTGTCCAAGATGGTCACCTCCAAGCCCGCCGTCCACAAGCCTTCCAGTTCCAAGCCGGCCATTTCCACCACCTCCAGCAGCGGGGACGAGACCTCCAAGCGAGAACGCAAGAAGCACCGCAGTGGGAAGCGCAAGGACGGTAAGATCAACCGGCCCCGCTCGACAGTGCGATCACTGGGCGGAGGCGATGGCGTGCCCAGCAAGAAGAGGCGGTCTAGCGGGTCATCGGCAGGCAGCCCGTCAGGGCTGAGCATGCCCAGGCTGAGCTTCAGCGGGCCCGGTGGCAGCGGCGGCTTGAGTTCACCACTGTCCAGCTCGTCCTTGCCCAGCTTCTTGAGTCCGGCTGTCAATCACGGTAATTTCAAACATTGTCACCTTCCCTTAACCTTATTCTTCAATGAATTATTCCTCAGTAAAGTAATATAGAGGACTTTATGCCAAAACATGCTACAAAAGAGCCATCACCATGAGTGTTCTAGCTAGGACCATTTTAGTGCCTGGTAAATTTTTGGATTACAAAGCACAGTGAGCGCAGTTCTTAATGCTTTCTGATGCTTGAAATACGATCCAGTTGGTACATTTAAATTTTCAGTAATATTTCAGTTCATTTTTTGGAAAATCCGTGCTGGGTGGCACAGCCAATTTCAACCCTGAGTGCCGGGTGGAAATTTGCAGTACCGGGTGGTGCCGCCCAGCGCCGCTCACCGCGGCTAGAACCCTGATCACTGCCACCCTTTTTTTTGTTAACTGGAATTGTTTTTGTCCACTTTTGTGATCACATTATAATAAGATTTTGTGGATGCCTTGATCAAGGACTTACTGCGCAGAGAAGTAGATGACCAGGTCAAACTTTGAAAAACCCTGACGGTCTGTTTTTGGTCTGCAGAAGATTCCGCAATCCAAGACGTCTTCAACATGGCCGGACAGAGCGGACTCATTGGACCACAGTCGCGGCTAACGTCACTCCATAACCGACAGCACATGGAGGCCAGCCAGTCGTAAGAAAAGCAAATGCCACAGTTTGTAGTGTTTGACAAAGCTGTTGTCTCCATACAAAATGTTTTTAGTTCTGATTGGGGTGGGTTGGGCATTTTGGAGATGGAGCTACATATGTATATTGTTCATAACTGTTATGGACCTTTTGTCATGATGCTGCTATGATTGTCTTGTCCTCTGTGGACCCTTTGGCAATAGTAATACAACTTCACAAATTGTAAAAGGGAACAGACTATATTCCCTTCCAGCCTCAGTTTGATTTGATGGCTGCCCCATGATGGGGGTCTGAAATGATATTGTGACTTATTTGGTGTTCGTGTTTTCAGTACGGGCATGCCTGCCACCATGGAGCAGCTCTTGGAGAGGCAGTGGGACCAAGGCTCTGAGTTCCTCATGCAGCAAGCTACGCACCTGGACAGTAAGTCGCATTTGGGGGGGAAATCGATCCTCGAGATGGTCTCTTGGGTCATGCCGGAGGATACAACTGTACTGTCTTCAAAGTTCTTCTGCAGCTTTTTGTCCAGACGATGAGCTTAGTGCAATATCTTGGTACAGTTGCGAAATTGAGGAATTGTCTGCACTTGCTTCCATTCAGATTGAGCTGGTGTTGAATAGAGTACTGGAGCGGCAATCCAAGTGTCTCAGGTTCATGTCCTGGTTGTGTACTTTTCCTGTTCAGATAACAATGGTAGGGAATAGAACACTAAAGCGGCAATCCATGAGTCTGAGATTCAAGTCCCGTTGGGTCAGTTTTCCTTCTGAGATGACAGTTGTAGCGGTAGTGGAGGACTCAAGCGATAAATCCAAAGGTATTGGGTTCGAGTCCTGTCTTCTACACTTTTCATGCTTTTTCTATTCCATTTCAGTTGCTTCCCTGCTGTCCTGCCTGTACCAGCTGCGCCAGGAGAACACACGGCTGGAGGAGTACATCTTGTCGCTGGTGCAGCGCCGCGACCACCTGTTAGCCGTCAACCTGCGGCTTTCGCGGCCCTTAAACCAGGGCGGGTCGCCGGACAACCCCACCTCCCGCCGTAGCCCGCGGTTCAACAACGTGATCCATTCGGACGCGACGACGCTGAGCGCAAGTAGTCAGGTAGCGAAAACCAACCATACCAATGACAGTCCTGATTTATGATAACAGTTCAGCAAAAAATTGAAATGTCCTCAACAGTTGTCATAATTCTTTCTTTGTACAGTGTTAGGAACTCGTTTGGTTTTAGAGACCTGGTACTGTGTTTCTGCTGACTAGTGGATGTTAAAACAATGGCTGGCTGTCAGTACAGAATCTAGAGAATAATTCACGCGTTATAAAATCTCACTAAGCTAATTCAACATGCCGAATTACAAATTACTACCTAAATATAGGACCCGCTTTGGAGGTGATGGGACGTATGTTCAATTGGATCTGTTTATGGCACAGTATCTGTTGTTCCTTATCTGGTTAGGATTTGAATAGCAGTCGGAGCAGTACCCAGAGCCTGAACCACTCGCTGAACCACTCCTACAACCAGGCCCCTGCTCTCCCCATGTCCCAGTCCCACGCCACGCCCGCCATCAACTTGAACCACGCCCAGCTGCCCCTCCACCGGTCCAGTACTCCGCAGAACAATGGTGTGGCCCACTTGCCCGTTGTGCCTGGCCCGGGCGTCTCCCAGTCTTCCGCCCCCTCGGCCCGCCAAAGCCCCGCCCACTCCCACACATCCACCCCAGTTGCTGCCGCAGCCGCCGCCCAGGGTGCGCCGGGTCACGGCCAGGCCACGCCCCCGCCCGGCCGGCTTACGCCGGGCCATGGGCCGGGCCGCATGACGCCCAGCCAGGATCGCATGACCCCCGTGCAGGTCAAGACAACGTCGGGTCAAGGGTCATCAGGTCATGGATCAGAAGTCCACAAACGAGTACCATCCAGAGATAGGTAAATAAATGTCAACTTTCTTAAAACTGACACCAATTTGTAGATGAAAACTTTCGGCCTTTTTGAAATGAGCAGGAGTGTACACTCTTGTCAACTTTTTTTTAGTTTGATTAAGCTTAATCCCCAGTGTGAGTAAAAAAAAAAATTACTGAAATAAGACGATGTGGAGCCATGGTTCCAATGGTCTTGAAAATTCCTTGAAAAAAAAAGTTGTACAGCAAAGTCATGAAAAAGTAATGGAAAACTGGGAAAAATAGGGTTTCTTGAAAGCCTGTTGTCAGAGGAAAAAAAGTCATGGAAAAGTAAATGGAAATCAAGATTATGCAAGGGTTTTTTGGATTAACTGCTTTCGATGTGATTACAGAATAATGATAAATTTACAGGCAATCCTTGTCAGTCTGTGGTAACGGCTATGGCAGTCTTCCAGCTCATAATCACACAGCCTTTCTCTGCTGGTGGCGTTGAGGTTAAACGGTGTTTATAAGGGAATAATTATGTGCTTGGCTGCCGGTCTTAAACGTGCGTCTAAGATGGGCTCAGGAGAATCGACATGACCAGTGCTGGAGCTGCCGGCGAGGTGTTTAAGACTGGGCAAACACATATTTATTCCCATTCATAAATACCTTTTATTTAGACAGTCAGCATATGATTGATTTCCAACGTTATTCTACAACTTTACTTTCATTTTCCCAAACACCCCCGTCCATTGTATGGTATATTCCTTTTGAAAGCAGTTCAATAGAATCCCCTTGTATATGGACTTGGCGCGCACATGGCGTGCTGTGCGTGCTGTGTCACATGCAGACTCATGACCAGTAGTAAAAATGGAGTAAAGTGTCTTGTGCCATCGAGTGTTTTACTCAGTGGGTATTATCACTTCTCAGCGGGCATTATCAAATGTTAAATTAATACACGGTCAAGTTGCATGTTGTTGAATAGGGAGACTGTCTGCGGTACTTATGACATAGTGTTAATTGTCATGCAAATTGTAACATTTCAGTCCAGGAAAAGTCTTGGAAAAGCTTGTTTTCAGATTTCTGTGGGAACTAGACTGTCCAAAAAATAGACTTTGGGCAAGATTCTAGTATTATTTCTAGACTGTTATGCAGGAAATAATTCATTTCATCGTGCCCATCTCCACAGCACGAGCACCGAGTCGTCTCACTCTAGTCGTGACAGTACAAGTCGGGATCAGCTGGGTCTGCCGGGGGTCAACCCAGGGTCACATCCTGCCATGGTCCTTCAGCATCCGCAGCTTAGCTCGCTGGTCCAGCAGCATCTAACGCCAGTTAGTTGGATAATGCCGCATCCTGTCCTATGGTTTGTAGGCTTACACCTACTTTTGCTAAGTGCAGATTTCCAGTGCTTAGCTCTGTGACGTTTTTCAGCAGAATGTGACCAATTAGTAGATTTCACCTGTTCCTCTGAGTTTTTTGCCTTGCACATAAAAGTTGCAGAAAGCTTGGCATCTCCATCAGAATTTGTCTGGGATTTGAAACATAAGTGCGTAATCAGTGAAACTCTCTGCCTCGTGCCTCCAAGACGGAGGATTCGAGACACAGGATGTCACTTGCAAATTTTCTGTGGTTACATTTTTTTTTTTAAAGCTTACCACTGTGCACCATCTCAAGAATTTTTTAATTTTTTTTTTTGACCGTTCCCTTTGTCTGCAGGAGCATCAGCATTTGGTGTACCAGATGATGCAAACCCAGAACCAGGCCGGCTTGGGCCTGTCGGTGCTACTCCCCCCTGGCATCGGAACGGCCACCACCACCACCACCATCATGCCCCTCAACGGGGAGCTGCCGACGCTGACGGGGCACTCCCAGTCACAGAACACCAGCCGACCCAAGGTGTGGCATCATCGCTTCATTATTAGACACATGACAACATCCTTGCTGTTTTCACTAAGAGACGAATTTCTCCATACTTTGTAAATGTAAACTTTCAAGGAGATTACATTTAAAGTTGGTCACATTTTCAGTTGGAGAATTTGTATCTAGATGAACTTAAAGAGTCGATTGATGTAATACATTGTGTGAATATATATGTCTTTGCCATAATTTACAAAAATATACCACCCAGTCCTTAATTTAACTGTCGTTCTGGGCTATTGGTTCACCATTTGTTCCTTCATGAAAACCTCCAAACTAGGGAAAGGATATTGGCAATGCCCGTGCTGTAGCCACTGCAAAATAGTTACATTGGTGTACAGTTCCAGAGTTCCATTTGTCCCTGTAATAAAATGGCCAAACTAATGTTTGCCCCTCGTTGCTCAACACAATTTCTACTGAGAACACATTTTGTCCCTTCGTGGAAACCAAAAATCCAGTTCATATGAATTTTGCCCCATGGAGATCGTTGTGACTTGGCTGATGTCAGTAGATTTGGTCAAAATGATCCCACCGAACAGAAATTTAAAGATGTGATTTTGGGCCTTAAAGCTGTGTCTGAATTACTTGGCTGCGGCTGTCAATCATGCGCATATCTATGGGAAATGAAAGTAGCCGCTAGCAAGCGGCTTCCATCTTCAGATGCATTATTTGTAGCCATAGCCAAATGATTTGGACAAGATTTAAATCGCATACATTATTGCTATGCATCGGCGTGCACTAATGCATGTATGTGATGTGTTTTTTGTCGTAATCCAATTAGGGTGGAATGTTTACATGTTTAAACGTTCAAACAAAGAAAAGTTCCAAATCCGTTTTACAGATTTTCCCAACCGTTTAAATGGAACTGCCACTTATAGAGGTTTGACGATTCAAATCACGCAATCTGGCATTTCATTTTTTTTGTAAACGATGCCTGTAACATGCAATCTGTCTGCTGTCTTAAATCAATTCACAACACTTAGGAGTAACTCTTGGTCAGAAATACTACATTTACAACTTGAGTTTGACATCAAAACAAACAAAATGTCTGATTCTTGTTTGCAGAGCCCCAGGGGAGGAGATCGAAGGCAAACAAGTTCTAAAGACAAGAGCTAACATCGAGCTCAGCATCTTAATGTGAGTTTTTTTTGTATGAAGTGACAGTTTGAGGGTATTTTTCCCCATTTTCCATCCACAAAAGAGACGAGAAACCCTTTCGTAAACAACGGAACGAAAAAATGACAATCTGTGACGAGCTATGTAGAGTAAAGCTGACGGTTGTTCCTGTACAATTTTCCGTTGCCCGGGCGAAGCAGGAATACCTCCCACTGTTGTGAACTTGCAAATGACCTTTGCAGTTGAGTCCTAGTCGGCCAAAACTGTCAGCCCAATACCACCTCTAGGTGACAAGGAAAGGAGATGGCGAGACCTAATGGGTTGTATGTAGCAGGTTGAATAAGACCAGCTTGGATTCTCGTGGCGAGGGCGCTAGTTCAAAGTCTCTGCCGTATTCGGATACGTGGGTGCATGCTGATGATAGACATATCCACAACCCCGAACGCCTTTGACCGGGGCCCTGGCTTCCACAATGCCATTGAGGCTGTCCTTTTCTCCCAATTCAACTTGCCCCCAAAGTAGCTTATTTTCGACGAAATGGAAAAACGCCACAGAAACCGTGCACAAGGTTCAGACGAGCGAGAAATTTTGATTGATGTTTGAGCCTACTTCTGTTGCTAAAAAATATGCATCCCCCGACAAACTATTTGGCCGTGCCTCGATGGTACAAGGGGCCAAATCAGATGTCAGGGTCAACCAGAAAGACCCCTCCCCCCCCGAAAAAAAATTTGTTACGTCGTAAAGCTGGCTATGAAGATTGATATTTTTGTACGGCATTCTAATTTACACTGAATTGGTCCTTAATGCAATTTAAGATTGCCAACTGAAATTAATATCGTTATTTCAGATTTTTTTGCCGTTAAAATGTTCAGGCTTATGTTCTGTTCCTATCCTAGTTGACAGAAAAGACGACAAGCTTTTTACGTGATGTGCCAAAATCCTTTTACTTTATCTCACATATTCCTGACATATCTTCTTTCCAACCCTTAAGAGCACGGTATTTGAAATGTAAAAAAAAAGTTTTAAAAGGCTGGATTTTTAGTAAAATTGTACCGATACCTCAAGTGGATTTTTACCCCGTTTTTAAGAAAAGCGCTGGTGCAGCACACTGGAAAAGTTTAAACGTTACCGGAATCATCTTTGGCAGTCACAAACAAAATATATTTGTACAGTCATTTAAAAAAAAATTCTAAAACTAGAAAAATGAAAGTCTCAGGAAAGTACATAAATTGTGAAAATACATGTAGAGTTTTAAATTTCGAGTGTATGTGCACCTGTCCGTGAAGATGACAGAAAATCACGGAGGAAAACGGAAGCAGACACATCAGAAAAATATCTGAATTATGATGTAATCGTGATTTATTTTTGTTATTGTCTGATGAAAAAATGTTTCACATATGAATGTGGAAAATTGAAAAATTCGCACTAGATTGCCGCTCACATGTGAGTGGTCTGAACAGAGGCTACAAAGAAAACTTGTGACCCGCTCTGTGAAAATGAGGCCTTAGGCCGTTATGGCAGTGGCGTTGTTTCAGTTTGTGCTAGAAAGAGAAAGCTTAGCACTTTGTTTTGATGAATCAGAAAGAGTTCCATGCATGTACAAGGACATCACTTGACACCTCGTGCACAAACCTGTGAGGCTTATTTGACAAATTCTAAGTGTTTTTCTAACTAACTGCTTCATTATTTTTTTCTGCTAAACGTGGCTGTTATGGACATGTTGTCACTTCCTGACGGCCACTGAACAACTGTAAGGGAAAATCAGTGATGTCCGTTATGTCCATGTCTGGAACTCTTTCCAACGTATCCCTGGTTTTGGCATCCCGATGAACGTGAGGATAAAACGTGTTGATGGCTGCCATTGATTTCCATTGTGTAAGATTCTGTTCAAGGCCTGTTTACTCAATAATGGCTCTGGTGACTTGTGGCTCATTTTCACAGAGTGGGCCACGTATTTGCTAAGCAAAAACAGGTTACCAATCCCAAAGTTATGGTGTGCACATTGCTTGTGAATAGTACCTGGCAAATTCTCTCTCTTTTTTTGCCGAGGGCACAAATTTACCGAGAAAGAGTTTCGCCCGAGCAGCTCTGTGAAATTCGGTCGCGACCCAAAGAGCTCCCCAAGCAGTGCATCCACAAAAAGAGCAAACAGGAGCACAGCAGGGGTGGCAAGATCCCTGATAAGTTGTTGCTCAGCGTGGTCAAGATGTCTTTAGGCAGTTCTTGTCTGGGTTAAATTGAGATGTCGGAGCCGATGCAAAATTGGTCACAGGAGACATATTCTTGCTTTTCATTCTATTTGTCTTGACCCGTTTTTGCATCGGCTCAGACTGGTCAATTTAATACCTGAAAACACTGATTGTTATTTGTGCCAATATTTGTGAGATGACCTTATCATTATTAACCGTGATTCTGTTGAAATATCAATTGATTTAGGTTTTTTTTTCTTCTGGTTTGCTTTTGTTTTTTGTTTCGTTTTTAAATTAAATGTAAATCTCACCATATCTAAGTGACCAAAAGTACTGTAATTTTTACACTGTCTTGTTAAATATCCAACTGATTTGGGAGGGACAAGACATGTTTTTTAAAAAAGTCTTTGTATTTTATCAGGACTTTTGGCCAAAAGATAACCCTGAATCACATTTTAATTTGTTTAAGGTTGGTGATGTCTTCTTATTATTGTGTTGTAAATTTCCCTTTTTTGTAAAATAGTGTCGTGATTTTTCAAACATTTATTGGAATGTTGAATTTGAATTGAATGTGTTATCCTTCTCCACTTGTATTGTTCAGGGTGCCGACTATTTGACCTGATGTGCAGTTTTTTGAACTTTTAACTTTGAAAGATGCCTCTTTTGATTGTCTTTTTTTCTGCCCTTTTGCTGTAGCCTTTCTGTTAAAATTCACGAAGAAGTAAGAAAAAATAAACTGTTCCAAAGTGAATTTCAACATTTCCAAAAAGGAAACGAATTCTTATCTTGAATGTAATCATGCTGTCATTCTCGTTGATGTATGAAAAGTTTGGTGCAAAATGAAAAAAGATAACAGTAAACCGTCAGATCCTTTGAACATTTTTTCCAGATTCTAAGGAATTTTTTGCAAGCTTTGTAATACAGTGTTTGTAAAATGTGTGCAAAATTGTCTCAAGCTTTGCAGACACCAATTTTTTTTATCACTGTACATAAACTTTGCATATTTGCCAGTTTACGAAATGAAATTTATAAATAGCTTGGGGAGTTAAGGTTTTTTGTAATGAATGTATATTGGTTTATTCAAGTGACTAACTCCCTAGCACACTGGATGTTTTACTAGTGGTATTTATGTACATGTAGTAAGGCAAATTGAAATGATTTGGTGTATATTTAGCAGTAAATTCCTTTCTGCTGGAAACCAGTGATGTTTACAATAGTAAAAGCATTGTGATTGCCTACCAGTGTAGCTAATCCAAGCTTGTTTCTTGTGACAAGTAGCTGACCAAAGTAGCTTGACAAAATTGAAGGCACTTCCAGAGCTAAATGGAGAATTTTTGGACTTGCTCATGGGAACAAATATCTTTGCAGAATTGTTTAGTTGTTTTATCACTCACTTGGAAATATCAAGTTTGCCAATCAGTTTATTCGAACTGAAAGTGTCAAATTTAAATTATTTTTCAAGATTAAGTTTCTCTTTATCATCTGTGAGTTGTGCATTTCTTTTGAGGCTGAGTGTGATTCATTCAAAATCAAAATTATTTTACATATCTGTCTGCATTGTCTTTTTACTTTTTTTTTTACTTGAATGGAGCAGGTGCCAATTTAGTGTCATTTTGCCACTTAGCTGAAGGTCAACATCAGATATGTAACACGTAGCACGTGCCACAAATCAACTCCTCGGCTGATTGGGGCTTAAAAGCTGAAAGATTTTGCTTGGATGAATTGGTTGTGTCAGCTCTGTGATGTTCCCCTTAACCCTCCTGTGCTGAAGTCGCTCTTTGGGTCAATTAGTTAGCTGCACAAAGATGTACAACTGTGTCATGTTGTGCACAGCACCAACTGTCCCTCACAGGAATATCAGATTGCACTTTTGTGCTGCCCAACAACTGTGCTTCACTGTTTCATGTGCATCATTGTGCAGTAAACCGAATGCAGTGAAGAGGACTGCACAAAAGACCCTGAGTCATTTTGTGCCAGCAACCAACTGTGTACACACTGAACCTGTGCATGTTTGAGTTCCATATAGAAAATACATGCACAAGAGTGACTGCTGGCATTCATGCATATCTGTACTGTTAAACATAGGAGGGTTAATCCACTGCTCGTTTACTTTGTGTGTTGCTGGATTCTTAGGGTTGGGGCAGATTCTGTTGCTCACTTGTCCATTTGCCCCGAAAGTCCTATGCCCAGAATTGTATTTTTTTTATACTGACTGTTATGTTGACCAGTGTAATGTGTGTTGTTACCAGTTTTATGGATTATCAGACCAAGATTTACTTCAGACGAAAGCGTACAGACCTTGTCCTCAGTTTTTCTTTAAGTTGTGGCCATGGGTATCTTTCAGAGGATTATTGCATATTCAGTCTTCACCTTAGACTCGAAAATAAGTTCCATTGTCTTTCTGAAGTGTTTTGGGGGGAGAAAGACTAGGTGTGGGTGTCTGAAGGGAAAAATGGACAAATTTGTCTCGTATTTTTGACCTGCTGGCCAGTCTTAGAAGGTTTAACACCGAGGTGGGTGATCATTAACCATATCATTGAGACTTGTAAAGTAGATCTTATTGTTCGTTGGAAAGTTACCGAACTGTAAATGTGTTGATTGTGAAAATTGTTATTAATAATATTATGGTTATTGTACATACAATGGAAAAAAGGAACATTTCTCATTAAAAAAAATTTCACAGTTTTTCTCCAGAACCACTAGGAAATGGGTTGTTTTTGGTGTGGTTGGTGTTTTGGCAAAATTTGATAAAACATTGCTCTTGCTTCGATTTTCTTTTTCTTTTTTTTTTTGGCAAAGCAGTTTAAAACCGCACCTACTTTCAGTAACTTTTAATTTATCGTAAGTTAAGATGTGCTGATGAAACATTTTCAACCCTGACTTATGTGATCTGGGAAGATGTTGAGGAACTGGTGGGGAGTGGTTGGGGGTGCAATGATCGCGCGCCGAGGCCCTGACTCGTACCCACAACATGAAGACGTCAATTCCGTATGCGAGTCATTTCAGAATATAGAGGGCGCTCTTGACCATGCATTAGTGTTCACATGATCTGACAGCGCGATCCGTGTATAGCTAGCTAGCTCCTGAGAAGAGAGAGAAAAGATTAAGCATGAATATGAATGTGTCTTCAAGGCGACTTACTCCTCAGGGACTTGATCTTCTAGGTGAGTTAAGACCAACGTAAAGAAATAGACGTGTTTGGGCGTTTTTGACTCGATATCCCACGTCCCAGCTCAGCCTCGGGTCCTGAATGAAATAGGTCTAGGCCTAAATAAAAAGCATAAAAAAGGAATTTCCACTTTCGGTTCCGAATTGCGAAATTCTCTTCGCTCGTCTTGGCCAGCCACATGAACAGGACAAGGGAGTACTTCGACGGTTCATAGAGCACGGAATTAACTTGAAATATCCCGTAGTGGTGGAGGTTGTCGCAGAAGACCAACTTACTCTGTAGGCCTAGCGACTTTCTGCTTTTTAGGCCCTCCTCTTTCATGCACTTTTCAGTCAGAAATCGAAACCTTTGCCAAAGACAGTATGATATTTTTCCATGGAGGATAAGTAATGTGTTTTTATTCCTAGTCCATCCAATGTCAATACATAGGCCTGTGCCTACATCGTGGGTGGGATGTTGTAATTTTTATTATTTTAATTGACAGCATAGCCATGTCGTTAGTTGCAGTCAGCAGAAAACAGGATGATTATCATGAAATTGAAGACGTGGGACAAACGTATCTAGCTACTCTCGGTCTGTTTTCTTTTTGTTTGTGGACTAAAGCATTTTATCGTGGAGTACCCTAAATTCGTGCATACAAGTATTCATGCATCCAACTCTCTTGTTGTGAAGCTCTGGAACAAAATTATACACTGAGGTTGATTTACTGTCGATGATCGATCCTCAATTTGGCATTTTTCTTCTTGCAACTAGGTGCGAATTAAAAGCTTTTCCAGGGAGAATTCTTTAAAAAATGTCTGTAGAGCATAAAGGTTGTCCTTTACAGACTAAATACAAAATGAACCGGTTGAAAGTGTCTAGAATGGATAAAGTGATCGCTGGTTGCTCACTATTAGTGTTGGATGTCCGATACAGGCACTAATGATAACTTTGATCAACTTTCGCCAACTGTTCAGGGCGTTGTCAAAAATATGGAGCTTGAAAAAGCACTGCGCGCACCTTATATTTTGAGATTTTCGTTGCTGGCGACGGGTACAGATTCTGTGGTACTGTATTTTGTGACTTTTCAGAAATACACACAGAAAAGAAGTTTTGTCTAAATATCCAGATCAACAAGGCATATTCATGCTAATTATGGTCTATTTGAAAGATTAAAAAGTCATGCCTCACTGTAACCTGAAACTAAACTGAAAAATAAAAAAAGGAGAACGAAGAAAAGAAAGTGATGGAAACTCAAACTTTTCCTCAAACTGCATCACTAAACCAAAGTGCAGTAGTTAATGCCAAAAATAGTTCCTCATTCAACACGTTCAAGAAATATTAACTGCGCATATTCTGGTGACATAAGTTTTACTACAGCCGATCCGACTCGTCGGCAGACGACGTTGTAGCTGTTGCTTCAGTGACATCCGATGTTCTTCATCATATTATTCCATGTGGTATTTTAGTCAAACTTTCAGCTAATGAGAATGGAAACGTAAAAGTTAGTTTATTTAAGAACACATTTTGGTTAAAGTACTTAGTGCGCGAATTATGGTGACTCGTGGATGTATGGTTAAGCAAAAATTGAAAAAACTGTTATCTCTGCAAGGTCTACCAAACCTCAGTTTTTGAGTATCAGTGGCAATTTTGTCATTCACTCAGGTACAAGAGTTTTTTCTGAAATAGACCTGTGTTTTTCTTCGTGTGCCCTACTTTTATAGGTTAGTATGAGTTGTAATTTCAGTCCAGATGATGTATTGAGCACCAGTCCAAACGCTGCAATCATGACGAGTCCCTATGCTGACCAGAGTCGGCCCATCCTGGACTCCGTGTCTTCGGGCAGTGGCAATTACTCCTCCATCGATCGCAACAACACTGCCAACAAGCTGCTGGAGGAGAAGACTAACCCACTGGAGCAGAAGACTAACCCACTCTCGCCGACAGGAAGTGGGCGGGGAATTGGCTCCTCCACGTACTCCTACGAAGAGCTCAGCAGTGGCCTCATGTGCCCCACCTGCCAAGGGACGGGGAAGATCCCCAGAGGTAAGGCTTGGTTTATTCAGGGGTTTGGCAAACAAAGGGGATTCACTGATACAGCGCGCCACCAAGCGGTTGCCTCGTAGAGGCCGTTTTCAAGTTAAGGGTTTGGGGAAAGTTTTGATAGACTGGGACAGTTCATGCATTAGAAAGAAGAAAGGATCCTCTTCCCTGACAAACATACATCAGGAATATGTTAAGTCCTTTGTTCCCAGCCAATGAATAGAATGTGTCAGCCATTTTCCACGATGCACTGCCAAAAATGGCCTTTCTGTGGCATTCTTTTGATGGCGCACTGTGTTGTGAATTGCCTGGTTTACCTTCTTTTCTGGTAAACATAACTTCAGTCCGATTGTTTGTGAAAACTGTTCAAATAGTGCGAAGGAAAAGACAAGGTTTAATGTGACAGTTGGATTTCCAGCATTAAATGCAACATTAGAAAAAAATCGGCTTTATGTGCTTGAACTTGAGAACTTCAAATGCACCAGCCATTGTTGATGTTTGCACGATTGAACAAAAGACATTCAACATTTAATAACGGCAGACGAGAGTTCCATAGGCTGAAAAACTGTTTCTTGACATCTGCCAAAAAAACAGTCTTGTCAGTTTTTTCCAATATTAATCCCATCCTTACGTTTCATACACCAAACTTGACATTCCACAGGGCAGGAAGACGACCTGGTCGCTTTAATTCCATACAACGACAAACGTCTGAAACCTCGAAGGACGTAAGTATGCCCGCAACTCTGTTACTGTAAATGGTACTGTTTGGGGTGACATGTAGAGATCAGTGCAGGAGGTATCAACGGTGTACAGACTGTTATGGAAATATCACAAGGCCTTGATTCACCGCCAAGTGTGCCCTCTGTCGGTGATAGTGAAAACTGGAAGAGCCTACCCCCTTTCTAGTGAGAGGGGCCGAAAATGACGCTAGACACCACTGTGAGATATTCCAGACTCGGGTTTCAGTTTGGCTTGGATGGTGTTCTTAGATCTCTCTCCGCCTCGAGCAGAAGCACCCGTCATCGGTTGAAAAGAGCCATGTTGGGTCGGGAGTGCTCATTTTGTTGGCAGCAACGTGCCCGTAACATGTGCGTTTCATAGTCGTTTGTGAAACAGCGAAATGCAGTTCCGACCAAGGAGCTGCCGTTGCGAGGAGAAATGTGCCCTCTCTTGGTCCAGTTTGGGGCTCATTGCCCTGCGGACGGGTCCTTTCCGTTTGTCCTGAGTTAGACTAAGTTTTCAGAAACTGCCATGAAATTGTGCTTGGATGGTGTGGTTGATTGTTTGAATTTGTGCCCACATCATTGGTTCAGCATTTTTCTGAACATATTCATGCACTTTTATCTCTAAAGCGTCATAGAATTTTATTGCAGATGCATATTTTGCATACAGTGCCCAAAACAGATTTTTTTGGCAAGTGCTCAGGATTGTAACCAAAGTTGTTAAATATTCACCATTTAGTTAGAATGGTGGTGGACAGGTGCATACCAGCACCTTAAGATCTTTATATTAACAAGAATGATATTATAAAATCAGTGCTGTGGAATATGTACGTGTAATTACCGAGCTTTCAGTAACTGAAGAAGGTCACTCAGTCACCGAAAGCTTGGCAATTACATGTTCCAGAGCACTGATTTTTGTATTATTCTTGTCAATATTCTGATCGTGGTGCTACGCAGCCCTTCCATAGTTACCTTACGATCTGTTTTCATTTAAGAAAAGAAGAGTATTGGAGTTGATAGATTGGAGAGGTTCTAAGTTAACTCCCCCCTCATCCGTCCAAGTCCAAAAAGAGGCTTTGGGAAGATCTTTGTAGGATTGACTCCAGCCACTGTAACTTCCCACAGGACTTGACAACCCCTTGACAGTCTAAACCACACTGTGCTGTTGGTCTCTCCTGCAAAGTTGAAGATTTTGGAGGGCCCAGACCAGTTCCCGGCTTTCAAAAAATCCAACAGTCAACACTTTTCATGTCGAAGAGATTCTTAGTGGCTATCTAATTTTTTTTTGTTTCTTTCGTCGTGACCGTTTTCGCTCGGCAGCTGGCTCTACGTCTCCCTCTCAATCCTCTTCTGCGTTGTCCTGGCCGGCATCCTGTGTGCCTTCCTCATCCCCAGGTCCATAGAGGTTGTACACGACAACGTCACCACCCTCCATGTTGACCTGAACGTGACAGACGACAGGTGTTTCATGACTTTAAAGGTGAGTGCGGCGTACCAGTCACCTAAAGAGTTCCACCAGTAGCTTATTGTTACGTCACATTACCTCTCGTTACAACTGTTACACAAAATTGTAAAGAGTAATGCAGACTATAAATTGTCATGCAGTAAAATAACGTACGTTGTACATGTTAATAACTTATCAAACAGTTTTCAGTAACTGTATCACGATGTGTTTATCAGGAAAACTGAGAATAAAATAGTTCTTTTGTCAATTATATTATCACCGAGAGGAAAAATGAAAGCAAGAAAGCTGAATGAATCATGAAATATGTTTACTCGGCAGGGAATGAAATTGAAACCAGTTTCATATTGTGAAATTTATTTTTGTCATGTCGTAGCGACTGTCTTGCTTTCTTTGCTTTTATTTTGATGTTTCCCCAAGTCCCCCTGTTTTGACTAAATTTCAATATCTGTTTTTTTGTTCACAGTCGATTTACAATGTCACAAATAACAATTTTGTGCCTGTGATGACAAACGACATCAAGATTCAAGTCACCGTCCTCTTCCATAAGCAGATATTTACGTTCCCGAAATTTGTTCCCAATAGCCCCATCCCCGTTAGATCTACAGTGCAGGTGAGTAGTGAGTAGAAGCATTTCCCCCTCCCACAAACTCCCCAGCCCCAGCCCCAGCCCCAGCCCCACCCCTTCCAGTGCTCCTCTCCCTACTGTCAATTCCCTTAAAGCCCAAAGCCTCAAAAGAAGTAGTCGGGCATTCTTTCGAGGACCACGATACCTGGCTACAGTTTTTCCTTCGAAACCACACAACTCAATAAATGCGTCGTTGGAACACCTCCCCTACAGAATTTAGAACGTCAGGTTCTGGTCTAGTGTTTTTTTTTACGGCCCAGCTTGACCTATGGTCTTGCAGTGGGAAACTTTGAGACGCTGGTGGCAGCAGACGTATCGGTCCCTTTCACAGTATTGCCCCCGCTCAGAACTGTGCGCACATGCTCAGAACAACAGGTGGTGGAAATGGTCATATGTTGGTCCTGGAAAGTCCTGGAATGTGGTTTCCAGATTTCTGTGGGAACCCTGTTCCTTCCACTCGATACTCCAATGGATGTCCCATCTAACCAAGTCAAATATTCCTATTTATTTTAGCCAGCTCACCCTCTCCCGTCCCTCCCCCCCATCTACCCCTTCCCACAACCATTCCTTCAAGCACTAGCCTTCCTTGGTCTAACATCTTGTTCCACCATTTCGCTTTGCAGATTAAAGAGCCGCTTAACATGACTTTGACAAACAAAGATTTCCCAATGTAAGTTAAATCTCAAATCTTTCTTAACTTGAACGTTGGGCTTTATATCTGAAGATAAATTCAACCCCTAAACATATAAATCATTCCAAAGAACAGCAGCATTCAGAATGTGTAGCCTGCCACGTAAGCCTGGAAGTGCCGGATTATTTAGGCATTCCTTTCAGACCCTTTCTCATGAACTATTTAGTTGTGTGCATTTACGGGTACTTTGGGAACCGGGTACCCGATTCCCATAACGGGCGGGTACCTGGGTACTCGTAATTATTGTGAAGATCAGCGCAAAATGTGGAAGTCAAGTTTTATAACTCGTCCTTGCCCACACTTTGTGACAAAGCTACTGTTGGTGGTGGGAATTGTCGTTATTAAACAAAGGGCGTCGCTTTCCCTTAGTGTCACAAACATGTAAACATCGTCATCTCCAATGTAGACGAGGGGGAAATTGTTAGGACACGGTCTCTCAAGATGTTTTATTCAGATTTTTTCCCCAATAGTTTTCGGGCAATAATCAAAAGAAAAGGTTGCATGCCTGTCAAAATTGTTGGAACAAAATTTCACCAAAGTAGTGTCAGGTAAAAAGTTCAACAAAATGGAATGGGGTACCCATAATCAACGGTCAGGTTTCGGGTTCCCGGGCCCTAAAACTGTTATTATTGTTTTTGATTTGCAGAACTTATTGCCGTCCTTCGGGAACACGTGACAATTTCATCTACATGCAGTTTGAGTGAGTATGAAACCTTGTCCTTCAATCAGGCAGTTGTCATAACACTAAAGATGACCAGTATTCAATTCCCTGTAAAGACTGTTTACATTTTTTTATGTTCTCAAAGCTGACGTCGCGCCCCCTCGAATCTTGTCTGTCCTATAGAAAAACAGATCTTTGTGAAACTCGGCATGGGTGCAGATACATCAATTGTGAATGTGAGTCTTGGAGTCTGAAAGCGGTCAAGCAAAATGTCTTTATTGTCGCATTCATCTATCGTTCAAACTCTGATGCGTGCTCGGTCCATTTGTAAGCGCTTTTCCTCGTGATGTCTCGGAGGAAAACAAGTTTTTGCTTTCGCTGCTTGGAAAGTGAGCATTTCATGTCGAGACAAGCGCAAGATGCCAGCAGAAAAGCATCCTTAGGCTGATGCATTTGTTGTGATTTTTTTCTCTCTTTCTCTTAAGGTCGACCTTCAACTTTACTCTGATGACGCAGAACGACCAGAAAGTAGTTAACGAGTATTTTCGCGTCAATTGCAATCCCAAGCAGGCCAAGGATGATGAGCCGCAGCTCATCTTGGAGGCAGTTGAGTTTGATGAATATGCCAAGATATACACTTAGAACGTGTTATGAGAGTTTCTTAGCATTTCTGATCATTCGTGAGATATTCCCATATGGGAATCTCAGAATTCCTGAATGGGAACCTGGAGTCTCTGCACGGAAACCCAGATTCCCATATAGGAACCCCAACATTCCACATTTAAGCTTGGCATTCTTGTATGGGAACCCAGCATTCCAACACTGGAACCTGGCTTTCCAAGACCTTCTCTTTTGTTGACACAAAGTGACCGCCATTTTGAATGGGCAGCCAAAGTTTGCAGAAAGTTCACCATTGGTTGGCAACAACTTTTGTGCCAAAAGGCATGCTTGCTCCAGTAAGCCTTTTTCGAGTTAAAGTTGAATAAAATCTGGTACACTGAGTTATCTGATTGCACATAAACATAACAATTTGAATTCCCCAGACTAAAGACACTGTTGCTATACCTCGTGATTCGGGGCAAGCTTTCACAAAGCAACCACCATCTCTGGAATGGACTGGTTCCTTTGTGCCCTTCTTATCCATTAAGAACAGTGTATTGTTGCAAGGCGTCTCTTATGTAACTAAGCAAAAGCTTGCCACGAATCACAAGGTATGGCAACAGTGGTTTCAGTATGGAGAATTTAAATTGTTATGCTCGCATGAATTTAAAGAATTCAGTGTACCAGATTTTAGTCAAATTTAAACCACAAATGGCTTATTGTGTGAAAGAGAAAGGTAGTAATAATATTTATTATTTAGTAAGTGGAAAAGATTTGTTGGAAATGTTTGTTTAAATTCTATCTTTGATTTTGATTGCCAGCAGTCGTTTGAAAAATGGTGGAACTTTGATCAAGGTAAAGAAAAATCTATCGGAACCTGGCATTTTCACGTGGAAACCAGTCTACGTGGGATTATGTCATTCTACGTGGGCATTGGGCATTCCTGTGCATAGAATGCACATATTAACCATTTGAGGTTGACCGTGAATACCGCAAACGTTAAAGGCAACAGCGATGAGATGCTCCATGTCAGCTCAGCCAGGGATGCTCTAGCGGAAAAGTATCGTACCTGGGCACATTTAAAAGGCGACTGGCTGGCAATCAAATTGCAGTCCATGTCCGAACTTTCTCCAAGCTTGTAAATGAAATGCCAGTGCCAACAAAAGTGCATAGCACCCCCCCCACGATTTGTAGATTGTTCATTTTGAAAAGAAAAAATGAAAGAGCTGGAACCGTGCAGCTTTGACAAGTTTGGTTGAGATACCTAATATGCAACTGTAATGTATACGTTATGAAAATCGGCGTACATGTACATTTTATAATCTAGAGATATTTTATTTGAGAAAAGCAAATTTCAGGTTTCGAAGTTAGAATCAAGTGAAGATATATCAGTATTGATTTGGCTTTTTGGAAGAGCATCAGAATGTTCCTTCTTATAGTTGTTTCCTTTCTCGAGTTCTTCGTTGATTATTTTAAATTAATTTGTTCATACATTTGTGATGTGCATGAAAAGTGTTACCATTGTTTTGTGTGTTCACCAAACATTATACATGTATTTGGTTTTCAGAGTTATGAACCCAATCAAGTGCAAATTTTCCATTTTCATACAAAATATTTGTTGTACAGTACTTGTCCATTCTACCAGGATATACCAAAAGTGTGATCATGTGGTTATTGTGTGGCAAAGGTTATTATTTTAATAAGTAACACTTAAATATTATACGGGAAATTCAATTCTGCATTAAAAAATACTAACGTTCTTGTGAAGTTTGAGGGATCGTACGATAAAGTTTGCTGAGAAGAGCTCATAGCATTCCAGGATGCTGTCATTTTGAACAAGCCTGGTGGTTGACTGCACGCTGATGGTTGGAAAGCCTGCTCAGTTGGGCTGGTTTGATCCAAAGAGACAGGATATGATTTTGTGTGGAATGAAACAGGATTGTGAGTGGCCACTTTAAATTAAAGCTGAAAACAGCTAGCAAAAAGCTGAAAAGTTCCCACACTTTTCTACAGACCAGGTGTACAAAAAAGTTGAAATTCAGGGTCAACATCTAAACAAAAAAAGCTGAAATCAGCTAAAAAGCTGAATTCTCACACCCCTGATGAAAGTGACCACAGCAGGATGTGAACCGCCAATCTACGAAATGCCCGAGTAGTGCACTTCTACTGTGCCCAATGCAGTCTTACGATAAAAACAGAGCAGACTTGGGTAGACACAAAATCTGCGTAGGTAGATCACCAGGTACTCCATTTTGGGGGTTGCTGGTTTGAATCCAACCCCAGCCAATTTTCTTTGTTCAGAACTGCAAACTTTAAGACTTAGTCTAACAAGCACACCGTAGAGGTTTTGATTTTTTTTCCTGTTAAAGTTGTAATCATAGCTATTTGAATCATTTGTCTACACTGAAAAGACACCTTCAATTTCAGGCCTGATTCTCAGAAATTTGTACCTCGTTAATTGATTTCATTTGTATTTATTGACACATCAGGGCGTGTTTTATTGCCCGTTTATGACCCATTTTGATACCTCACTTGAATAAATGCACGTGAAGCAATTTCTGAAACACTAAACTCAGACAGCGGGAATTTTGTTTGAATTCCATGCTTTTTATTCAGTAATTATCAATTCCATTATATTGATAAAATCTTTCACATGCTAACCGAGACAAAAATATTTCAGAAAACCACATTTTCTGGCCGTTTAAAAGTCAGTCCACATGAACACTTGTTAATCATAAAGAAGAAATTGATAAAAATCTATGCTTGATGTAAATTACGTCAAGGTTTTGTGTCACTGTTGACTTTAAGGCACAGCCAGCAAAATTGCATTTGTAAAACGAGTTTGTACTCGCTGTAATTTCAGTAAAATCCTTTTTTTTTTTAAATTTTCATGCTGATGCAGTCCTTTTGAAGGTTTGCTTCAGTTTTTTGTTTTCTGACAAATTCAAAACAGACAGCTCTATACAAGCCCGTATGGGACTTTCCTTTGCATAACATGCAATATACCATGCAGCAACAGGTTCATCTTGGTCTGGTGGCTTGAATACTAACACAGCAAAGCATATGAATTTTGGCATACAGGAAGGGGGCCAGATTATAATCTGCCTGTGAATTCTGAGCAGACTCGCAAACTGTATTGTGGTAAATGATTTATAATTTACAATGTACATGTCATTAAAAAAATCAATTGAATATGTTCTTAAGGGTTTGTAAATGCAACTTCAAAATGTTGAAAACTGGATCGTATGTTTAGGGAGGGGCATTTCAGCCATTACCTCCATGTGCACATTGCGCCAATCTGTTGCATACGCTTATTCCGTGGGTTATGCCACACCTAAACACCCTGTCTCAGAGATAGATGAGCCATCACCCTGTGATGCATATGCTCTGTTGAAAAATACTCACGTTCAACAAAATAAAATAATGTGTCCAAAATTCCATTGCATTGGGCCAGCGGCCGGCAGTGTACACTTTTTAAACTACACTACATCCCTTAAAATCAGATTACTGCCTTGTCCGCCCTCTGGTTCAGTAAATTCTAAAAATCGAACTTCAATACGGCCCTTTCAAATTAGTGCGCCACCAAGAGTTTGCAACGCCAATCACAATGCGCGAAATTTGTCGACCCAATGGGCGTTTGGAAAGGGTCGACAAATTTCGCGCGTTATGATTGGCCAACGTGTTGCAAACTCTTGGTGGCGCACTATTGTGAATCGCTCGTATTAAACAGTGTCACATTTCACACTTTCAGGGCACACACAAGATGTATTGCTGTTGTGTCATATATTAAAGCGGTTTGTAAAGAACAATTACTACCGTCATTCAACCATCTCCCTTTTGGAAGAAAAAACAAAAAAGGAAAGACGGGTTGCATTATCGCAGGGTATATCACATTTAAAACCACACCGGCTGGAAAACAAAGCACACGTCCTACGGCACAGCTATTCCGTCACACTTCCATATTATAAAATGATTTCAATACGCACCACAAAAGCATATTTATGAACACAGAGAATTGCGCAATTATGTTTTAGCATGTATTGCATATCTGAGCTTCAACTCGACCTAACCTAGCTGACCTGAACTATGAAGAGTTGCATGGGTGTCTTCAGAAAACATGCAGACGTGAGACGTATTGTTTTAATTAGGATATCTGATATACTCAAGGGACAAATACGGTATACGACTCTCATTCGCCTCTAAGCTCTTTCATCTACAATTTTGAGCACCTCTGCAGCGCCCTCTCTTGCCAGCTTCAAGAACCCCTCTACGTCCTCTTTCGCCTGCCACAGAAGAGAAAAGAAGACAAAAGAATTTCACTGGCTGGAGACTCTTGGATCACGAAGAATCCCCCCAAATGTGGTGATTTTTAAACTCATCTGTTGGCAATAAGTCCTGTGAACCATTGGCTTTGTGCATGACCTTTAGATGGCGCTATTGGCTTTCATTCACAACAGCCAATACAGGACACATGAGCTATGGCTTACATGTGTAAGACCCCTATGGCACCGTGCTACTTTTCGTTTCAATGTGCACACAAATGTGGCAATGCTAGAGGCATGCACATCTACCTTGTCACATTCAATGGCGCTATAAAGTCCTTTATTAATGGTAAACTTTTATGGTTTTTACCATGGATGGGCACAATGTTAGTTCATATTTTCAAAACTTGGAAAGAGCTCAAATAAGACCAGTGGTTACCTTGGCTTTGAAACCAGCATCCTCCACATTTGGAATGTTGATCATGATGTTGTAGTAGGCACCCAACACGCCCACCTCCAGTGCTTTGGCTCCGACCTGTGATAACAGAAACAGACGAACTGTCAGCTAAAAGTAGGGGGAGCTTGTAAGGGGGGCAGAGCAAGGTCCCAAGGGGCGCAACAAACTTAGAGCTGTGTAGGGGTCACAGAAACAGGGTTCAAGACCAGTCACATGACCAGGCCACACACATGGCATTACCAGTCACAAGACCAGACACACAACCAGTCACATGACCAGACACAAGACCAGACATGAGACCAGTTATACTAGCAACAGGGCAAACAGTGACGAAGGACTGCTTTTGTTAGAGTTCATGTAAATAGTTTATGACTTGAATTCAGACTGGAAGTCCTGCGTTGGACTTGTGAGGTCTTGTGATAGTTTCATGGGGTTGCAAATGCAACCTTGCAAGGGTTGTAGTTTCTTGCAGGTTACCTGCAGGTCCGAGACGCACTGCGTGTTACCATGCTTGGCCATCTCCTTCAGTGGTTCCCAGACACCGGTGATGCATTTGGCCACCTGCATGGGTACCGAGATGGCGGTGCGAATGGCAGCCTGGGTGCAATCGTCATGTCTGTGCAGTAGGGTTCACAAGCAGAAAGACCCTCTCAAAAGTGAGGAAAAAGTCAATTTCATGGATCACTCTTTGAAACCTTAAGTACGTTTGGGCCAAGGGGAGGAAAATCTATGAACTGAACTTGAAATTCAAGCTTGGACCGATTTGGCCTTCTGAAATGAGAAACAAACGAAAATGGTAACTGGCATGTAAGGCTTGGTGTTCTTCCTTTTTTGGTGCAGAAATGGACAAACTACAGAATGTTGGTTCAACGAGAAACATCCGTTTGTTGTTCAAGAGATATGAAGGTTTCTCACTGCAAAATAAAAGTCCAAATGGTAACGCTTACATCTTCTTTTCTTCTTCTGTATTCTTGGGAAGTTTGTTGGCCATCTGATTTGGAAGAAAGAAAAGACTAACTATTTAACGAAAGGATATTATCAAATATCACGGTCCAGCCTCTTTTCTCCACATGCTTTACAAAACAAGATCAATATTTAGCTGTTTAAAGCAACTTGACACTTTTCTGTTACAAACAAAACAAAGGCATGGTGTCTAGTTCCCCGTCTTCCTGTTTTCTCCTTACCATGAAGCCATTGAAAGCAGCGGCGTCGGCGTCCACCAGGGGTATCAGGCTCTGCATGACGTCATTCATCTGCGGTATGAGACGTCGCATAGTTGCGTCCAGCTGTTCGAACTTCCTGTTGCCGTAAGTCATCCATCCGACCATGCTGGCCAGCGCAGCACCCTGAACAATGGGCAGAACAAATAAGACACACTGCTGAGAACTTTCATGTATTTAAGTTTTTAGCCTGCATGCGAGTAGGGACTGAAAGTGGTCTCACTTTCTTTCACTGATCTTGAGACAAACACTTTTGATGATGCCGAAAATGATGAGGCTTTCGTGGACGTAAAATACAACGAAAACGCTAGATTTAAAGACTATCTTCTCAGAACCTCTCATTCTCATCTGGCGAAAAGATTGAAATCATATCACGAAGACCTCTCGCTGTACAAATCTGACATTGGCCAAAATGTGAAGATTTCATAACAAAAACTTCCTCTGAAATAAACTTATCAACTTGACATCTTTCAGTCAATGCAATCAAAGCGTGTCATAGCTAATACAAAGAATGTTAAAGACTAGTGATAGGTTATTTACCAAGGCCCCTATGGCGGCTGACACAGATCCGCCCCCTGGGGCTGGGGTCCTAGATCCAACACTCTTGATGAAGGACTTGAGGCTCATATTGGCCAAGGGTGCGTCGATGGCTTCGTCCTCCCGAATCATGTACCTATCCAAAACGTTTTTTAAAAATCATGAAAACCAAACACCGGAAACATTTTGGGTTTTTCACTACTCTCAAAAGCTTCTTTCCCGGCTTTTAAGAATCTAATTTCAACACACTGTACATATGTTTTGACTGATGTACTTCTGCGCAGTGTTGCTTGAGACCACTTAAGACCTTCACAAGACCAACACAAGACCTCCAGTCTGAATTCAAGTCACAAGTTATTCTAATGAACTGCAGCAAAAGCATTCCTTTGTCATTGTTCACCCTGTTACTTGTGACTGGTCTTGTGTCTGGTCTTGTGACCAGTCATGTAACTGGTCTTGTGCATGGTCTTAGGTCTGGTCTGGTGATGGTCTCGACCACAACACTGCTCTGAGTGAGGCCAATTACGGAGAAATACCACTGTGCGGGTCAAGATATCATGGTAAGCTATCTTGCTTATGAACACAATGCTAGTAACTGTCAACCATAGTGAGGATTAATATATTATAATAAAGTACCTCCCTGAAAGACACAAGTGGTGGCAGCTATTAACCACTCTGTGGACCAGTAGATCAGAGATTATGATAAATTACCTAGCTCAAGGACACAAGCGCCATACGTTATTACCCAGTATGGATGAATTGAATATGTTATGATAAAGTACCTCCCTCAAGGACAAAAGTGGTACCTGCTTTAAACCAACGTATGGATCATAAATTATGGTAAAGTATCACGCTTAAGGACACAAGAGGGGACTTCTGAAGTAAAAACATCCACTTGTAGAAACAGTCATCATGATTGGAACAGCGCATGTGACGTAGAACACAGTAACACACTCCACAGAGGGCTTCATTTGAAGAAACAAATCGTAAATTTTAACCTCAAGACAGTTCCTACTCACTCAATGATTCGCTCGTTCGGCTTGAAGAGGCTCAGAGAACTCAGGCCCAACTTGTTAATCACCTGGTCATTAATAATTGTTGAAACAAAGGTAATAAGCGTAAGTATGTCTTCTGGACACAACTGCCACAAGAATGGCAGTTACAAATTTCAATTTATCGGTCAGTTTTCACCAGAACGGAGAGAATTACTGCCTCTAAATCTGACCCTCAACAGAATCCGTAAGCGTTAGTTTTCAGAGACTTCTTACCAGTCGAATCTTCTGGTCTTCCTCCAGGATGAAGAGGTTGTCTTTCTTGATGTAATACTCGGCGGCATCTAACATGGCCTGCAGGGGAACCAGGCCAACGATCTGAGAGCCGCAGACGGCTAGATTCAACTCCTAGGACAAGATGATGAGAAGCATGCCCAGATGAAATTTCTGAAGCAAAAAGACGTTTGCACAGTGCACTACTCAGGGAAACCTGTTGAATCCCGGGCAAATTTTTGACTGATTTAAACCAAATTTCTTGTTGCATAGGTTATATTTCGAAGTTAAATTTGTCTTGTGTTACTTTTTCTTTTGTCTTCTTGCTTTTTCCAATTGTTGAAAATCCCCCCCCAAATTTGATACTTCCCGCACCTTAAATTTTCTCTAAACTTCTGTGCTTGTTCTTAACAATCTGAAAGTTCTCCTACAATCCGAACGTGCCTTTTCATTTCCATCCACTTCTATCATTTGACTTTGCCCGACCTGACTCCACGCAGCTGTCATATGGAATTGAATAAAAAAAAAACAGATCTAGCAGTCCAACTGCGACGATGTTTACCAGGCTAACTTTTTGCTAGACATTACTGTTGAATTACCTCGGCATCCTTGACACACTCTTCGAAAGCCTGGTGGAGCGGTGTGACCTCAAAATCCAGGAGATTCAAGCTGACCTGGGCCAGGTTAGCCTCGGCTAGCCACCAACCGATGCCCTGAACGGACTTCAGTCTTCCCGGCTGATTAAGGAGGGTGAAGATCAGGAATATCAGGATGAATGGATACGCTGCACACCAGATTTGTACGCAGCAAGGGGGGAGGTTCTTTCTTCAATTCAAGCAAGCAGTTGCCACGGAAACCATTTTGCAGCGCATTATGGACAAAAAGTTGACATCCACATACCATACAGAATTTATTTTGAACAAGGAAAAAGCAGGGTTTGTAATTTGGAAGTAAAATGGAAGTAAAAATGACACCACTGAAGTTGAAAAGGACAATATTTTGTGGTGATATTTGACTTTAGCTTGATAAGAGAGACTTTAATACTCGGGCATAAGTGAGGTAAGTTGCGATTTGACCATTGGTTTGACCAGCCGTCTTTGACAGAAAATTAACCTGACCTTGTCGGGGCCGCGACCTTGCTCCCTGACATTGAGCCCGATGCGGTGTGCCTGTTCCTTGGTGCCCAGCAGGTTGACATTGTAGGCGATGAGGAACTTGCGGGCACCGGTGGCCGTCGCGCCCCAGGACGGGACAAACTCGGCTGAGCCAAAGTCGGGCAGCCAGTCCGGGTTGGCAAGCTGTTGCGGACGATGAGGGAAGATCATGAGTAAAATGGTTTTTCAGACACCGTACACGTTGTACCATTTAGAAAAACTTTGCAGGTCACAAATTTTCGACCTTGTGACTTCTACACTGTACGTGTCCTTCAAAGTTTCCACAGCCCATTTAAAAGCCAAACACATTCTTAATAGCTACCTGACTCAGATGTTATTTTTTGGCTGAACAAACAATATCTCTTGTGTACCTAATCTTTCAAAGCTTTCTAACAATTTAAATCAGCTTTCAAGGCGCAAGTTGTTGGTATCCATCTATTAGCTTTCTGCATATGACCTGTGACCTAATGACCTATGACCTCAAGTCATGTAAGAGGGTCAGGCACATACTTTAGTGTCCAGTTTCTCATATTCTCCCTCTCGAATGTCAGACAGAAGTTTTCTCTTCTCCTCTGAAGCGGCCGCGCCGTAGAGATAAACTATCAAAACAAAGAAAAGAAACCAAATTGTGGCATCCAAAACAAAATGTTGAACTTTTGATGGTGCAACTTTTGTCTCATGGGTTCTGAGACGTTTTCTTACTTGAAGTCTACTTTTTTCCAGACAACTGGTGTGGACTGCCGAACATCTCACCTGGAACCGAGAGTTCTTGGGCAAGCCGCTGGCCGAATTCTTTCGCACACTTGACACACTCCTCGATGGTTGTATTATTGACAGGAATGAAGGGGCAGACGTCTAGCGCCCCCATGCGTGGATGCTCGCCTGGCAATACGACAAATGAAAAACAACGAACTCTTAAGAACCAAGGATTATGGAAAGATAACATTCTTCCAACAACTCGTTCTCACACATTTCGAAGAATCAGCAGTGATTTTGGAAATATTATTCTTAGATAATGCAACTTTGCTTCTTGAATTTGGAAAAGAATACATGCATTTCACAATAGCAAACCTCCAAGATTTTGCAGCGCGTTGGCCAGAGCACGTTTGGAAAGGGTCAATAGATTTCGCGCATTGTGATTGGCCAACGCATTTTAAACTCTTGAAGGCGCACTATTGTGAATCGCCCGTATTTTACTCAGTTCACATTGATTGTCCCATTAAAATTCAGACAAAAACCTGTCATACCCTCGTTGACCATTTAACCGTTGTCAACTGCCGTGTATATTCTGACCACCCAAGGTGAAGCCAAGGGCGCTATGTACCCCCAAGGGTGTTCAAAACCTCAAATTGCATATCAAAGCAGACCACTGTTGGCTATATCTCTGTCTTAATGTTTTTCACGCATTTTTCCGAGGGAAATTACAGAGTGACAAAGGTATATGTGAACATTAGGGGTTTGTGGTCCTTGCATTATCCTGCACATTGCAGGAGCCGAGTGCATGAGCATGCATGCGTGCCTGTGATATCATACAAGGCCTGCTGATGTCATGTTTAACGGTAAACGTGACATGCACTTTTGTCGCCCTGTCATGTGATGGTTCGGAACCAATGAAAATTCTGTGAAACAAAGGATGATGAAAATTTAGCGATTGAAAGTTGGCCTTGGACGGTTTTTCAAAATTTTTTCCCACCATGGTGATGTCGCATGTCAATCAACCGGGCTGCCACCCGGGCCATATTGAGAGCACCCTCGATGACGACATCTGGAGATCCCACGAAGGTGTAGACGGTGCGGTTGGTGGAGGGACTGGGGTCCACATCCAGCAGGTGGCATCCCTCGGTGTGGATGAGTGCATGGGCGATGGCGTCGATGACCTGGATATCGATTTATCGAAATGGTAGGATGTTTAATGACTGGAATGGGAGGGGAGAGAAGGAGGGTGTGGGGAGGTGGTCTAGCCTAGCACAGACATTGACGGAGGTGAAGATTACACCTGAAAGAGGATCCAAGTCTCCAGCCTTTCTAACGTGCGTGACTGTATAGTCAACAGGTACCTAATTTCGGCACCTATTGTCAAGTCTAATTGCTTTTCACAGTAAGTGGCGAAATAAGGGACCTTGTGACTATACCGTCATGCACGTTACAGCCAGTCATACAGGAGCAATTTTTATTTCCGGTTAGGCCTAATGCATGACCCAATGGGGTTTTGAATAAAAAGATTTAAGAATTAACATAAAATATCTGTTTGTTGCAACTCCAAATCTGGAATCATTAGTGAAAATCAACTTGAGTGGCATGCGTGATGCAGCTCACAGAGAAGGCTAGAGCATGTACGAAAATTAGGCCTCGGCCAAGTAGTATTAGTAATGAGTAGGCCAAACACCAAAATAAAATGGGCCCGAAAAGCAGTTTGGCAAACCCAATGCTAAGTCAGAAAAGGATCAATGGCAAAAAGTTGTGGCTTTGTCAGACCAGGGTTCTGGCCTAATGGTGACCGTCACTCATCATGGCCATGTCAGTTTTGTAAACGGTCATGACAGTCTACATGATACATCATCATCATGGTTTTGGCCGCCTACATTCATGTACCATGCCCAGTAGTACCACACTCCGTAGCACGACCTTGACGGGTTTTTTTACCTCTTTGCTCCTCCCTTCTGAAAAATTGGGCACACATTCCACCACTTTCGCGAATTTATTCATCTTTCCTGCTTAAGTGCTTAGTCTGTGTCTTCTACATGTGACGTTACACCACGAGCTTTGGGTAACTCTGTCTTGTTTTTTTCTCGCCCCTTGTGCCAACTCGACAGGTACGGTGGATCTCATCAAACAATAATGCGTCCTCCTGTCTTAGAAATGTTTACTATTATAGCTCCCTCTCGTGGTACAAAAATCACATTTTATAAATTGTGAGTAGCGCCATCTTGTGACCAAAATGAGAAAAGATCTGGGGTCACGTGACCAATGTTGCTAAGAAAAAATATCGAAGTTTTATGAAGTTAGGGAATGTTGCTTTCGTCTGATTACAGTTAAGTTTTATGTTGAGCTGAAATTGACCGGGTGGACTCTTCATTATGTATACATGAAATAGATGAAAAGTTTGCTGGAATATCTGGCTGTGAGAAAAACATCTACAACAAGCTACCTAAACATGAATAAGGTGTGTTTTCTAGCATTTTTTTTACTGATCGGCAATGACCGGCATGATGACCGGGTTCGTAGCGGCACAGTGACGGTCGGGGGCACGGTCATGACGGACAGGTGCCTGACTGATGGCTGTCGGTCATTTTGGCACCGTCACTAGGGCCGTTTTCCAATGCTCAACTTCGTCTCCGTCTCAGGCTTTGCGTAGGAAACCGATCCGCGATTGTGGGCCTGAAGCGTTTAACTTAAATTGAAATAGGCCTGCAGTACCATGCCTACTGTAATGTTTGGCTCTTATGCATCTTAGGCCTACTTGATGTTTTGTGGCTCTAGGCCTATATCAGACTTACTATTGCTCTTATAACCATGTCAAAGTCAGGAAGTAAAAAAAAAGTTGAAGCCTGAGATGGAGCCCAAGTCGAGTATTTGAAAGCAGCCTAGTACTAGTAGTAATAAGTTAGTAGTAGTTAAGTACCCACCGACTCGTTATAGAATGCAGGGCCATGCGTGAATATACCCTCAGAATCTCTGGCTGTGATGTCACGTTGGATCGGAGTGACTCCGGGAAGAAGGCGAAAAAAGTTCAAATGAGTGTACGAATGAGTACGATGTCGAAAGAGTTTTTTGAGAAGGAAGCAACACAAAATGAATGGAGACGGTCGGAAAAAACTAGGGCCTAAGCCCAAACTGAGTGGCCCAGTATTCTATAGTTATACCTCAACTCTGCTCGAGACCACATCAGAGGCTTGGATAACTTGACTGTTTGCTAACTCGACTTGGGGACCACTTGGTCATGTTGACCGTTGAAAACTCGACTATGAACACGATGAAAAGCTTGACTGGCTGTCATGGCTGTGGGACAACTCGACCGTCTGTTAAGGGCATGTTGTAAACTGAGACAAGTTAACTTGCGATATTGAGTGAATAGGCCCTATGTACTTTGAAATCACTTCCCCCACACCTAGTTTGTCCAAATTAAAAAGAGAAAGGAAGATGGCAGACTAACGACCGATCATTGGTGTGGCTGAGGCACCTGTGTACCGCAGACAGTGGGCCACATCACCGGCACCGTGCATGCAGCATCACCGTCGCGGCCACGCACCTCACTGACCACTTGTCCTGTGCATCCCGTGTCACTACGTCCCTATGCACTTCATGCCTAACGTAATGCGACACCCGCAAATTGTCCCAATACATGTACATCGATCTGCATAAAATGCGCAGTCTTCTGTCATGTTCATGCCACGCATGTTCGAGTTGTCTTAACGGACGACTTGGTATAAACGGTCGAGTTGGCCTTCCGGTTGTCTCAATGGTTGAGTTGTCCCAAGTCGAGTTGGTAAACGTTCAACAGTTTGTCCAACATACACATACATGTACATGACATAACCAAGTCATCACCTATGTATAGCTAACTTGGCACCCTGCCAACTGGCCAATGAATTTTGCTTCCTGAATAAAAGACCAAATGAGATTCGCACAATTGTACACAAAGTGTATACTAATTTTAAGATGTGCTGGAGATCAACTGTGCACCAGCATCTGTTTCGATACTTATTTTAACAAGGTGTGATAATCACAGTGAGATTTTTTAATTACATTATAAAGTTAAATGCAGCCAACATCTGCGTGGAATTCTTACTTTATTGTTTAGGTGAAACTTTATTCTGGCTGCCTACATCCGCATAAAGATTAAGCAATTAGCATATTTTATAAAAGTGTCCACACATCAACTGTGCAAAACATGATATTCTCAGCGCTATAATGAAAAATCTAGCAATACTTTACTCCCTCAATCGATTTGTGAGTGAGTTACATAATTTTTGATACAAATTGGGACCAATTTTGAACTTTTGTTCAAAAAAACAAAAAAATGGGATATTATGATATTAGACATGAAAATTCAAACTGCCATTAGTGTTATGACTATGTTTGGTCGTTTTTGAAATCCATTCGAAATCTGTTGCAAGACAACAGGGTCCTGAAGCCACTTTTATCTTGTTGATGGTCACTTTAGACTATTAGTTTGGGGGAAACAATCACACAGAAAGTGAACACTGTCCAAATGTGTAACCTTCTGTGAGGAAAATTTTTGATTTTCCGGGAGGTTTAGAACTTTGGTAATCTTTTTGGTTTTCCTTGCTTTTCGAGTGGCTTTAAGTTTTATGCTTGAACAAAAGTTGTCAAAACGTAATTTATATAACTTACATGTACCGTATGTGCAATACTCAATTTGAAGTGTTGGTTTACCCTGTAGGTACAGCATCAGTTTGGCACTTTCATATTCCATGTTCATTTCTTATTGGGTTTTAATGTACATGTACAAGTACAAGCGATAAGATTTCCATATGGGTCATTGGTAGAGGAAATGCAACTTGTGTTCAGCAGAGTAGAACTGAGTAAGGCCTTAACGTCTATTATCTAAATGAACGAGTTAATTGAGTATTACTGCCAGATTTCCCTTTTGCCTTCAGGCCGCCGGAAATGTGACGCTTGACCGAGAATTGGCGGATTATCTTTGCCATCCCAGCACTCGAGATGCTTTCCACCTACGCTGCTCAAATTAATTCGGCTGGGATGGATTGGAGGTGACAACAGGGCGCCGGGCTTTTATTTTGCATCAACAGGACGCTCACTGGCGCAGAGTCCATCAAAGTGTCGCACGCCTCAGCCCGATAGAGTCACACACTGCTCTCGGGGATCTGTGATTGTGAGGCAGCATGGCAACACCGAACCAAATCAAGGAGATCAAAGCTACTTTACAGCGGGGTCTTGAGAACCTGGCCCTATCGGGAAACCTCAAGCCTCTGCCGCTCCGCCAGCAGACCAGCCGGCCACTGCTACGCAGCAAGCTAGGCGAAGGCCCCCACGTCTGGGGTGACCTGGACAACAATAATGTGTCCAGTTACGGAGGTGTGGACCAGAACGGCTACTGCCGCACTAGCGAGGAATTCAACAAGATACGCAATGACTTCAGCAACGTCAAGATACGGTCGCCGCAGCGGACAAAAACCTGTGACGGACAGGTGCGGGCCAAGAGTGAGCTTGGCACACAGGGGTCAAGTGGCGCAGCCAACGACTTGCCGAGCTCGCTCCGAACGAAGCCACCAGTCCCAAACAGAGCCCTGATTCGGCCAATCAGCGGGAAGAAACCGCTGAACGAGCCCCAAAGCAAGTTTGCCGCACAAACCAGAAAACAGTCCAAGACAAACTTGAAGCCCAACCCCTTGGACAGCCCCGCCAAGGATTCCCCCTCAAGCCCTCTGCGCCAGACGAGCAGAGAGTCGTCTGGGTCAGAGGGGGGCACTGTGAGGTCAATGGGGTCCAAGATGAACCAGAAGTCGAGAATGTCGTCAGAGGAAGATGCAGAGGAGTGGAGTGACATTGACGAAGATGAGGATGAATTTGATCCAACAGAAAGGTAAACAAAAAATTGAAAACTTCTTCCCGGCCTGTAATAGGCCAAGTTAAAAAAATAAGCTAGTTTCTCCTCCTGGCCTGCTTGTATTCCCCTGCTCGCCTCTATTTTTTGAGTAAATGTTTTTTACTCTATTTATTTCCCACAAAGTATGTACCCATCATGTCGTATATTCCGTGTTTAAAACCTGTTACATAGGGTGATGGCATTTTAAGACACAAAAACTCAGTGAAAGAAATGAAATCCGTCTGCTATCTGGAAAGAAAATCTGCTAACTTGAAAACAAAGGAACCAAGAAACAAACCTCCTCATCCCTTTCTTAAAATATCATAGTGAGAAAGTATTTTTAAAATGGCTTCATTGTCATTGAGAACTGGATCGCGACAATAAATTCAGAAAAAAATTTCTGAGAAGTTACGGATTATGGAGTTCAAAGGTTATAAAGAGCATTCTCGTGTGTCTCCATCTGCTGAGGGTCATTTTTGGTTTGAACGTAGGTTTTTTTTCCATTTGCAAATGATTGTTGAAACCTTTGGCAATCAATCATACAGTAGCAATAGATACTGATGAGCACCGAGTTTTGAATGAGGTCATTGGGACATTGAATCACGACGCTGGATCCACGAGGCTGTCATCCTCTACACGCAACCTTGTCATTGTGTGTTTGCTCTTCCTCTCAGTCCCTGTAGCCTCTTACTTCAAGTGGCTCTCAGCCTTGTTCATGCTGTTAGGGACGATTTTCCATCAGCACAACAATCGGCCATCTGTGTCTCCCACCACTGCCCACAGGCTCAGAAATGAGGTCTATTTTAGGTCTGGCAGTATTCACCGGAGCCTTGTGATCCGACTTTTCCCGTTTTAGTGCCTGATCACTTCTTTTTTGTACCCTATGCGAGCTGGAATAGACAGACCACGAACCATTACAAATGTCCGGGGGGGGGACAAAAAATTGATTGGCAGAGCTGGTCCCATCCTGTTGAATTTATTGTCAGGGTTGCTAAATTGGAAATGGCAAGATCAGTTGTTATTGCTTGGTGATACTAACATTTGCGTAGTGACGCTTCACATAAATTTCTGCGTGCCAACTAAGAAAGACATCGAGGTTCTATACTGACCCAGAATCTAAGTAGTGAACCAGTTCCTTAAATTCATTTGTACAGTAGATGTGAAAGTCTGGGTTCGGGTCAGGTTTTAATCTGAGATCAAGTGGAAAGCGGATTGTCCAAATTGTTCACCTGAACTGGTTTGCCAATGGTTTACACGTGAATAGAATAGAGCATTATCCTGATTGTTGAAATTGAAAATATTTAATAATTAAAAAAAAAACCTGACTCCCCTCCACATACAGTTGTAAACAAGGAATTTGCCCTGGGCTAGTTTTTTTTACTTCTTTTTCATACGACACACGATCATTTGTAATTACCGGGGCTGCGTTCATTTGAACAATATGTATGTCATTTCATCGATTCATGTCATAACCCAATGAAATAACGTGTCCCTGAATGCCAATGTTTGACGAACAAGCCACAAGCATGACGATGTCAGGATTGTGGGTTTTGTTGCTGAAAGAGGAAAAATATTAGTGAAATCTAGGCCCCTCCTAGTGAGCCACTTCACTGTGTATGTACATGTACATGTATCTATCACGGTCTTCAGAAAGCTACATGTAGACTGTTGAAATCACTTAACGATGGAGGAAATTGGCAAGCATAGTGATTCATGCGCTGCATTGTTAAACTACACTCTCGAGACTTTTATTTCACAAAAATGCCGCATTAGAAAATGCAGAATGCATCATGTGTAAGTTTTTATTGAATTTTTTTTGAAATAAATTCAGCGTAGTATACTGTACATGTAGTTCACAGTAATCCTCCCTCATCAATTATTAACACAGTACAAGCAATCTATATTCATCCTCACACTTTCACCTCAATAATTTATTAAATTTGATAACATCATTAATCACATCGGAGCAAATTCCACCTGTACTTTGGTCTGTGGCATCATGTTTTGGCGAGGAGCATTTATTTCAACTGAAGACTTTACACTCCTTTTGGATTATCAAAAATGTTGAGTCTCAAGTCTTGTTATTAGTATTACTGATAGAAATAGCACTTTATATATTAACCCCCCCCCACCCACACACACACACACAGTACAGTGCTTGACCAGAAATGGGATACATCCACTATGGAGTGTAAAGTTGTTTGCAAGTTGGGGCAATTACAGGCTAGCTCCAGCTGCCATTTTAGAAGCTATCACAGCCAAATCCCCTCATCCCTCCCGCCCGACGTTCGTAATCAAATCCAGCTTTGCCACAGAGCGTTCTTGAATCCTACGCTTCGAGGGCCCTTCAGCTTTTGATTAATTATTTGACACTCCCGCCTGCAGGTTCCGCCCCCCCATTCTCTCTTTTATTGCCACCGAGGTAAATATTTGAAGTCAGTCATGCAGAATGTGATACATGAAACGGCGATTGACTGAGTCAACAGTCTCTGGACAGCTGGTGAACCCAGTTCAAACACTGTTTAATTGAATCCACTTATTATCCACTTTTTATGTAGGGCCCTCTCTTTGATGTGCCTGCTCTGTTTTTTATTTTTTTTGGCTGTGAAATAGTTATCGATTGTGAAGAGTAGATATTGAATTTTTGTGGCCATCAAATATTTGCACAGTAGCTTTGTTTTGCTGTTGACAGATTTTTTATTGAAAATTAATCCCACAAGCAAGGATTGGTTCGAAAGCCTCAAGGCGCAATAGCCGGGCCAACTTGGACATGTATGTCACTGTTCAAAAGGTTTACATTTGTGTACAAACATACATGTATGCACACATGCATTGTAGTACATGTACACTTGTTTGTTGTATGTTATGTTTTGTCTGTTCTGTGTCCACATCTTGGTGGCTTGCTTGTTTCCTGTCTGTACAAAAGCATTGCTTAACCTGACACCTAAATGTTGTCTTTTAATCTTGCTTTGAAATTTCTGTCACCCTGTGTTTTGTTGTACTCTGATACCTAAGTCTGTTTGTCTGTACAACTACTTTTGTAATGCTGATTGCATGTGAGTAATTCCAGAAATTAGGGATCCATTTTATTTCGTGTCCCTGTTACATCTGACATATGATTTTGTAAGTTCAGAACACATTTCCTAATTTCCCAGAGCGATGAATTAATGCAACTTACAATGTACCTGCCAAACAAATAGTAGTAGTTGATCCTGGTTATTTTTCCACATCAAATAACAAAGGCCAGATGTAACAGGGACACAAAAATGTTCCACTTTTGGACCCCTAATTTCTGGACTTACCCCATGTACATGTAAGAATGACAGCACTGAATAAATGTCTGATCACCATCATGTACACATACATTGTACATCCATGTACAATACGTGTCACAATGTACCTGTACATGTACATGCAAGTGTAATTTTAGATACAACTTGTATTTCTCAAACATGACCATTGAAAATCGGTTTCAGATTTAAAAGATTTGTTTACATGTAGGCCCCTTCCCTATTAATTAAAAAATTTCTCTGACATTTTTCTGGAGATTAAAGCTTACAAGTGGCACATGTGAGAAAAGTATATTAAAGGGGCATTACCTGTAAATCGTGTGCCTCATCCTATGTTAAAACAAATATATACCAAGTTGTTTGTCCAAAGTATTTCGATGTAAGGGAACAGTCACCACTGTTTGATACAGTAGAATTATGTAAGTGTGGTTTGAATTTACCTCCGCTCAACGTGGGTGTAGAGCTTGAGACTATCAGCTCTTTGGAAGAAGTACACAGCTTGATATCAGTATTGATACCACCAGCTTATTCCAACCAAGAACTAGATTGACCCTTGCAGATACTTGTTCGTACTCATGGCGGAGGAAAGTTGCTTGTAATAACATCTTGCTTGGGGATACATACACATGTACATGTAGGCATCAGAGACACAACTCTGGAGCCCGGTCTCGAACCCGCTACCCACAGAATAACCCACAAGATTGTGCGTTTGACTCAGGCGACCTTGACCTGGTATTCTCATTATGGACACACAAGCTTCACTACTGTCTCTCAAAAGCTTTAATTGCCTCTTGGTTTCTCTTATCATCCCACCCACCAGCGAGAGGACGCCCGGAGACGGAGCATTGTTTGATGACTTTGAGGAGGACGATGAAATAGGCGGCATCGAGGGAGATGTCCTCGATGAAGATGGTGAGTCCGAAAGGAAACTAAAAAATTTCCTCTCAGTTTTCGTTTTAACCCTTTTAATGTTATACACTTGGCTCAAAGCTGAATCCTAAATTCTACACAGTTTGATCGTACATCGGTGATGCCTGGAATATCCTAGGTGCAGGATCTGAAGATACGTGTGGTGTGCTGACTTTGGATTGTCTTAGGCCGAGATCAAATGAAACCTTGGATGTTCTTGTTCCGCACATTTTGTTTCCGCAGATGAATCGGACGACTATTCCATCGCCAGCAACGACTCTCTCTACCAGCTGACCAACGTGCCATTGCCAGCGGCTATAGCTACAGCAGCGATCGGCAAGCCTCCCAGGGAGGGGAACCGAGTCAGCCTGTCCAGCCGGACAGGCTCGCGTATGTTCCAGTACCTGACCACAGGCGCCGACGATGCCCTACCGGCCCTGAGCCCTAGTCTCTTCAGCAACATCCCGCCTACGATTAACTTCGTAGGGGTGGAGGAAAAAGGTAGACAAGAGAGTGATTTTTCACTCGGCTGAGCATACTGGAACCCTAAAAACTTCCATAAAATCAGCTTTAAGTAGAGTGTCAGGCCGGAAAGAAAATTTGAGAATGGTGACTATTAAAAAAGTGAAATTTCTTGCAGCCAGGCAAGCATTTCATGGAGCTATGCCCCGAAACTTTGTCCATCCACCTTCTGAGACTAACATAGCTGGATTTATGTTCACCTTAAATTTTTAGTCTATTTTATACTTCCTTGTAATAGTGGATGAGGTGATTATGTACGGTAAATAGTCCTTGTGGAACAGTGATTTTTGCGGTTTTCATTGTGAGGGGTTCCCGTTTTGCAAAGAGCCAGTGGATTAACAGTCTTGATTACAGTAACATGACAGATTTCTTTTTTTTTACCCGTCCCAGCCGTCCAGTTTCCCTGGGAAATCCGGAAGCTTCTCAAGTGGAGGATGAGCCCTATCACGCCCAACGTAATCAAGAACTGCATCGCCAGGTCTGGCTTCCGAGCGACCAGAAGTAAGCCATTCTTAATGCCATTTGTTTGCCTCGACAGTTACATGTAAGTTCAGCCATATCCAGATCTGGCTTCCAGAGCTGTGGCTACCACTCTCGTCAGCGCGTGGCTACAGATTTAGGACCAAGGCAAGGACCGAGAGCTAGCTCTTGGCGCAAGATTCGTATGCGGCCTTAGATGTGTTTGAAAAATTTCAAATGCAGTGTCAGAGTTTCGAGCAGATCCTGTTTCTGAAGTTGGCATGTTCTTTCCTGTATTTAGTGGTAAAGTCTGATGAAATCTCAACTGGGATTATCCCGTAGGTAAAAGTGGTTCTTTGGGAGGAGAAAGTTCTGTAACTAACTTCTGTGGTTTTTTTCTTCCACAGAAGCGAATGAATGGCTTGGTTACTGGGGTAAACACATGAAAGCCAATGCCTTCAAGATGGTCCGGGAGCACCAGAAGGTAAAAAAAAGACAGGAGAGCTTTGGAAATCCAAAAATGAAATCTGGATAACATTTTCTGCTGTGTCAACTTGGGCTGTTACGGAAACGCCACCCCAGATCGGTCGGGCTCAGCTTAAGATCCACTGAGTTGATTAATGGAGTGATTCACTACACCATCGCATGTTAATGTTTTTTTTCCATACATTCAGTAAGGTGTTGGTCTTAGGGGAGGGGCTTCACGGAGACCGGTTGAAAACCATTCCAGGGGTGTGAATATCCGTGCTCAATAGAAGGTTTCCAATTCTTGTTTGTTACAGGTCAACCATCTGCCTGGCTCGTTCCAGATTGGGCGTAAGGACCGACTCTGGCGCAACCTGTACAAGATGCAGGTGCACTTTGGCAAGCGGGACTACGGGTTCTTCCCCCAGACCTACTGCCTGCCCTACGACCTCAAACTGCTGAAGCGAGCCTGGGAGGACGGGGGCACCAAGCAGAAATGGATCCTGAAACCTGTAAGCGGAATAGCGAAAATAAAAGAAAGAAAGCCTAGCGAAATTAGGCAATAAGCACAGTGGAACTGGGACCCAGCTACCTGTGGTTTGTATCGCATGGCATTTGGCTGGTATCCTGCTTGTGCTAAGCAGAGATTTTCTGTGCCTAAAAGATTTGTTCACTACATTTGTGAAGAGAGTCTGTTCGCAGCACCAGGTGTAAATTTTGATAAATTCAGACATTCACGTCGTGACCATTAATTTAAATGCAGTGCAAACATACACCTGTCAGATTTGCAGTCACGTTTGGACAATTTCCATTTGATTCCTGGGTAACCTTTAGCAGTGTGTTGCAGAGCTGGAGATGATCCCGACACGGAGACAAACTTTTCCCTAGGGCATTGGAGGGGCGGAACTAAAGCAGCAAGGGGACGGGAACAATCCTTTGGTGGGAATTCACCGTGCGCACACGCAGGTTTAGTGTGGGAGCATGGCTGGAAAACCTCCCAGTGGCTTGTCTCTCTGCCGGTAAGGGTGCATATCAACTCGGGGCGGATAGAACTGCATCTGTGACCTTGTGCCATTCTTAAATTTCCTTTCAGCCGGCTTCGGCCCGAGGTAACGGTATCCGTGTTGTCCACAAGTGGAGCCAGATCCCGCGGCGCAAGCCGGTTATCGTCCAGCGCTACCTGTCCAAGCCCTTCCTCATCAACGGCAGCAAGTTTGACCTACGCATCTACGTCTACGTCAAGTCCTATGACCCGCTCAAGATCTACGTCTTTCAGGACGGGCTGGCTAGATTCGCCACCATGAAGTGAGTGATTGGCTTGGATACGTGGAGAAGCAATATTTTATGAAAAAAAAAATTCATCTACGCCACCCCCCCCCAACAAAATGCATGTGCATTTGTGACCAGCTCTGTGAAAATGAGTCAAATGTTGCAAGAGCCACTTTCGAGTTCAAGGCCTTTGAAAGAATCTTGCACAATGTTAAAGCAATAGAACTCCTCAACACTTTAACATTTACGCAACGTCCATTTTTATGGTACCAAACTAATACTTGAAAGTTGCTCCGGAGACTTGTGACTCATTTTTACAGAGCTGCTGAAAAGATTAACATTTGCATTTTCATTTGAAATGAATGACATTTGTTCTGAGATCCATGATTTTTATTTGGGCTGAGAAGAGATGTAGATGGAGTAAATTCCTGTGTTTTATTGATGGAATTTTTAAAAATATGTCATGAATGGTCATGTCTTTTGTCAGTCCAGTATAGTTGAATTTGTTTCTTTAGGAGATACGCAGGTATCCATATATTGAACGGTGTATCCCTAATCATCTCCTATGTCAACTTATACCGCTGTTTCATGTCTCAATTTTGGTTGGTCCCGCACAGGTACTCAGCATCCATGAAGAACCTGTCCAACAAGTTCATGCATCTGACCAACTACAGCATCAACAAGAAGAATGCTGACTTCACACCCAACAGCGACTACACGGCCTGTGAGGGACACAAATGGTAAATGCACCTCCCCCCCCCGTCAATTCCTGACGGTCCACGTGAAAAATGACCCTGTGAAAGCCCCTTTGCCTTATATTGATTTGCAGTACTTATACGCTCGGTGCCAGATTGTAGAGGGCGCTGTTTAGTCTTGTCAGGTGGACCGCTTATAAATAGTGAGTACGGATTTTCACTCACGTAGTGCTCGGAGTACTTGGAGAATTTATGACGACAGAATGTGCACAGAACTGATGTGTTGTTGTGTAGTTATTTCATCAAGGATTTTCTCGTCAGAAATTGTTCCACTTAAGTTGGCAAGGTTTGCAGTGAGATATCTCTACAGGTCAAACTCATCCCTAACGCGTGGCTTAGAAATTGAGCAGCTTCAGAAAGCCAAGACAGTTCCAAAGTTTGCATTTGTTTTTTTTTTGCTGTTGTTGTACAGGGGCCTGAAAGCTTTGTGGGGCTACTTGAAACCCATGGGGATAGACACTGTCAGCGTCTGGGAGAACATCAAGGACGTCGTGGTCAAGACTATCATCAGGTACGTCCTGCGCTTTTGTCACCTCAGATCTACCAACTTGGGAATGAGCTAGTGCGGTATTCCAACAGAGCATGCTCAGAATGAAGTGCGTGCGAGGTCTGCCCTATCATTGCAGCCTTATGTGGACTCGTACGCATGCTTTGCTCCTGAATGACTTTGCTTGTTTGAAATACCAGACTGGCTTAGTTACTCAGCAGTAAATACGGGGGTATGGTCGAAAGTTGTCGCTGTGGCTTTGAATAGCATATGGGCTTATGGAAACCAGTGGCTAGCGGCAGGCAACTCCTTCCTATAAACATGTGCATTACTCCAAGCCATAGCCAGTTGATTCGGACAAGACCTCAGAAACAGTGCATTTCAGTGTAGGATTCTCGACTGGTATGCGGTCAGAACCAATATGTGATGTGAATACGTGTATATAAAGTCAACAACGGAATTGCTGCGTGGAATTTTATAGCTTCGTCCACTGAAGTGACGTCCATCTCCAGTTATTTGCACTAACCGGTTTTCGTTCTGCAGTGTGGACTCCACGGTCAACAGCATGGTCAAGCTCAATGTCAAGAGCCGTTACTGCGTCCACGAGCTGTTCGGTTTTGACGTCATGCTGGACGAAAATCTCAAGCCCTGGATTCTGGAAGTCAACATCTCCCCGAGGTATTCCTGACGAAAATTTGGCCGGGAAATTATCATAAACAGAAAGTTCTGCAAGGCGAAATAGAATTGTTTGCGAGTCTAAAACGATGCTTAAAGCTCACAGGTGTTTGTTTTAATTAAGTATGGCATGATCCAGTAATCTGGGATGATATTTTCCATTGCAGTCTTCATTCTAACTCTCCCCTGGATGTCAGCATCAAGGGAGAGATGATCAAGGATCTGCTCAACATCTCTGGCTTCCACATCCCGGACAAGAGAGACATTTACTCTGTCCTGACGCCAACCAGCAGCAGCTCCTCCAAGTATGTTTCTACGTATTTTTCACCAAATTCCATTTTTTTTCTTTTTCGGAGATTTCTGTGAAATAGTAGATTATGAACTTCTACAATATTGATGAGGAGTTCCGATAAGCTTAGTGCTATCTCAGGCGGCTCCCAAGCTTATGTCGTTACCCATTTTTACTCTTTGTGTTAAGGCAAGTGACCAGGTGAGGCTGAAATGATCAATAAATAATAAATAAATAAAGAAAGAAAGTTCTTGCATAGCGCCAAATCCGCCTAAATTGATGCTCTAGGTACTTTACATATGATAACATCATTAAAATGAAATGACTTGCCCAAGGCCGCAGTTAAATGCCAACAGCTGGATTCGAGCCCCTGACCCTGTGATCCACAATCATAAATCCTGATCAGTGAACTTCTAGTTAAGAAGTCGACCAAGAAGAGTTCCTCTTTGTCACCCAGGGTACGCGGCAGTGACATATTCATGGACAAGCGGTTGTACCAGACCCAACTCTCCAGTGACGAGAGGGCCAAACATGTCTTCTACACGCAGAAACACATCGATGAGGCAAGAAATCTTCCCTTTACAGACATAGCCATATACTAAATGTTCTAAATAGCCTAACGTGAGTTCCACCAGTACATTTTATTTCCAGGTTATGTTGATGTCAGGCTCAGATATCATATTTTATTTATTTCTTATTTCTTACACTGTCCTGACTTTCAAGACTAGTGTTGCACATGGAGGGTAAAAAAGATATTTTTGGCTGTAAAAATAAGCAGGAGATAAAATTGAACTCAAAGAAAACATAATCAAGCGGGACGTATATCAAAATCTGGTCAGTATTGTGTCAAAATATTCAACATCAAAAGTTGTTGAACTTTGCCATGTTTTTCGTGAGACTCAACGGATGAATTGCATTCTAAGATGTACTTTGAATTAAATGAAGATGAATTACAGATTAACATTACACCCTTTAACTGTACCAATTCTAGAAACATCTTGTTCAATCTCGGCCACAAATGTCAATGTTGTTGCTTGTTCACACCAATCCAAAATCACCAGCGAATACACACTGGTGATTTTGGATTTATTTATTTTGGGATTTCATTTGACTAATTTATTTTGATGTTTATTTTGTCGTAACCTCCATACAGCAATGCCGCATGTCCATCCTGGACACGCTGACCCCCGACGACCTGCGTATCCTAACCGAGGCAGAGGACGAGTACAGTCGCTGCGGGGGCTTTGAGCGCGTCTTCCCCTCCCCGACCTCCCACAAGTACATGAGGTTCTTTGAGAACCCGCGCTACTTCAATATCCTGTTGGACGAGTGGGTACGCAAGTACCACAGGCAGCATGCAAAAGGTAAATTAGAAGGTTGACGTTGGATAGGAATTTTTCAGATATCCACACTTGTGTGTCAGATATCAACTAGTGTATCAACTATCCATTAGTGTTATAGATATTTGCTAGTATATCTGATATCCACTGATGTGTGAGATATCCACTAGCGTGTTAGATATCCACTAGTGTGTCTGTTAACCACTAGTGTGTCAGGACACGTATCCACAAGTATGTGAGGTGTCCACCAGTGTGTGTCAGATATCCACTAGTGTGTCAGATATCCACTAGTGTGTCAGAGATTCACTAGTGTGTTCTATATCCACTAGTGTGTGAGTTAGGGTCATCGTGTCGCATACTCACTTGTGGACATCTGACTTCAAATCAGTGTGGAAGTCAAACTGCCACTTTTGAGACTAGAAGTCATAAAATAACTTCAGATCATTGCATCTTTTGAATATGTTTTGTCTTGTTCTAGGTTTATCACTACTGGAGGAATATTGCCAGGAAGGCATTCATTTGGGTACCGGCAAAGACAACTCACACGTGGTAGGTGCATAAATCTAACAAACCATTGTTAAATTCGAAGTGAATTGATAAAGGTCCCTTGAGGAGTAGTTCTGTTGCACTCCCCAATTTTGATATCCGAAATGAGGCTTGTTTCCAGTGTAGGCCGATGATTGTTTCAGTGTGAATGTTATTGGAAGGATCTATAGACTACCATCTAGGAGCGTGACAAAAATGGTTGCTCTTTGGAAGTTGAGGTGTCTTGAGCTCAACCAAATTTATCCCTGGTTTCCGAGATTAATCATGCAGTTCCATAGGCATTTGCACAACGTAAAGACACAAAGGAATGAAATGAATAACAATAGTGAGGGGAGCTTATCCCACCGCTGCCACCAGAAATACAACGCAATGTGTTGATTGAGTAAATAATCCTTTTGATTATGGCATGCAATAGTGTCCACCATGGAGTCCGTCTTTTACGCCCAGGTTTAGCCCAGTAAGTATGATTAGTGAGTTGTGACTGAAAAAAAAAATGCTGCTTGGTCATGTGGTGATAAACTTGCTTTGTGTTTGAAGTTTTATTTTTACCCCATGGGGTCAAGTTGGTGAGACATTGTGAGACACGGTTTGGAAGCACTTCCAAGATGAGGGTCAAGTTGGTGAGACATTGTGAGACACGGTTTGGAAGCACTTCCAAGATGAGGGTCAAGTTAGTGAGACATTGTGAGACACGGTTTGGAAGCACTTCCAAAATTAGTGTAGCATGGTTTTCAAAAATTGTCAAGGTTTTGATTGATTTCGATTTGATGGCAGCACCAGTCTTGTCACTCTCCATCGTCATCTACCATTTCCTATTTCACCGGGGACAGAAGTGACCCTTGGCCCATGATTCATCCACCATCATTTCCATTCACTCATGTTTTCACAGAGAGCTCTCAGGAGAAGCCACGGTTGAGTGCTTTAATTTTTCCCTTACCTTTGTTGTTGATTCTTTGACACTCAGCTTTGGCTTCAAGCGAAGTCTTGGTCGGGACTTGGGGAAATATGCACCTGGGAGTTGCTAGCCCCCAACGTGGCTTCTCAACTTCATAAGCTCTCTGTTGCATTCAGCATGGCACTGATCGCACCATGTGAAAGAGCTGGGGTTTTTTATTGTCATTCCACTCCATGCACACTGACAAATAGAGCAGAAAGTCACCTTGGAGATGCTGCTTTGAATCTGTATGTGGCGCCCTCGCACAAAGTGCGCAGGGCCTATAAGTGACAGTACATACCTCGGCACATTTGCTGAGCATCTCTTTCATCTCAGAAACTCCACAGCGTGTTGTCTGTCATCACAAAAACAGTGTCTGCTGTGTCACCAAAGAAAAACTTGATTCATTGGAGGTAGAATCGGTGGCCACAGTTTGTCGTCCTTATCGGGCTCATTGGATTTGGCTGCAATATCTTAGTATACCAGCATAGTTCACCTTCAGGCATTCCTTCCACCAATAACACGTCACGATTTTTTTTCCCCATGTTAGTGGTCCCCCATCTCCAGTGTCATCCAATCACAAGACCCACGGACATCCAGTGCCCCTGTTACCAGTGCCCCTTCACCGACAACGGCTCTGAAGAAGAGGTGAGAGAAACTCATGAGAGTTGTTTTGAGGAAACCAGTCTCATTTAGGGGCAAAATCTCAAGAAGAATAACTTTCAGTATAACATCGTCGTTCGTGAGAATTGCTTTGCACATATTTCTGGCATTTTTTTTCCTCTGGCCTGAGGAAAGTTTAAAGTCACTGTGATCTTTTGTTTTATTTGCCTGAAGTGTGGACTTTGATTAATTTTTTTTTTTTCAATAGTTCCTCCACCAACAACCTGCCTAAGATTCGGCGACGCGGCCTGGCCAAACCTCGAGCCCTGTCCTCCACTGGCAGCGCCGCCCCCCTGGGCAAATCCCCTGCCCACTCGCAGCCCCACCCACCCCGGGGGCTGTACGCCCCCCAGCGCCGGACGGTGACGGGCATGACCACGCCTAGCTGATGGGGGCCTCGCCTACCCCCGCTCATGCAGATGTTCCACGACCGTCACGTAGTCCATGTCCCGTCGCTGCGCCTGAGCTACCGGCACATGCTGATGAAATCCAAGGAGGCGCGAGGGGAGAGGGCAGCAAACAAGCAGACCACAAAGGGGGTGGGGACACACCGAGGGGCAGGGGACAATTAACGCAGGGAAAAACACAGGCCTTGAGTAAAATGTATTTGGTACATAAGTCCTTGATTTGCCAGATTGGACCAATTCTATCGTTGAAATATTTTCACCAGCACTCTGAACAACCCGTACTTGGGAACGTGCAAGACGGTATATCTGTCACAATTCGCTGTTCAGCAATTGCAGACCTGAAGATTTGTGCCTTCAAAAGACTTACCACGCCTGGCAAGGATGATTCCCAAAGTGCATCTCTCTGAACTGCAGAAAAACAAACGACATAGTCCCAAACAAAGGAGAAAGATAGGCCAATTAGACACGTCAGGGCATACCCGTCCGTAAACTACCTGCAGAGTCCTTCTGTGTCGGTATTCACAAAGGCCGTGATGGTCTCAGTGCCTTTTTGCAATGGGTGGAGGTAGGCGTCAGTATAGGCTGTTAATTTTTAGACAACTCTGTGCACCGTGTGGAGTGATTGAACAATCTCACCACCAGAGCCAAGAATTTGAAGTGTTTCTCACCAAAGTTTGTGCTCCAGCCTGCCTTGCTTCACTTCTAGACATTCCAGTTTGCTGCTTTATTTCCAGTGCTTGCTGATTTCTCTCTAAATTGCGCTCACCACCAAAGCCAAGAATTTGAAGTGTTTCTCACAAAAGTTTGTGCTCCAGCCTGCCTTGCTTCACTTCTAGACATTCCAGTTTGCTGCTTTATTTCCAGTGCTTGCTGGTTTCTCTCTAAATTGCGCTCACCACCAAAGCCAAGAATTTGAAGTGTTTCTCACCAAAGTTTGTGCTCCAGCCTACCTTGCTTCACTTCTAGACATTCCAGTTTGCAACTCTATTTCCAGTGCTTGCTGGTTTCTCTCGGGCTGTTGAATTTCTCTAGTGAACTCCCTAATTTTTTTGGTCCGTTTTGAAGGGTTTAATGGCAGAAAAGGTTGTAGGGATGCATTTTCTTTGTCCTGTTTCAGAGATTTTCATAGTGTACTGTAGAAAATTGTCATTTTCAAGTGTGGACTTAGAGACATGCTGTGAACCTACGTTAACAATTCCCTAGACATTAAACAGGAGGTCGGTGATGCCTTGTGCTTTCATCCTGCGCCATACTTTATACCTCAGATGATCAAAACAAGTCTTCCTTTTTTACATATAGTTGGTGCCATTGCTCTTTCATTGCATTCTCTATTTGGATCGTGCTCACGGTCTGCACTGCCAGTAGAAAAGAAAGCAGGACTTGTGTCAGTTTTTCCTGGTGTTCAACTATGCAAATGTTCGGTGTGTGTCTTGTGATACAGGGGCATAAATTATAATAACATAAAAGCTAGTTACTGATTTTTTTTTCTAATCGTAGATAATTTCTATATGCATAAATTGTCACCATATTAATCAATGAAAATTGTTGGTGGTTGGTAACTGTGGAAATGTGCCCAGGTATATTTAATGACAAACTCTGATTTTATTCCTGTCTCCTAATTATATAATTTTTGTTTATTTTTGCTGTTTATTTTGCTTTGTTTTTGTGTTTTTATTTTTGAGTAAGGTGCTTTATTGCAGTTTCACGCTTTTTTTTTCTGCATCCTTTTTTTACAATTTATGTTTTTGTCTTTTTTTTACATTTTTTTTTTAAAGTTTAACTGTTAAGATGATGGTGATTTGATTGCATCCTCATCTGTGTTAAACCTTGGAGTGCCTTAATTGTCAAATGACTCCCTTCCCAGTGTGGTGTTGTACATGTAGGATGCATGTGAGTCGCTCTGACATCAATTACTTCATATGTGTTGTGATTTGTGTGATTGCCGATGCTAAGTTCTATATAATATATGTGCTCTAATTGAATTCTGATTGATTTTTCTTGTGTGTGTTTGCCTTGCCTTAGAGACAAATTTGTGGATTTTTTTTTGTTGAAATGGGCTGGGGATTATTTTTTATAGACACCAATGTTGAAATACAAAATTTACATTCCAGGATATTATTGTTACTATTCAGATTGTGTAGAAACAGAAACTGCCTTGTCCTTTTTACTCCGTGAATTGTGAAATCTGTGCCGGCATCTGGATCCAAATAACCGAGATCACCGATTAATGCCTCATTTATTTATTCATTTCTATAAGTGTTGTTCAAAATCCAAGTAAGAAGTTGCGATATTTCAGGGTATTAAAACACTTGAATTTGACTTGACAATCTGCCTTTTCAGTCCAATTTGTGCATTTTTGGGCAGTAAAGTTTGGTCTGTGTATAGTGATGTAAAATGCTTTTGTTCTTAGCCAAAATGAATAAGAGAATGTTAGAAATCCTTGTGGATTATTTAAAATAATGTGTATGACTTCCAAAATTGTATATTTTGCACAAATTTGAAAACTGTTGTTTTATTTTATTTGGATACACTTTTGAGTTATTTTGGGATTTGAACAATTGTGGAAGAATTGAAAAGATACTGGGATTTTTGTAAAGAAAAATGTGTGTGTTATTTAAATTGGAGAAGGGAGCTCTTAATGATCGGCTGAACTTACAAATTCTTCTTTGCACAAATTTTTGTTTTTCAGTGTAACAGCTTGAAATAAAATCGATTTGGCACTTCTAACTCGCGAAATTTGATTAATTTTGTCTGTTTTCTTACGACGTAATGTTCAAACCCTGCCCAGAATGCATGCATCTTCGAAAAAAGGCTATGTCCGCCGGCTGTGATGTGGCTTAGAACATGCTTAAATTTATACAAGAGGCTTCGTTCGTCATCCAAAGCCCTATACTATGGGTAAGGGTGCGAGTGTAAAGCTGCGCGGCGTCGACGCGTGCGCGTCCGCGCCGAATCACACTCAATGAGTTAACACGCTACGGTCACAACCATGTGACTCGTGCGTTATTTTAGAAGTATGTGAAAAGCGCCCTCTTTGGCAAAAGCAAAAAAGTAATGCGAGCCTTACGTCATTTCTATAAGACTTTTAACTGTCGAGCAGCCTTCAGCACTTTGCAAAATAGTTCCTGTTTTTTAATCGCAGATAGATGTTACAATACATGTATATGCAGAATTTCGAGTACTTTCATTATTACTTTAAACAAACATTTTGTAGTGTTCCTGTTGTTATGACTAAAAACACAGACACGATTTGTAACTATTCAAAATAGCTCTGAACTCTCACTGTTCCGCCAAGTAAAGCGGTTGACCTTTGAACCATTATTAATCATCGTTGACCTCCAGGTGACCTCTTTGAAAGAACATAAACCTACCTGCGCAACCACCCATCAGGACAAGGAAATAGCTCCAGTAATCGTTATTATTTCGCGCCACATCGATATTTTTCGGGGACACTTTTGAAAGGAAAGAGTTTTGTCCGTATTCTGAGTATCTGTAAAACGGTTCAAGATGAAGAATTTGTTGTTTTCCTCAGCGGTTTTTGTCTGTCTAGCGTGTTTTTGTTTGGAGTTTGGTTTGATTAGCACCGCAAATGCAACGACCAACACTCCCCCTGCAACGACTATGCCCGACAGTGAGTTGGCCTATATCAGTCTTATTTGTTCGTATTATTATAGTGTTATTAATCCATTCGGAACGTTTTTGGACATCACTTCCCGTACTACTTGATCATCAAGGGGATCATGTCTGTTTAATTAGAAGTATTCAACACATGTCATGCATGTTGCGTGTAAAAAATTTGAAATGTTTCTCGAAATTGCATTCTGTCATGTGTGTCTCAAGTGTCAGTGTGAGTCTACCAATGCCATGTCTGGCCTTTAATGCGAGTGTGAAGTTCATGAGGCTGAAAGCTGATATGTATGTCCGTGCTAGCCCCACTTGTTTGGCAAGGACTCTCACTCCAGATCCATCCTTAGCCACACATCCGTATACGCAATTTCGTGTCGATGTACTGAACATTTTCAGCGCACCCACTTATCATTGTGGGCGCAATTTCTTTTGCACACAGAGATGATCCTTAGCCTCTCCGCTTCCTTAGCTCCATTTATTGAATGATTTCACTCACATTGTTCAGGTATTTTCCAGTCTTTTTGCCTTCACCCATTCAATCTCACGGGCTTGCTCTCACAGTCGCCATCTTTAAAATAAGGTCGTTGGACATTACGTCTCTTGACCCCTTATCTTCTCAACGGCTGTTCCATGTCAAGACATGTAATACACAGACTGAGTGATAAGATACTACATGTACCAATGGGCTCTGACAAAACACGGGCAGCAGAGTAGATGTCTTGACATGGAACCACCGTGGCGGATCCATATTTCACACTTGGGACTCGAAGGGACAAAAATAATTTTGTCGTCTCTGAGGAAAATCTGAATCTGACTACTTGTAACCTTTACCCCAAATATGCCTGAATTTTCACTGTTTATACGCTATTAATATCTCCCACACTCTACTGAAAAGGTTTCAGTAGCAGAAAAGGGAAAAAATGTTGCATCCTGACTTCACTTTCCTCCTCATATATCATCTCAATAAAAGGCAGTCATGACAGAAATGCTGGAAAGACACGAATTCTGGACTGAGAAACATTTACCGAAAAGTAGGGAAAAACTTAGAAAATTCTCTTCACTCCCCATAGACTTTGTACGTAACTGCTGAAGTGGAGTCAGGATGCAACATTTTTTCCCAGAAAAAAATGAGGAAAACATGCAAATCCCTGTACAAAATGAAGGGAGGGTTGCCCCCTTGCCCAGATGTGAAAGTGATAAATGGAACAACTTCTAACCGCGAGAACAGGTTCTCATAGGTCTATACTGGGGTAACTGCAGAATACCCCACCACTCTAAAATACGACCCTTGAATGACTGGTTACATGGATACAAGGTGAAAATCCCTTGAGAAGAGTGTGACACTTTGACCAGTACCTGGCTGTGAGGTTGATTGTGGAGGGTGGTGGGGTATTCTGCAATTGAGCTCTTGACTGAATAACTTTCAGCGTATATTCATTTAATAGGAGTGTTCCTTTTTCTATCAGTTCGTGAAATTTCTATTCTGGAAACTTACCATTTCTTTTAGTATTTTGCGCTAATATTTGTTAAATTGAAGTTTTGAAGATTTCTTTTCTTGTTTCTCACACTAGCTTGCAGTGCACACAATGGAAGCTGTGAAAAATGTGTATCCTTCCCAGGAGCAAAAGTGAGTCACTCAAACAAATTTTTTTTTTTTGGGGGGGGAAGTTGTCTGTAATTGATCCTCTTTCAAGTTTCTTGTTCACGTTAACGTCTCCGTTTGGTGATTTAAAATGGCTTTTTTTGTCCCATTGGCCGTGACTTTGCCCCCATGCTGACTTGGGGCATGACCAACTCTGAACACATTAACTATGGTCATATGATTACAACTGTTTCCATGGTGAGATTTGTTTTCAATTCTCTTCCCTTCCCCATTTTTTTCTTTTGACAGTGCTTCTATTGCGAGACTACAAAGATCTGTGCCAAGTATCCAGCCCAGGAAATTTTCCCGACCAAATATTGTGCCTTGTCTGAAGCGAGATGGGGAGTATGTTTCTGTAAGTGCCTGTAGCTCTCTATATATCATTGGGGTAAAATATCCTGCTCAGGGAGACTATTTCAATTGACTATGGTGATGGGCACTTTTGGGACTTACTGGGCAATGTAGGTATTTTCAACCGGTGGACTAGTCCTGTCAGTGCAAGAGAAACGAAAAATTTTGGTGGTTTCATTCACCTTTGACCCTTTCATGGTCTGTTGCTCTGATAACTAAAACAACATTTTTACTAGTTGTATATTGAGCAGTGTGCAATAGAAACATAGTGGGCCAAGAATGATGTTCTTCTGTTATCATTTTTCAAGGGATTGTTGTTTGTCACCTTCAAATATTATTTGTTCGTTTGTTTGATTTTTAGTGAACTTCGAGGCTTTGATCATTGCTATGGGTGTCATAGGAGGCGTTCTGCTCATCGGCCTTGTCACATGTATCTACTGTTGCTGCTGCCGTTCCGGGAGCAACCGAGCCAAGTAAGGAGGGCAATATAAGTATATTGACTAGATGTCAAGTGATTTAAAATTTGATGTAAAAACTATTTACTTTAGATGTGATGCTGGTAACTCTCTTGTTTGGGTGGGAGAGGATCAGTTGAAACATGCTTGCAAAGTCTTAATTTAGGCACTAGTTAGTTCGAAGGGGCATAGTTTTGTATATTGACCAGTACTGAAGATATTGTCAACATATTGAGCAACTTTAAGGGATATTGAATGATTCGCTCTTTGAAAGTAACAGTCAAGATGTTGACTTGCTGCTAAAGACTCAAGCTTTGATAGCTACGGGGTTTTAAAGAGCCTGGAGGCTTGAGCGTTAAGCCTGTCTGTGTGAAGGGGTTCAGCTCTCGTACTGACGTCAGTTTGATTTCTTCCAGGTACGCTAAAGAGGATGCTAAGTTTGAACGGAAGAAGGCCGAGAGAAAGATGCACCACGAACAGAAGTAAGCAAGCTCCTCTCTCCCCAAAAGCCCCCGTTGACTAACATCTCTCTCTCCTTTTCAGAATGGACAGAGAGGAACTGGAATACGCACGAAAGAAAGCTGAACGTCAAGTCAGACGTGGCCGAACGTAAGACCATCTCCAGACCCAGTAGGACTTAGACATCCGTGCCGCTCACGCATCCAGAATTTGATCAAATTCATGCCAGCTGCTGGTAGACGTTTCACAGGCCATTTGTATCATGCACCAAGCAAAGTGTGACCCTAAATCCTATCCGATGCTCCCAAAGTCCAGTGGGAGATGGAAGATTTTGCAGGATTGAGGAACGTAGAACCCATCCATGGTCACTCGACAAAGGATTTGATATAATCTTGAAAGTTGAAGCTCAAAACTTGTCTTTGAGTCCATGCCTCTGTGAATCGTGCAGGTTCCACTTATGAGCACATTTTCTTTTGGTGACACACAAATTCCGGTGTGCGTTTTAACCTCTTTCCCAGAGGGTTATTGGTTCATGGATTTTAACACGATGCTGGTTTTTTCTCAAAATAACCATGACCACAAGAGGCATAATTCACAAGGTGTTTGCACCCAGGATATCTTCACAACTAATTTCATTTCACTGAAGTCGGACAAACTAGAATGTTATTATTGGTGTTCAGCTGTTGGTTCGGTGAAATGCAACAGCACAGCCCAAATCCACCCACCAGGGCGCACGCTTCATTGCATTGCTGCAGTTTTTGTCTGCTGGTGTTGGATGAGCTTAGATTTGGAGATTGAATCTCGGCCAGTCATTGCCAGTCCTGCTCAGTGTATGTTTTGTTTTGTTTGGCGGGACAGAAAGTTCATTTATGTTCATCCAACTGCACATTTAGCGCCAACTACAGGATGAAGTGACAAAAAGACAATGAAGAACTGTTCAGTTTTAGAGGTGGAAGGAAAACCCCAGATAAATGTTCTAGGGAAAACCCACAGAATCAGGCAGGGACTGAAAGCCCTATCAACATGCTGACCTGGGTGGGATTCGAACCCGGGTCGCAGAGTTTGAAGGCGAGGATAGAGCCAGTACAGCAACCTGACTCCCAGGTCAAATATCAAAGCCAATCAAATCACTAGATCAAATTGTTAAATTTTTTTGTGTTGTGTATATCCAAATTTCCCATTCCTGAAATGGAAAATACCGTTCACAGTTCCTGAGGTTTCTTAGTTCTATGAACGTGGTATTTTTTGTTTCTCATTGAAAAAAAAATTACCAAAACGTAGTGCACATACATATGCAACACCTCTGTCTGAGATTCTGCTAACTGCTCAGCTAACTGTTGTTCTCTGCTAAGCCAGAGTGTGACCCAGTCCTGTTCTCCAGAATGCCAAGGCTTGAGGCGTCCTGCCCGTCCTTTTCATAAACAATCTGTGAATCGGAATCTCTCATATTGTCCGTTTGCATTTTTGTTTTTTGGTGTACATATGTCGTGTGTGTAGCCTGTCGCTTTTCAAATTTTGCCGGTTTGTTTGCTTGTAGACTAGAGCTTTCCACAAGGCGTACTTAGCATAGCTTTGCCCTGTTTGGTTCACATGTCATGAAAGTTGTTGAAATTATGACATTCGCACCTTCAGTGTTCAACCCAGCAATCCCAAATTCACCACTGTTCTTGACATTTTGAATTGTGGAGAAAGAAACCAGATGAACAAGCTGGTTGATTCTGTCAAGCATTCTGTCAGGCAACAGCCAGTAACAATGTAACATCTTTTTATACCAACAGAAAGGCCGAGAGAAAGGCCAAGAATGATGAAATCAGACGGAAATACGGTGAGTCTGACAGTGTTAACGAATACCAAACCGTTTCTAGCTCGGCGCGATTTTTATCTTCTCTGCGCCATCAAATTGTCTTGTCTTCAAATCAAATGATGCCTATTGGCTGGAGCTACTCGTAGCATAGATTGGTGACTTGGAAAATGAGCATACAACGGGAGAGACTTGACCTTGGTCTTGAAATGTGACTGCAGTGTTGCGTTAACAAAGTCCAAGTCCTGTACGATGGCAACCTTTTTTGTTTTCATCCAATTACTGTACCATTCCAGTCACATCCACAGCTGCCACGCAACACGAGCAGAAAATGACTAATGTTCGTACTCGGATCATAATTCATTCCCTGTCCGCAAAATTTAACTCTACCCCATTTCTAACGCAGTAATTTCCAGAACTTGTCATTTACATTTTTAGAAAATTCATTGTTTTGCATTCTGTAATGTTCATCAAAAGCCCCCCCCCCGAAAGTCAGGTTTGCCGCTTATCAGATTAATACAGGAAGAAGTGAAGTCCATGTCTCTGTGTGGTGCGTGTATCTGTTATAGAGAAGAACCGTGTTTATGTATGGGCACATGTTTACCGGTGTGCTTGGATCGATCAGATTTGCACGTGCTCTGTATGCATTTGTTCAGCTGGTATATTTCTGTATTTGTGTTATCACTTTGCGCTGTTAGTGACTTACCGATGTTTCCTTGTTCAGTGGTGATATTGTGGGAATTCCCTGCAGAATCGTATCCATTGTTAATGGATTCAACCCACCAAAACACGGCTTCCTTTCCAGTGAACATCATTCCAGATTTCCTGAGCATTGGGAAATGTTTCTGAAAATCTGAGCAATCACTACATAGACGAGTGCATTTTATGAAGGAAATTGTTACCTGAAAAAAAAACAGAGGAATTTCTCACTACATATAACCTTCCAATGCTGAAGTCACTCTTTGGGTCATTTGGTGAACACCTCAAAGAAGCACAGCTGTGTCGTGTTGTGCACTGCACCAACTGTCCCTCACAGGAATATCAGATTGCACTTTTTTGCTGCCCAACAACTGTGCCTCACTGTTTCATGTGCATCATTGTGCAGTAAACCAAATGCAGTGAAGAGGACTGCACAAAAGACCCTGGGTCATTTTGTGCTAGCAATCTACTGTGTACACGCTGAACCTGTGACTGTGGGCATTTGTGCACATTTGTGCTGTAAAACCATAGGAGGGTTAATGTAAGGAAAAGATTGTTCCTTTTGCATGGGGCGTGCAGAGTTTTTGTTTTTGAGACTTTAGTCGGTCGTTTTATTGTTTGTTTCCATTATTGGAAGTGAGGAATTTCAGTGTTAAAATATCCTCGGTCCCTGTATCCCCTTCCATGCACTCTAGTTATCCACTATCTTACATCCTGCCACACTCAATTTCTGACCAGTTCAAGCTTATTGAATCTTGATCCAGCATTTCCTCTGGCTACATAATTCTGGCCTGGCATCTGCAGCAGTATTTTTGGATTGACTTAGAATAGTCCAGGCTAGAAATGATGCCACAATGTGCAAACTCTCCACTGGGTGACAGTACGACTCAAAAAGTTGCTGCGTGCGGATCTCGATTTTTTTTTTCTCAGCAAAACGACAGTGCAGGTATCCAAACTTTCCAAATATGTGACTTTTCTGTCCGTTTTCTTCTTTGATTGGCAATAGATACCGACAGAATGTTTAAGTCCCAAACTACAATATGTTCTTGAATGCAGAGTCGAGATCAATTTGTCCATGTCTTTTGTCAATATGTATGCATTCACAATTTCCACTTCAAACATGTGGCAACCTTTGGACTAACATATTAGGAGTTTATAAGTGGTTCAAAGATTTGAAAGTATGTAAGCAGTTCAGTCACATGATCAGATTTCTGGTAAGCAAAACAATCTTTACCCTGACCAATCCAATGGACTTTATATTCACGGGGCCGGCCAGACGTGTTGAATTTGAAAGCGAGGTTAACTCTTCAGTTTTGAATGTCGAGAGTAAAAATGAAGCAATGAAATGAAATTTCACTGACAGGACTGACACAGACTCAAGTTGATCGGTTTTCTGTGGCTAGGATATCTACGGAGCCATTGGTGTCTTTTGGTATTGCTCGTGTTTCAGAATCAATTGTTCTGTCTTCCGTTGTTTGATGTGTCTGATGTTACACATGATTGTTAGTCAACTACTTGAACTTTAGACTTTGTAGTTTTGCTTCCTTGTATCAATAACCAGCGTGTGTGTTTGATTTTCACGACCTTTACGTGAAGACAAAGGATGCACAAAGCCACAATCTTTTACACTGTTTGTCAACCTTAACAGACAAGACATATCTTGTGTAGTCTGAAAAACCCTCCACGATGACAGCTTTCTGATGGCAGGACATGCGGGAAAGGACCAAACTACTGAGGAATAAATTATCAAATCTACCGTACAAATTGGCTTGGCCAAGTTAGCATGCTTGATATCCTATTTGTAGGCCCTCTGAAGGTGTCCACATGTTAAACTAATTCTGTGAATCAAATGTTCGTCAACTATTTAAAAACTAAGCCGGAGTTTAATTTTCACTGTATCATGCATGAAACCAGTATACTTATGTACACGTATACCTGTTTCTAGATGTAATAATTGAAAAAACGGATGGTTAAACGTTACTTAGGTAGATCAATTTTCAAAGTTTCCATGCAGCTTTAGAGGAGGAAATATCAAAGATATGTAAGCGTGACATGCATTGACTCCTGGTAGAAAATGCTGACTTGTTTCATAGTGTTGTGCTGTTGTCATGGAAATGCCAGCATCAGCACTCATCTTTTTGTTGACATCTTCCACACTGACTCATTGCCGACTAGAATTCATCACTGCTTGTTCATGTAACATTTCATGCCTGGTCCACATTTGAGTTGACAAATTTCGTTCTTTCACGAGAGGCCATTATAACAGTATAGTCCCATCAGAGGACTTTCTGTGAGTCCAGCGTTGATATCATACACTGTGGTGTCAATACACTTGATATTTCCCCCCCCCTTGAACAATTTCTTCTGACATGGTCTGCTGTATTTCGGCCTCTCTGTCAGGATGAGAACTCCCACTTCATCAGTGTACCCATTTTTGAGGACCTGATGTTCAGAGGTTGTTTCTGTTCTCTTGAAAAAAGGAGTGAATTTTAATTGGAAGTTGCACTTCACTGTCAGTCATCAAGAAACAATGACATACATTGTTTAAGAATATGGCTACCACAGTAAGAAGTGGTCGTCTGCAGTGGCCCCCGCCAATGGCGGTGTGATAACTATTGTACATAGCCACTGTTGTGTGACAGTTGCTCCGGACAGAACCCAACACAGTGTTGCCCACCATTAGAGGGGGCCATTGGGAATGTCCAATGAAGCACTACTAGGTTCCTTTTTACATGACCCTGTGAATGATACTCTGGTTAGGGCATCCTCTAGCATCATCCATGCAAAGATGTTATTTTCATTTCAGTTGTGAGTTAAACACTGTAGTGAGCACCTGTGCTGGCCCACACCCCCCGTCCCCCATTCTCCACGGCTTTTCGTTTGGCTGAGCTGTTTTTCTTTCTGTTTGTGTGTCCCCCGTCTCCCCGCAGGTCTCATGCCAGAAGACGAAAGCTCGTACCACAGGTTTGACGAGACTGCCTAAAGACTCGGCCGGGCATCAGTACGGGTGCTGGTTGGAAAGTCTCCGGCCAGTATAAACTGACCAAAAAAAATAAAAAAATTTCTGAACAAGAGAACAATGGCCATCGTTTCTACCACACGCTGGCTGGAACATTCAAGAACCAATTTCACTGTCTCTCAAAGGCCAGATACATGTAGTAAGAGATGAGGCTGGTGGTTTGTGAAATGCCCCCATTAAGACTGTTAAGTGTTATGCTTTGCCTACCTAAAGGGCAGGTCCAAACTTAACAAAACTGAAGCAAATGTAAGCCCCCCCCCTCCCTAATCACTCCCCAAATCCTTCACATTGGAATAGTATTTTTCAGGAGAAAATAGGCCTAGATATTCAATTCGATATTAATCATCGAATCGCCGTTAAAATTGTCAGAAAATGTCCCTGCGGGCCCGTTGCCAAGAGGGGGCCTGAGCCCCCCCGTGGGAAGCTGCCCCCCCCCATCAGTAAAAGCATAAGCATGAAAAATATATTTTGTTCCAGTGATGTGGCTCCCCCTAGCTGATACTGTGGGTTCCCCCCCCTGTTAATGTCTGAAGCTGGCGACGGTGCTTTGACCCTATCGTTTCAAAGTGTGGAGAGAGCCAAGAGTTGTTGGAAGTGATGCTTTGTGAAATAGAGGTTGATGAAAGTGCACAGGTGCAGGAGCTCAGTTGTAATCAAGGGGTGGAATTTCCCTCGTAAAATCGGCGACAGCCATCTTATGAAGGGCTTTTCATATGTACCACCTTTATTAAGGCCCCGTCTCCCTCCCTGGATCATTTGACTTTACCTGTTAGCCGTGCGAAATCAGACAAATTTTTTAAAGCCCCACTACGAGTACAAACAGCACCTCCGGAGTTGGACACAAGGGTTCGGATAAATGAATTTCCTGTGGGCATTGTTCTCTTGAGCGAGGCCTCTCTGGCGTCAGTTTTGTTAAAACGGATGGATGAATTTCTGATGCCTTGCTGGAAAACTTGCATATTTGCGTTAATATCTGCAATAATTCTCCAGGTTTTGAAGAAAAAAGTTAATGTGTATATGTTTTTAACTACAGTAGATCCGCAGATCAGAAAGAAGTTATCTTGCATGTTAAAGAATTTAACATTCTTTTTCCCCCCGTTTCCCAGGGAATTTTATTAGTGTTACTTTTGGGTTCCCCCGTCCTCATCCAGTTTATAGTTTAATGGTCGAGCACTGCGAAAACATTCATATTTCTAGAGTTAACACACCTTTCCCTTAGCATGGTTGCCCAGAATGAATGATTTTAATCACAAGTGTAATCATGTAATATAGTTAGGTTCTCTTGATGTTTCAGTACACATCACCTTGTTTGTCGAGGGGAACGAGACAGACATTGGCATATGTCTGGCCGTTTCTGAATATTACGGCTGCATGTGGAAATGATACACATGAACAAGCACTTACGAAAGTCAGTGGCTAGGGGCTATGGCCATTTCCCATAGATAATGATCTAACTCTGAGCCTTAGCCTATTAATTCAAGCAAAATGGTATTACCCTCACTGCAACAACTCATAGTCCTGTACACTGTATTTGTCAATTTTGTTTTTTTCTATCTTATGCTGTATTTCTTCACAAGTTATGTTTTCATATTGGCAGAGGCTACCAAGCATTCTGAGCTGATAGCTGTAGCCTCCAAAACATGACAACCCTGCTCAAGTTTGTTCTTCCAGACATGACAGGTGTGCGCGACTGCCTGCAAATAATTGCGCGATTTCAAAACTGAGCAAAAGTTGAAGTTAAAAACACCACAAATAACACTCTTGTACATTATATCTTGGTTTTTTTTATGAAGGAGCAATTGTAAATCGAACTAAGTAATTTTGATGAATGAAAAATAGTTATTATCCTTGACAGTTGGTATATATATATTTTTCTGAAGACTAACAGCTTACAGATACCTTCGAGCTCCACAGTTATCACATGCCATTTTGTCGTATTCGTTGGGCCTTTTCAAATGATAACGCGTTTGCATCAGATTTTTAAATTGATTCGCTGGATTTGAAAAATCCAACACTCATTTGGCAGCCAGAATGGCTGTAAAACTGTCCTCATTTCTGCCAAATCTAAACCCTGTCTCTAGTTTTTCATCTTCGAGTTTTTTCCTAACTACATCTGGAAATTTTACCGAATAAAACTCATGGAAGTTGATCCAAAGAGAGGATCAAATTCCTAATGTGTATAACCATGTACTGTTTTGTATATGCCCATATCTATGCACGTACAGCTACAAAAGGTTTCAGAAGTTAAATGTTCTAAAAAATGATTAATCCGCTCTATATGCCGGTACCTAATGTACACTTTATTGTAGATAACGATGAAAGGCCTTTCCTTAGATTTATGAGGGCTGTTTGAAAAATCCTACGCTGTCAGGTATTCAATTGATTAAAACTGCAAATGAGAGTTAGCTTAAACTAATTGATGTAAACTTTGGTTGTGCTACAAATTAATGACAATAAATTTTGCACATTAACTAGTTGTACACACGGTCACGTTTCATTCAGCCACTGTCAGCTAATCGAAGGAATTTTTGTGGCAAACAAGTTTTAACGAGTCATTTGAAGTTGTAACTTAAGTTTTGATTGGCATGTTAACGTAGTGTTGTGTGGCAGTTGATTTTTTTGGTGGATGGAACTGTGAGTTACTGGAAATCCATCAGAATTGTACATTTTGTTGGGAGATTATTTCGGATGTGCTTTCCAAGTGAAAGAAAATATTTTCATTTGACTTGAATAACGAATGAAACAGATTTGCCAGGAAACCCGTCTGCTTCCTGTATTTGTTTTTCGTCCGGTGTGAATTCGTGTTTTTCCCCCTTGTTTGAAACGTTTTACCAAACCAACCTGGTTTGCGCAGGGGTGATTTTAATGGAAAACAAAGGATTATTGAAGTATAGGAATGATGGAATTGATTGGAAGTGAAAGCAGGAAAGAGAGATTCAGCTCGGTCGGGTTGTCACTCCAAAGGCTTTCATTGAATGCACAACCTCCCTCATTGATGGTGTTTACGAACATGATGTACATGATTCCTGACAGCTCGTGGGAACTTTATTAATTCTCACAAAAGTCCGTGATTCGCCGCATCTTCTCATAAGATGGCGCCCTTGCCACTTTCCCACTAGCAGACCCAGCGCGCAAATGCGTCACAGTGAGAAATCCTCTCTGTTCACGTTCATTTGCATGCAAATTTCAGGACTTCCCCCTTCATGTCTTGTGCAGTTACTGCCAAATTGATGTAAAAAAAAAAAAACGGCATGGGCTCGAGGAAACCCTCTTATCCAGGTTAACTGCTCGTATCCCTGTGTCATCCAATCTGTTCTGCAGGGTTGCTGAAGAACGAGGAAGAGGATAGCTACACAGAACTCACCGAACACGTGTAAGACGGCTTTCCCGTAACTCCACATTAATAACTGGGTGCAAGTTCGACCAGGGACCACTAGTCAACCTTTGGTTGTTTCGTGACGCACCTAGCGCATGTGCAGTGAAGTTGAAGTGCAAACGACCCTAGTCAACCGTTGTCAGGTCGCTGGGCTGAAGGGGAGAAAAGGTGGCCGCAGGAAGGTCACAATAGCAAAAATAAAAGTGAAAATGGTCGTCTACCAGTGACATACTGTTTTTTCCGGCACTTTTCTTATAAACTGGTCTTCTCTGTACTGTGCTATTGAAAAACGGTTTGTAGCAGCCAGTGATGCAACCAACCTTGATATAGGCAGGTCGCGAATAGTTGATTAGACCAGTCCAACCACCGTCAACAAACGTACGTTCAATCAGAGTTAGTCGAACTGTGGTTAACTGTGGTCCTTGATCGAACTTTTTCTGGGACTCTGGACAACTTGAATGACCTCCAACGTCATAGTTAATATATATGCAAATCCGAAATAGTTTGCATATTTTGACAGCAAGCGATGCCATATTTGCGAGTGTTTTTGGTTCAATTTTGGGTTGTTTAATCGAAACATGAGTTTCTGAGATGCTACCGTGTATTTTGTCGTTTCCATCCAGAATTTGATTACAACGTCCATTGACTGTTGGGTCTGCCTCTTTTTGGAACCTCATATATCTTTATTGGTGGGGATATTAATGTTGTAGTGTTCTTTCTTTTCTTGCAATAATTTCACGTTATGTTTAAAAAGAAGTGTGTTTTCTCACAGTAAAACTGAAGTTTAGTCTGGCGTCTCGCCCTTCTTGATGTCATTGCATTTTGATATTTTTTTTCGGGGCATAGTTTCAAGTACTTTATTTTGATGGTGTGCCGATAGTTAAGGATAAATGAAGTCTTTCTTTAATAAGTTCGTATATAGATTCAACAAGCACCTTGATTTGTACTCTAACGATGTTCGGATTATAAACCTTAAGAATTGCTTTTACTAACAAGGGTTAAGCGGAAAAGTCTTCTGTCTTGAACTTGTTTCGTAATCTGTAGTTATTTTTCTCTTTATTATACAATGGTGTAACTGCATGAGTTCGTTTATACTAGGATCTATCTTACTTTTATACCTGAAAGTTGTTTTGGTTTACAAGACGCCTTTAAAATTCTGCAATAAGTGAAATGAAAATTGAAAAAAAAAGGAGAAAGGGAAAAACTTATTCAGTTGGTGAGATTTCCCGTCTGGTCAGACCAAGGAAGACGAATTCTTCAAAATGTCAGTCCAAAACGGAGGGGGAAATATGTCAATGCGTGGGCGCGAACCCCCCTTCCTTTCTGTTTGCCACCAATAATTGCTGGAGGCAGGGAAACCGAACCTCCAAATTATGGTTCAAGTTTCAAAATAGATGACACAACAAACGGGTCGTCTCGGTAACATCAGCTCTCGTCGCGTTTCGGACTCGGGCTTTTGGCACGCCTATCAGCTCTCTAGGGAAAAATGCACGTCAGGGAAATTGCATAATATTGTGTCGGTTACCGACACGTTACTATTTTTCTCCCTTGTTAAGAAGATTGGTGCACATGAAATGGAGGGTCTCCCCCTAAATAAAGGGCTGTGCGACCGGTACGTCACGTGACCTATAGTGGGTAATAAATATCAACAACTAACATGGTGTTCACCAAAAGTAAAGTGTTTCATAAGGATCATTTTTATCAAAAAGAAAGTTGAAGGTAGGTACCATACTCAGACTACGGATGTGCTGGATACTGTACAGTAAACTTGGCTGTATTTGTAAACAACGCTCAAAACACACGATGCTATGAGGTTGATACCCACTACTGGTCGCGTGATTTAGAGGGCGCAATCGGTGAATTACGATGGAGCGAGGATTTGGGTTTCCAATGAAGTTTGAACAGTTTCTCTACTTTGATGTTTGTACGAACGAGAAAATTTCGGGGTCTTCCAGAGAAAAAGGGTACAGCAGAGCTGACAAGGGATATTCTTTTGGTTACTGGTAAGCTCCTTTTCCGGTTGGAAAGAAACTTGCTTGTAGTTTTCATGGAATTTCACATAGTAGTGTGAATGCCTGAACAGTACGTAAGCGTTTTGTCTCCTGTTGATCAGGTATGTCAGGGTCGCTTTTTCCCCTTGCACCTAGGGTATTTAAATGTAAGGAAACTTCATTAGAAACTTAAATGTTTGTCATTCCCGCCTTTTCACGCGTACTGGCAGCTCTTATCGTCTGCTTATTGTTTAGTCAGACGCCGCTGAGAACTATTCTTATGCAAATCTCCATCCCAGGAAAACTTTGGGACACGACCACTTTCAAGTGTGGGGGTTCTCGTACCTTTTTCATATTACAAGTCGTGCTCAGTGGTTTGTATAAAATTGATTTCCCAGTGATATTAAACATTCGATGGCTATGATGGCGTTTATAATTTGTAACTTTAACATACAAGAAATATTTTGGAATATTGTATCGGAGAATTGGTACATTTAGCTGACCTCTCTTAGACATGGAGCATGTCCATTGTTGATACGGAATTGTTTGAGGTCTAGTTTCCAAGCAGAGTCCATTGGGTATGTAGTGCAATATACGCTGCCGATGCTGAGGGAGCGCTTTGTGCAGAACTGTCGTTGTTGATGGAGACAACACTGTTACGTTTTGGGTTGGGAATTCGCCATTTACAGGTAAAACTTATCAATCTTTTCGCAGTTGCCTTATCCTGTTTACTGTTGTACAATTTTGGGGACCTCAACTTGCAGGAAAATGGAACAGTTCTGGCAGAAAATGTTGAGTGCCCGCACGAGGTTTGTCGGAATGGTTGAGACGTTGATAACTTAGTATACCTGCATGCACAAATAGGCGCTCGATGAAATTCTGTATTTTTGTATAAAATTCGTTACACTACCCTGCCTAGCCTTCAAACACTGGTTATGGCATGTAAGTGTGCCTCGGAATATCAAGAAGATGTCTGTTCTGAGGATAGTCTTTCAGCCGACTCGGAGTGGAGGCGTCAAAGTTAATTTGAGTGACGAAGTCCTCAAAATAGACTTTGCATAGTTTAAGGGTGTTAGTTGCATACCCCGCTTCAGTCACACAGTGGTAGGCCTATGTGTTGCAACATTACAGTCTTTATGGACGACATTTGCATTAGTTCTGCTGTCATTTATGATTTAGATTCCTTAGTACACGTTGGTATGAGACTATGAGTGCATACAAATTTAAAGGATGCTTTTACTTCGGGAATTTCATAGCTACAGAATTTCTGTTCGATGGGCAGGTTCTCTGTCCTCCGGAAGAGGGCTCAAAACCAAAGGAAAGACATAGTACATAAACAATCTAGAGTAATTTTTTTACTTGTGGTTATTGTTATATCTGTTCAGTCGCTCACTCAAATAATGCAAAAATTGAAATACATTTGGATGTTTCAGTGTGTTTTGTGCCTTTTACATTTTTGTATTGTGCTATGATAATTTATTTGCATGTCGAGTAATATTATTTTTGGGGTACTTGGTTTATAATGTACATGTATTAGTGTGTAGGATGTATTAACCTCGTTTCCTCTTTATTTCTGAAATTAATAAAGTGTTTGGGCTAACCAAAAAGGACCTTGATTTGAGTTTATAGCCCTTTGTCCATCATGCGTAGGTCTTTTGTCAGTTCGTGTCTCCATTTGTCTGTCTGCTATGCAGCTTCAATGGAAAACGGATTGTCATTTTGTACAAGATTGATAAATGTAACTAAGAGCCCAAAACTAACTTGGTTTCTTCATGTGTCCGCCATCTTGAATTGAAATCGATATTAACTTCTTCATTTTTGGGACCCGAGAGTAAGAATAATAGCAACGAAATAAAAGTTCATGGCAAATTAATGTCAATTTTACCTTTTGAATAATTGAGAATTTCTGATAGATTCTATCAAATTCTTTTAAAGTCACGTTTAAAAAAGAAAAGATAAAAGTGAGCTCAGGAACCCCAAATAGTCTGGCACCATCCCATTTACCAGATTACATTGAGTATGATCGATTCGGGGAACGCGATAAAAATGGCTTCCCTGTGAATAAGTATGATCATGACCTTTTGGAAGCAACAACAAGATAATCAAACATCAACAGCTTGTGATTCGGTCCTCTATGATTTTTGCCTATTGCAGGTAAATTATTGCTTATCGATATTCTGTACCCAGGAGTGAAATGACTGGTAAGAGTTTGTTTGTCTAAACATATAAATGGATACAAGAAAACGCTTACCAGCAAATCTGGAGCACAAGCCTCGTGAGTTGAAAAATATCGACGACCTGCAAGAAGTTTGCAAGTTGTTCTTTCTTGGGTTAAACTTTGCAGTTTCACCCAAGAAATGCACCGAGGCTGTTTTCGATCTAATTCTTGATCTGTTTTAACTGTGAAGAGGAAACTCAATCCACAAACTCAGAGTTTATTACAAAAGGTTGGAGCCTTCCAAATCATCGAGCCTAGAAGTCACTCATTTTGTTCCTTCAGGGGGAAAAAATTTTTGACAAATTTACACCTCCACTTTCGCACAGGAAAGTCAAACAGAGAACTTGAAAGACATATAGAAATCAACCTCGATTCCATACGCTGCATGCGCGTTTCCTTCACTAGCCCCTGGTCGTGTAATATGTTATTAAAATGGCGTTGACTGAATATTCAGGATGAATATTCTTAAACGAGCTTGAAAGACAGGCAGAAACATGGAAGCATAGGTGTGATCAACAAATTAAATTTTGGTTCACAAGGCATTGCATGCTCGCTCAAGCCTTCACAAACAAGGGAAATTGGGAACGGAACAGCGAGTTTTCCTTTCAAATAAGCGTGAAGAAGAAATAATCAAACGAGCAATTTCTCTACCCTGGCGGTGTTTTTTTTCCCTTCTTTCTCTCCCTCCGTAATAAGTGAAGCCAGAGGGGCTTAAAGACAGATGCAATCAGGGGAAATTATTGAAACGTGACTGTGGGGAATCTCTGGATTCCGTAATTAGAATCGACATTAGCAGTTCGAGGCCCCTGGGGGCTGGTGACGGGGACCCCAGCCGAGCCGAAGGACTCGACCACTTCCTGGAGAAAAGGGCGCACATATCGATGCGGCATGACGGCACTGAAAGAAAAGTGCGTGAAGCAGGCACGCCTCGTTTCAACAGGTTTCCTGGGCCGTTTGGCTCGGTAGACGTGATACCGCCCTCTCGTGGCGTCTCCCGAAGGAGCACAATTTTCAAACTTCTCAGGGGGTATTTTTGCTCACGATACCCTCGTTTCCCCACTTGTTTGTTGCTAAACATTTATGTTGACGGGGAGATCTGTCAATCAACTGTCAACTTTAACTATGATATTTGTAAATAATGAAAGGCTCTTATATTCATTCGTAATGGGGAAACATCTTTTGTTGATAGATCAGAAGGATCACAAATTGACATGGGACCTACAAAACGTTAATTTTATACAGTTAAATCAACGTGTTTGTATTTCACACGCGCAACTTTGTGGCGTCGCAGGTCATTCATGCATCTTTCCCCTAAACATCCAATTAACGCGAGATGGAAAAACTCCCCTCGGTCCGTCTGCCCCCTGTAGCAGGTTGTTCCGTTCGATTTCGAGCCAGCCCAAGCGTTATTAAGACACCCACGCAGCCGCTGAGCAAGAAAAAAAGTTGAGCCGGTACTTTTCGATTAAATTTGAAAGTCTGGATCTGCACCATTAGCCTGATGCGTGGACGCAAACAGGTGTGCAAAAGGACAATCTGTGCATCGGGAGAGATTGAATAAGACCCCCGCGACTGCATGAGCATGCAGTGGAAAAGCAAGACGTGCAACGGTACTCCCGTACTGCCGATCAGTCGGTGAAGAGAAACAACACAGAGAAAACTTTGCCACTCTGTGATGACAGGGAATCACCGGGGAGAAATGCGCTTGATAGTGGCGTCCCATAGCAACTTCCTCTGTTCCCGTTACCATGGTTATTATTTGACAGAACCTGCAAGGCCGGAGGATAGCTTGGACTGTCGCGTGGCGCTTTAGAAGAGGCGAAGTGCCTGCGTTGACGTACACTGTGATGCAGGGCCAGCCACTGTCTCGGAATACGTCGACAAGGTCCTTACGATCACGAGCGGGGGCAAGATAAACGCTGTCAGATCAAACTCCTTGTGAGCTGTGCCCTCGCGATCGCCTGGGCACGGTGTAAACGCAAGCTAAATTTAACCCGTCAATGGCTTAACGGGTTTACTTTAGGACAGATTATAGCCTCAGTCCAAAGCCGTACCGCCAACAGTCCCCTTGGACAAAGGAGCTCTTGTTTCCAACGCTTAACTCTTTTGTTCTTTTTTTTCACAGCCTGCCCGGCAGTGGCTCAATAGTGTGATGATGTCACCCGCTTGTTGCGATCTGCTCTTGTCAACACGCTGTGCGTTCACCGGGGTAGTCTTTCCAAGGGTCGGTGAAAAGGGCCTCGGAACAATCTCCCACACGACGTCGAAGGGATAAGACTCTCTTCAATCCACCTGATTGCAAGACGGAGAGCGTTTCCTGTGAACGAACTCATTAACCCCATCTTCTCACCGGCTGTCGACAAAAAGCGTCGCTTGAAAGGGGACCCGTCGGGAAAATGAAACTGGTTTGGTAATGCCAAGGAAATTTAAAGTTGGAAACTGACTTGCCGTGGGAAACGTCTGTGACATTTTCACCGCCGGATTCAAAGGAGTGCCGTTTGCTGGCTAGTCAGTACGGTTCTACCCCTCTCCTCCAATAAAAACCCGAGGAACAATTTTTTAAAAATCTATATGGCTTCATCACCGGAGTCGAACTGCATCACTTTGGAGCAAAAGAACAGCTCAGTGATTCGGCTGACCTCCGAATGACATTCCTGTTTTCGGAGAACTAAAAGCACAGAACGCAACTCCTGAGCCGGGGATAAAAATCATAAACATTGACTTGTGAACCTTGAGCAGAGGGAATCCGGGATCGCAATAATTTGCGCCAGGGCAATCTCGGGGAACCTTCCAGTAAGAAGCTCTCTCACGTCACCGGCGTCCACCATCCGCCATGGCTCGCCAGGCGGGCCGGTCCATCCTCGGGATGACGACCACGCTCCGTCTTCCCCTGCTCTTGACGTGGCTGACCTTTCGTCAGTGCCAGGTGAGTCAGTCGGTCCACTGCGGACTGAATCAGTTTGTTCTCTCCCCGTCTTCCCTTGCCTCCACCCTTTCTTATCCACTACCTCTCCGTCTTGGGTTACCCCGAACCCCGCTCCCATCATAAACGAGTACCCATGTTTATGTTTGATTTTAAATCCTTAACGTTACTTTCACTATTCGTGTTCAGGGGGTTATCCAGTAATTGAACTTACGAGATTTACACACGAGCGTGCGCGACCGCGCAGTATCGATTAGATGCTCGTGATCAGAGTAATATATTATCGCTCCGGAATCAGTTTCCTTGTACGTGTTGTAAGCAGCTGCAGTTTCATTGTAAAACGATTATCCAACTGGTTAACATCCTGAAAGAAATTCGTTGATAATTATACTTAACCACTTTGGCAATTGTACTTGATGAACGCGGGACACTAGGTTTTTTTTTCCAAGGACAACGGTCTTGCCAGCATTTAAAGTTTGGTTTGATTTGGCTAGTAAACAAATGAAATCAACACTACGTCCATCGTGGCACTGTCGAATCGAAGAGGCTGTTGCTGGCCCAGTATGCGTGTTATAAACAAATCTTACACGTGTTTTACCTGTAGGAAATAAGACTGCAGTAAATCTACGGTTTTTGTGGGGTTCCTGCGGTCACTTTCTGTAAAGTGTAACAGGTGCGTCAGTCCTCACAATGCATTGCAATGGTACGGCGTGTATACTCGACACGTTAGACTCGCGCACATGTTGATAGGTGCGAGGTGATCGTTTACACGACGCACGAATAACTGATGAGCTCACCGACCGAGACTCTGCTCGGAGATGGGCGTACGTGTTAAAGTGCACGATGCCCCGGACCATGTTTTGATGAATTCCACTGACATTTATGCACTCCTCTTGAAATCATGGGAAAACTTTTTTATCGAGAAAAAACAAAACAAAACAAGAACCTCCGAACTGCTGCTCTGTCTTGCCTTGAGCCCGTATAATTAAGAATTAAAAGGGGAACCCGATCTGTCACAGTATAACATTTTTTCTCCACTGACTACATGTTTCAAAACCCATTTTCATTTAAAGATGGTCTGAACCTATCGCCCGAAATGTCGAGTACAGGCATGACATACCCTGGCGTCGTATTTCACTGAGAAAAAATTCTCCACGCGTGCCCATATGACCGTCACATCCGTCAACGTGGTCAGTAGCTTTGCAGAAGATGAAAGAAACTATACCCGCTGCAATAAATCAAGAAGCCTTCTTGTTCCCTTTGTTTCTATAATGTATTGGAACATGAACTTGGAGAGATAAATCACCCTTTGCCTCAAGGGAGATACAAGAGGGGCGCTGTGACAGAAACAGGTCAAGTTTGACAAAGAAGCATTATATAAAGAGAGGGAGCTTTGTGAAACCTTCGATAAAAAAGTCGCATCTTTGCGCGGAATGCATGAAGTAGGCCTACACACTGTTGGAAAGTTTGTCACTGTCCTCTGAATTCTCGTGATTTCACGAGGAGTGCGAGAAGAGAAGTAGTTATACTTCACCATCAGGTTATATATCCGTTAGTTATTGGGAAACAAAATGACAATATTTACGGCGGCTGTGCTCGGATATGTGTTGCTCTTATAGATAGTCGGCAATTGACACTGTCTCACGATGGAAACTGAGTTTTTTTTTCCAAGACGAGGGAAAATTAATGGCGCAACAGAAGACAATAACTTGAGATTTGAGAACCGCGAGAGTGGTTTAATGTCAGTCCAATAACGAACGACGCTGTGATTTAAAATATTGCCCTGTTTTCATGTCAAAACCCAAGTGTGTTCTGTTCTTCCAATAATGTCCCGTTTTTATTCACAGTCGTCCAGATTCCAAGGTTTATTTCGTGCAGTAAATTTTGCTCACATATAGTTGGCATCACGCCGTCTTTAATGTCATTTCCGATGCTTCAAAGAGAAAATATTTTATAGATGATTTATAAACTCGTGATGTTTTCCTGTTTTCCATGCTGGTGATATTTTGTCCAATGAGAGTAACACGCGACGAAGCGCCTTGTCTCTTGAGCGCCAAACGTACACCAACTGCCAACTGCACCTTGTGCCCTCGTTAACTTGGAAACGCGGAAAAAAAGAGAAAGCCACGAACTCTACACCGCCACCGTAAAAGTGTCTGCAAACAAATGAGCCTTCTTTCTTAAAGCCCGTGGATCGCCTATCAGGGAACCTGTGCGCGCCCTAATGAAGTCAGTCCCCGTCAGCCTTTCATGGCTTTCACGTTGACTCCTGACAGCTCGTTTCGTTCGGGACTGTCTTATAGTGAAAACCCACACATAACTATCTGTAAACGGGACAAGAAATGAATAATAATACTCGGACGCACTCCTCCGAAGTGTCTTTAGAGGTTTGGTCCAACTCGCTTTGAAGTGGTAGTGGATGAAATAATGGCACATGCGATCGGCCTGTCCACATCTTGACCCGTGGATCTGTCGAATAGCGGGACATTTTCTTTCAAGGTGCTCCTTGTTAATAAATTTAACAAGTTACCAATTTCAGCGTCTGAAGAGGAGTTCATACTACTGGCACTTTACCGTCGGCTGCACGAGTCCGAGCGGAGCCAAAAGGGGAGAACACGCCGCTTTCTTCATTTCAGAGGGAAAGGCAAAATTCTCTCAGTACATGTAGATGAAAAGACAGAATTCTTTCGATAAACGTAATCCTTTCCGAAAACACTGCCGAGAACGGTTCGCGCCGTGGCACTCAGGTACACATCAATGCGGGGAGGAGCGTCAAGGCACTTTGGCGACCCGAAATCCAGGACAGGTCCAGCGGCACCATAACCTAGAAAAGAAATATCGGAGATTTGAATTAATCCGAGTTGCTCGGGGCAAGGAGATGCTTTTAAGGTGGGTCAGGGTTGATTGTTTAGTGCCCCCACCCTACCGACGTAATGCTACTAGCCCAAGGACCACTGATTACTCTCTGGTCAGACACAATTCTGACAGAATTTCACATACTGAAGAGGATGGCCTGTGTCAAAACAGGTTCTTATACTGTCGTGGGAACACAGAAGCAAGGATAGTTTAAATGCGAATTTCCCCATGTACTGTAGTTTGCAAGCGGAATGTACATGTACACTGTGTACTTCCTGTGGTAGGTAGTACGAGCGTAGTGTACCAAGTAACCTTGAAGTTATTACCGCAAGGGTTAGGATGGACCCCCCCATGTGAACGAACTACTGTACTATCCCCTCCATAATAGATATTAATTTTCACTTCAAGTCTGTCTCTTCTCAAACCTTTTCTTACGTCGGAGACATTTTCACCTTATCAATTATCAGCGGCGTTTCTTCAAGTCGATGAGCGTTGAGTCCACACAAATATTTGAAGGAGGAATATTGGCGGCTGTGGAGCGCCTCCTTATCTGGGGAGTCTATTATCATCCTCGGTGAGCTCAGAGTAGGGACGTAAAGAAACATGAAATCGCACACAAGATTGTGTCCAGAAACAGACAGGCAGGTTTGAGTATACATGTATATGCATGGCGTTGGTGCATATTATGCAGGAGCTGTTCGGTCCATCGGGATGCACTGGCAACAGCTGTCGCTCAGCGTGATGTAGCGTAATATGGGGAAAATGCAATTGCAGAGCCATCGGGTTATGAAGTTTCGTAGTACAAGGTGGCATGCACATATTGGGCTTCCTCGACATAATCGCCTGGAGGTTTCTGCAAATCTTCAGATTTGGCCACGGATATATTGCGCTCCCTGCCGCCAGGCCGGAAGTTAACACGTTCAAGCAACCAAGACGTGCCTGTAGTTTAATGTGTAGGGCTTCTGTAGGCCTACGCTTTAATTTAGAAATGTTTATGAGCAGGGTGTCGGCCACTTCGCCCCTAACCACTTCGCCCCATCCCCACTTCGTCCCATTTCCACTTCGGGCGAAGTGGGATGGGGCGAAATGGTTAGGGGCGACGTGGAAAGGGGCGACTGGATGGGGCGAAGTAACTGTAAACCTATGGGCACAATAGTTTCGATACTCTTTAAGTTGATTTTGTGCTCTATAGAACAGATGAACACACACAACACAACTGCACCATACGGTGTTAAATTGACACCACGTGTGTTTTCAGAACACTGTTTGTGTTTAAGATTTAAAGCAACACCACCACAGTCGTTTAAGTGAATGTGGTGCCTAGATATCAATTTTGTTAAATTGATATTAGTTTAGCTCCACGCTACAGTTTTGGTAGTTCATCTTTCAACCCTAAAGCAGTGCGGGCGAAGGAGATCAGTCCAAAATTTTTGTCCAGTTTGGATATCTTATGAATAGGCTTTACCGATAACTTTCGATAACGCAGCCGTGTGAAAGCTGAAAAGAGAAAGCGTTTCCCAAGTGAAATTGGAAAATTAGCGTCAGCAGATCGTGCATGTTGGCGGAGGCAAACAAATACGTCTGTAGGTAGTGTAAATTTTGGTGTTTGGTTCCAATCCCTGGTGTAGGCAGTGATGGGGATATGTGTGTCATGGCCAAACGGAACCCTCCCTGAATCAATACACATTTACTCTATCAGTTGGTTATCTTCCCCTACCGTCCTAACTGCACTGATAGTTCCAATATTTAGAAACCCTCCAGGTTTTTAAAGCCCATTTTATTTTACGCCACGATGATGGAAATTAATTTAGCATTGCCCCAAAACTCGATAAGATTTTAAGGGTCTGTGTGGAAGTTCGAATTGGAAAAACTGTAGCGGTATAGGCCCCTATTATTTAAGGTTTTACCCTTTGAAAGTGGAGACATCTTAATCCAACTTGTGAAGATGTGAAGCGAAAGCCTTGATTAATTTGTTAACAGAAATATCGCGGCATCAGTTCCTTCGAGTCGCAATAGTAATTACAGGAGTGAAATACAAATTCCACTTCCGTTTGTGTACACATGTTGACATTTTCTGTGGGCCAGGCTGGTAACTTGGAGTTGTTCGAAGTAAGGCCGTTTGCGAGACACCAGGGAACACGATCGCG